TCTGATCCGCTTTACATTCTTCAAATGCTCTTGACTTTCTTTCCTTTGAATTCACAATTTGATGAACCTGGGATGGCATTCTGTAATTTTTTTTGACCATAAAAGTCATTCTTGCTGTATATTTGTCTGTATATTTGATGTATATTTGATTGCCCACTGCTGATTCTGTTTTCTTTTGGTAACATATCGTAAGTTCATTTTAGGGAAGCCCTTCCTGCCATACTCTTTTCTTTTTTAAAAAATAATTTATTGAGTCGAAATTCACATAACACAACCATTGTAGAGTGAATAATTCATTCGTACTTAGTACATTTTCAATATTGTGCAACCACCATCTCTGTCTAGTTCCAAAACATTTTCATTACTCTAAAGTAGAACCCATTAAGCAGTTTTCCCCATTCTCCCCTCCCTAGCAGCTGCCAACTTTCTTTTTGTCTCTATGTATTTGCCATTTCTGGACATTTCATATAAATAGAATAATACAATATTTGGCCTTTTATGTCTGGCTTCTTTCACTTAGCATGGTATTTACAAAGCTCAGTCATATTGTAGCATGTATTAGTAACTCATTCCTTTGTATGGCTGAGTAATATTCCATCGTGTAGATAATAATACATTTTGTTTATTCATTAATCTGTTGATGGTATTTGGGTTGTTTCCACTTTTCAGCTGTTATGAGTAATATTGTTATGAATGTTCCTATACAAGTTTTCCTATGAACGTATATTTTCAATTCTCTTAGGTATTGACCTAGGAGTGGTGTTGCTGGGTCATATAGTAACTCTGTTTAACTTTTTGAGGAAATGCTAAACTGTTTTCCACAACTGTCTTTCCATTCTTACTTGTAAAATTGAATATCTTATCCTTTTTTCCTTGATTAAGTTAGCTGATTGTTTTGTTCATTTTTCTCACTAAAGAGTCATTTCTGAAATTTAGATATTAATCCTGGTAGTTTTTTATCTTTCTTATTCATCAATTTTTATTATTTTTATTCTCTTAGAGTCTCTTGTTTTTCTGATTCTGAACTGAATTACTAATTATTTAATTCTTATTTAGAAATGAAGTATTTAAGTCTCTATATTTCTTTGAGTCAACTTTGGTTACATTTTGTTGATTTTAACATATAATGTTTTTATATACTTTTCTAGATAACGTCAAATCCCTTTTTTCTTCCCCTTTTTGCTTAAAAACCTATTTAGAAGAGAGTTTCCAAAAATTTGGCTTTTTGGTTTCCTTTCCTTATTTAAAAATGGACTATTTTTTGGGTCTGGCCCAGTGGTGTAGTGGTTAAGTTTGGGCACTCCACTTCGTCAGCCCAGGGTTCACAGGTTCAGATCCTAGGCATGGACCTGGACATCACTCATCAAGCCATGTTGCAGTGGTGTTCCACATACAAAATAGAGGAGGATTGGCACAGCTGTTAGCTCAGGGCCACTCTTTCTCACCAAAAAATGCACATATATGAGATTCGAAAGGTTATGCAGTGAAGAGTAAATATCTTTCCTACTCATATTTCCCAGTAACCCAGGTCCTCTCCCCACAGAGGGAACCTAGTGTTGCTAATTTTTTGGTATATCCTCCCAAAGTTTATGCATTTGTGAACATACATGCATGTTTAATTTTTTAGAATATAAATGTGTGACTGTATATGAACTATTATACTATACCTGAATACGTATTTTTCTTTTTTCACTTAAAAGTATATCTTGGAGATAGTTCCATATTAGTTGTTTCTGTAAATGCTTCTTGGTTTCACTGCTTGTGGTTAGAAATGTGGTCTAAATTCTACCTAGATTTTGGAATTATTGTTAAAATACAGTTAGTTTTCGAAGATTTTCCGCTAACACTAAGAAGATATTTTAGAATATCCATAACATTTTATCAGTTTGGAGTACATGGATGACTTCAGGACATCAGTGAAACCTTTGTAGTTTTGCTCATATTTTTAGGAGTATGTACATAGGAGTTTTAGTCTTGGGGGAGTCAGGATCCACAGCGTTCATCAGATTCTCATAGGGATCCATGGACTGACAGGTTCAGAACTAGCGGTGTACATACTGTTGTATCTGTTTGCTTGATTTGTCAAGGAATTAAGTCTCTATTACTGTGGTTTCTACTCTGTCTCTGCATTTTCTTTGGTTTCTGCTTTATATATTTCATTACTATGCTTGTACATAAAGGTTCATGATGGTTATACCTTAGTAGCAGTTATACTGTTTATTACCAAGTAACCCTTTTTGTCCCTTTTTTTTTTAACCTATTATTATTAGGTAATAAACCTTTCTAGATCACTTTGTTTTAGATCTCTCTCTTATGCATATATTTTTAAAATAAGATTTACTTATTAGATCTTATTATTATGTATACTTAATTTATAACAGATTATAAGTAACTGGGCCGTATCTACTTGCACCTATGTTTTGTTCAGATAGCATATAATGTTTTTTTGATATCAGCGTTTTTTTGGTATCAGTATTTGTCTTTGGTTTTAATGGGTGAGTTTTACAGATATTGATGTAGTAGATGTGCTTAGTCTTAGACCTTTTTTCTCTGTTTTATCTTTTTAATACTTCTTTGCTTTCTTCCTTTGTTTTCTGTCCTTTGTTATATTGTGTCTGTTTCTTTGATTCATCCCTTGTCCTTGTGTAATTTGGAAAAGTATATGAATATACCCAGATGGCTAGATAGCAGTAAATTATCTAGAAAAGGAAATGGGGAACTTCCATTCATAATAGCTAGAAAATAAAAAATATTTAAGAATCAGTTTAACAAGAGAGGCACAGGACTTATATGAAGGAAATCTAATAGTATTGGATCAAATAGAAAGGCATGCTATGTTCTTGGGTAGACACATTATCATAAAAATGTCTACTTTCTGAAAATATGTAAATTTAATGCAACTCAAATTAGAATATCAATAACATGTTGGGGAAGGTAGCGTATAATTAAATAAAATAATCTTAAAGGTTAGGGACTTCCTTACCAGCCATCAGAACGTTTATAAAGCCACTGCATGTTGAGAAATAGGAAACTCCTTTTAGTTAGTCTGGAATTTCTTACCACTGGAGCTCTTTCTTGAAGATCTACTATATCATAAAAATAAAATGTCCTTCAGCATGTGAGGATCTTTCTCTACGACTAACTGTTGCTGATTAGTGTTCTGGGGACTTGCTGGAAAGTCAGGACTTAGTCCCCACCTCTCCCGTAATATGTCATGTTGAAAATTTTCAAACATACAGCAAAGTTGAAAGCTTTAAAAATGAACAGACGTATACTCATCACCAAGATTCTACCATCAATATTTTACTATACTTGTTTTATTTTATATCTATCCATATGTATGTATCTTTGCACATACATTAATGCATCTTACTTTTTGATACATTTCAAAATAAATTACAGACATCAGTATACTTCCCCCTAAAAATACTTCAATATGCATATCACCTGGAGTGCAATATTTATTGAGGTAAAATTTACATGCAATGAAGTGTAAAAATCTTAAGTGTATAGTCAGTGTGTTTTGACAAATGCATGCACCTGTGTAATCAAACATTACCATCACTTCAGGAAGTTCCCTCATGCCCCTTTTCAGTCTATTCTTGCCCTCACCTTCTAGGGGCAACCACTGGTTTGATTTGTCTTTTTACAGACATAGGTTTTCTTTTGGGTAAATCCCTAGGAGAAGAATTGTTAGGTCATTGAGTAGGTATATGTTTAGTTTTATAAGAAACTACCAGACATCTTTCTAAAGTGATTGTTCCATTTTACACTCCCACAAACAATTTGTGAGAGTTATGGTTGTTCTGCATCCTTGCTAACATTTGATATTGTCAGTCTTACTAATTTTCGTCATCCTTGTGGATGTGTAATAGTATCTCTTTGTGTTTTGAATTTGCATTTTTCTATTTTTCTGATGAATAATGACCTTTAACACTTTTCTTGTGCTCATTGGCCATTCATGTGCCTTATATGAAGTTTCATTCACATCTTTTGCCCATTTAAAAAATTAGGTTGTCTTTTTATTAATGAGTTGTAGGAGTTCTTTATGTATGTAGGATGCCAGTCCTTTGTGGGATATATATATTATGAATAGTTTATCCCAGAGGAGTTAGCTTTTAAGTACTTTTTTCAACAAATACTTACTATGTACTGCAATACAGCTGTAAGCAAAATAAATATAGAAAAACATTCCTGCTCTTTTGGAGTCACTGTAGTTCCTCAGTACAGCCAGGGAGACCAGTAAGAAGGCTTCATCAGTGATTCTAGAGCCGATGGCTTGGGCCAGGGTTTTAGCAATGGAGAGGGTGAAAGCTGTTTGGATTCTGCATAAATATTCTAAAAATAGAGCTGACTCACTGAATTTGGAGTGTAAGAGAAGGAGGAATCAGTGAGGACTCCCAAGGTTTTTGGCCAAAGGAACTAAAAGGTTAGAGTTGCCATTTATTGAGATGAGGAAGTCCATAGGAGGAATAGGTTTGTGGGGTGGTGGTAGTGGATTAGGAATTCAGTTTTCAATATGTTAAGTTTCAGATGCCTACTGAATATCTATATGGAGAGGTCAAGTGGGCAATTGTATACATGAGTTTAGAGTTCAGGAAAGAGGTCTGGATTGGAGATAAATTTGGGAGTCATCAGCATATAGAATCCACTGTTATGCTGACAGTGAGACCAGAGCCTGAAGAGAAAAGGTACATAAATCACTAATTTTAAAAATAACTCTTTTCTTTTTGGGGTAGTTTTAGATTTATATGAAAGCTACAAAGATAGTACAGAGTTCCCATATCCCTTCACCCATTTTCACCTAATATTAATATCCTGTAACTACGGTACATTTATCAAAGCTGAAATACTAACATTGTTACATTACTGTTAACTAAAGTCCAGACTTGGTGTTTCACTAGTTTGAAATCACTAATTGTAATATAAGATGAAAGTTTAGAAACATTTTATGAATCACCTGTATAAGTTTTTGACTGCTGTTTCTTCTCGCTTTACAGAACTAATGGCTGAAGAGTAAATCAACATGGCAACTATGGTTCCACCAGTGAAACTGAAATGGCTTGAACACCTCAACAGCTCTTGGATTACAGAGGACAGCGAGTCTATCGCTACAAGAGAAGGGGTTGCTGTTCTATATTCTAAACTGGTCAGCAATAAGGAAGTAGTACCTTTGCCCCAACAAGTTTTGTGCCTCAAAGGACCACAGTTGCCAGACTTTGAACGTGAGTCCCTTTCAAGTGATGAGCAGGACCACTATTTGGATGCCCTTCTTAGCAGCCAGCTAGCACTAGCGAAGATGGTATGTTCAGATTCCCCATTTGCTGGGGCACTTCGAAAACGACTGCTTGTACTCCAACGTGTCTTTTATGCACTTTCTAATAAATACCACGACAAAGGCAAGGTGAAACAACAGCAGCATTCTCCTGAAAGCAGCTCTGGTTCAGCAGATGTCCATTCTGTTAGTGAACGACCCCGGTCAAGCACTGATGCACTTATAGAAATGGGTGTTCGAACTGGTCTAAGTTTATTATTTGCACTTCTGAGACAAAGTTGGATGATGCCTGTGTCGGGACCTGGTCTCAGTCTTTGCAATGATGTGATCCATACTGCAATTGAAGTTGTGAGCTCTTTGCCACCATTATCTTTAGCAAATGAAAGCAAAATTCCTCCTATGGGCTTGGACTGCTTATCACAAGTAACAACATTTCTTAAAGGAGTAACTATTCCCAATTCTGGGGCAGACACTTTAGGTCGTAGATTAGCTTCTGAGTTGCTGCTTGGCTTAGCAGCTCAGCGAGGCTCTTTGCGGTATCTTCTTGAATGGATAGAAATGGCTTTGGGGGCTTCAGCAGTTGTAAATTCCATGGAGAAAAGCAAACTCCTATCAAGCCAGGAAGGAATGATCAGCTTTGACTGCTTTATGACTATATTAATGCAGATGAGGCGTTCTTTGGTACGTACTATATAAATCTCAACTTTAAAATTCTTATCTAACAATTTTGGGGAAAGTCAACCCAACTTTTAATGAATTGTTGATAATACTGAATGATTTGAGAGTTCTGCTGGTGATTGTTATGTTAGTTAAATATTTCATATACTTTGAGTGAAGAGACTTTTATGCATGTTGATGTGGATATGTAATTCAAGCACAGGCTAGTTGGTAATAGTGTTAAGACTACTGGATCAGGAGTCAGGATTGTAGTTTTTGTTTTGTGGCTTCTTATGTGAATTTGGGAAATTCACCTAACTTCTCTGTGTTTTAGTAAACTTATATGTAAAATGAGGGGCCTTGGCTAGTGAGTGTGGACGTCTTTTGAAAAAAATCTGTAATTTTATTCTTCTCAATTTTTATTAAGCATTTACTATGTGCTACGTATTATTTTAGGCCCTAGGGATACAGCAGAGAAAAATACAGTTTCTACACCATGGAGCTAACACTCTAGAAGGGGAATCAGACAATAAATATATAATTTCAGGTACAGTCACGTGCTGTATAACAATGTTTCGGTCAACAACAGCCCACATTTACGATTGTTGTTCCATAAGATTAGTACCATATGGCCTAGATATGTAGTAGGCCATACCATCTAGGTTTGTGTAAGTACACTCTATGATCATCACACAACCACAAAATCACCTAACAATGCATTTCTCATAACATATCCCCATCATTAAGTGACACATGAGTATAGTGAGAAGTTCTAAGAATTAAAATAAGGTAAGGAAAAGGAATTCTATAAAATGATTAGCTCAGGGCAGACATTGGGGAGGGGAAACGTGTGTTATTTTAGTTAATGTGGTCAGGGAAGGACTCTGAATTGTGACTTTTGAACAGAGACCTGAATGAAGGGGAGCAGTGAGCTAAGCAAAGATTGATGGAAAAAGTGTTTTTCTTTCTGGAGGAAGTTAATTGGTTGACTGTCATAAAGAAACTAACCTTGGATACCATATTGAAGAATAAACAATAAAATATAGTACAGTATGGTTAATTTCAAGAATTTCTAAGACTGAAATGTAATACCTTTCTGAAAACGAAGAGTAAAAATTCCAGTTAAGAATACAAATTTAGAATATAAAGGTTGAAATACTTATAAACTGACAATTTCGTTTGGTTACATTGATCTGTCTTTTTGATATCCTTTATTACCAAATATCATTTAGTAAATTGATTTAGTTAAAATAACTAGAAATGCCACTTATAACTTATGTATGTGTATTTTAAGACTTTTTCCCCTCCCAAAACAAGTGGAAAACTCTTCAGTTGACAGGAGTGTTTCATAAAAAACAATTATGTCGAGTTTATTTTCAAACTAGGGCATTTAAATTTTCACTTGGTTTACATTTTGCCTTTGTGAACTGACTGGTAAATAGTGGGTCATTTTTTATAAATAATTTTATTGTAAATAAGTACTTGGAGATTTTAGATCATAAGATCTATGAAAATTTGGATTTCTTAATGTTAAATAAAATTAAGACAAGAAAAGCATACAGTGCTTTGTTCGGGATATGAAACATTGACAAGAGCCCTGTGATCTTCACCTGATGTGGAAACCTAGAGCCAGAGATTGAGTGATCTAAGTGAGAAAGGTTTGAGGGAACAGCTCTGAGAGGCAATTAGGCCCCTTTGTGTTTTCTTATTCAGTATTTAAACCCACTCATTTGCGCATCTGTTTTTCTAATTTTATTTCCTGATTCTTAATACTTTCTGGTAACATTCTCTATATTTACATTGTTTTTAAATATGTAATGCCATTTGATGACCTAAAATATTGTTTCTATTCATGGTCATGTGTTAATATTTCTGTGAGAAGTCACTTAATTCTTCATTTTACAGTCTGTCTATTTTGCATTGCCTTCGTTAGAAAGAAAAGATTATTTCACAATCTAGTTACATGATTATATGCTTGCCCATGGTATATTTCCTTCTTAAAATGCTAAATACCCTGAGTTAGAGGCCTCTTCCTCCCCTTACCCTCTAAGGCCTTATCCTACAGTATTGCTCCTTAGCTGGAAGCGGGGCTCCCGGGAAACGAGATTGCTTTCCTCAGTATGTTTAGTCTCATTGTCTTTTAGCATGCTGGAAATAGGTTTGTATTTGGCTGTAAGTTTAAATTGGCTCTGTAAGCTTAAGATATCTTTACAGTGAATGTATTTATCTGCCTATATAAGGTGTATTAATCTTCATTTAATTAGCCTATAATAAGCCATCTCATTCCTTTTTTGGCTTTTTTTGTTTACTGTTCCCCAATACCTGGAGTAAGGGAGGAGGAAGAGGGCTAACCTCTTTGAGTGCCTACTACCTACCAGGTGCTTTATATGCACTGTCTCATTCACTTGTCATGTTAATCTGTAAGGTAGCTATTATTCATCCTTAATTTAGGGATGAAGAAACTGTGGCAATTATCCTAAATTTACATATCTATTTGGCAAAGGAACTGGAAGTATAATGGGTACTCCTGATTAAGCACTTAAGGGCTAGGCACTGTGTTAACTAATTCTTAGAACCCTAAGTCTGCCTGCACAGCCCATGTTTTTTTCTGACTACTGTATGCAGTTTTTACCCTGTTTATGTTAAAATGATTAATTTTTTTCCCCCATAAAGGCCTACCTTAAGGTAGATGTAAAATATAATACATTTATTTTATTGCTGGATTTCCATTTTTCTCTCCACTTGGCCTCTTTCATTCCTGGACAAAATGTCAAATAGATCTAGTCAGAAGGGCCTTCCTCCATAGCCTCCAAGGCTATACCCTATAATATAGCTCCTTATTGGGATGAGGCTACCCCAGAAACGAGATTGCTTTCCTCAGAATTCTAGATCTATTCTGGGGAAGAATCTTGTATGTTTGTTTGATTTAGTTTGGCTCTCCCAAGAGTCACCAGAGGCCTACATTAGATTGAATTGAGTACCTGGCATAAGGCCTAACAAAAATAAATTCAATCCGTAAATTGCATTTATTTGTGTGATTGTTAACCTCTGCTACCCACACACGTGTAATAATTGTATTTTTGTGGAAGTGCACAAGATACTCATTAACTTACATTTAAATAAAAAGGAAATAGTGTCAGTGTACATCTCTGAATTCTAAGAAAATAAACAATAACAACACCTTGGCCTTTGATGCCTCTAAGTGTTTAATCAGCAGTGTGTGCCACAGACTGTTAGTCACTGGGTTAAAACGATGAATAAACTTTGTAGCGTCCATGCCCTCAGCCAGCTGACAGTTTAAGGAAGGAGAGATGCACAGGCATTTCAAATTAATAATAATAGTCTGTAGTAGAGGTCTGCACTGGGAACAGGTGATGGGACACAGGAGGAGGGCTGGAGAGAAAGGGGCAGAAAATGCCTTATGAAGGAAGGACCCCTGAGCTTAGTTGACAAGTAGGAAGAGGTTGCCTGCAAATGTGAGGTGCATGAGTACGGGGAGCTGGAGAAGTTTTCAGATGAGAGGACCAGAATTCACGAAGTGATCGAAGTGTGGGAGAGCAAGCCCTTGACTGTATGGGGTGGAATGGGACGGGATAAGGCTGCCAAGCTAGGCAGGGCCTCGTATCCCTTGCTATAGGGTTTTGAAACTTGATCCCATAATCAAGTGGGATGGAAATGTACTCCATCCAGTCTTATGTCCTTGTCTGAATATCTTAATAGACAAATGTGAAAAAAAAATAAAGGATATTACATTATTTTTGATGGTAGGTTTTTAAGAGGAAGGTAATTAAATGAAGACCTACGAAACCACAAATTTATGTTCTTTTAATTTTCACTTTATCTTTGAACCGTTGAATTTCCTATATGTTAACAACGTATGAAGTTTTACATTTAATGTGTTTTATTTTCCAAAGTTTAGTTTCTTTAAAATGCCTAGATATAGCCCTATTTTTTTTTAATTATGCAGTATGTTTACAAAACACATTAAGAATTCTGTATAGGGGCCGGCCCGGTGGTGCAGCGGTTAAGTTCGTACTTTCTGCTTCTCGGTGGCCCAGGTTTCACCAGTTCGGATCCCGGGTGTGGACATGGCACCACTTGGCAAAAGCCATGCTGTGGTAGGCGTCCAATGTATAAAGTAGAAGAAGATGGGCATGGATATTAGCTCAGGGCCAGTCTTCCTCAGCAAAAAGAGGAGGATTGGCAATAGTTAACTCAGGGCTAATCTTCCTCAAAAAGAAAAAAAAAAAGAATTCTGTATAGAATGGGTTTTAGAGATGTCTTTAATCCGAATTGACTGGGGCTGGAGTAGTCTCACCCTTCACTGTTGTTTTTTTTGGAGGAAGAGAAATTAATGACAGTCATTGCAGACAATGTTTGAAGGATGTTTTATTGGTTTGGTATTTTTAAATTTAGCAAGAATTTGTTAAAGACTTCCTATATTTTCTCTTCTTTCTCAGTGTACATGATGCAAAATAATAACAATTACTGCTACCAGTTTTTTTTTTAAAGATTGGCACCTGAACTAACATTTGTTGCCAGTCTTCTTTTTTTCTTCCTTTTCCTCCTTCTTCTCCCCAAAGCCTCCCAGTGCATAGTTGTATATTCTAGTTGTAGGTCCGTCTACTTGTGCTATGCGGGACGCCGCCTCAGCATGGCCTGATGAGTGGTGCCATGTCTGTGCCCAGGATCTGAATCGGTGAAACCCTGGGCCACCAAAGTAGAACACACAAACTTAACCACTTGGCCACGGGGCTGGCCCCACTGCTACCAGTTTTGAGTTCTTACTATGTATTAGGAACTGTGCTACGTGTTTTTCATACATGATTTCGCTTAATCTTCCCAATAACTCTAAATAATATAGGCATTATTGCTGTCTATGGATAAGAAAACGTATCCTTCAGTCACACAGCCAGTAAATGATGGGGCCAGGATTTAAACCTAGTTCTGTGTGTCATCGAAAACTTTGTGCTCTTTTCAGCATTTTCCTCCATACTGTAGAAAGGCATATAAAAGGGATTGTGATGGCCCTGGTGCCCTTAGGAAGGTACAGCAGACTGTTGTTCCTCATCTGCTTTTGGTTTGATGATCACTAGAGGTGGCCTTTAAATAATGAAGCCACAGATTACAGTTGTGTTTTTCCCAGAAGTGCTACTTGCTAATTATGGAATTTGAGAGGCTGTGTCCCAAAGTGTTTGCTGGTGTAGCAATACCTTGTATGTCTAGGGATGTTAGTTTTGAACACTCAGTTTCTGATATGACTCTAGACCTACAGGTGGCTCTTTAAAGCCTTACCACTAAAAATGTGAGCCTCAGACAGCAGCATTGGCATCACATGGGGAGCTTGTTAGAAATGCACATCTCAGGCCCCATCAATATTTATGGAGCCATCAATATTTATGTTGTATTTTAACAAAATCTTGAAATAAATCAAGTCCACATTAAAATCTGAGAAGCACCACCTTAAACAACTAAAAAGAAAAAATTGATTTGGTAGCAGCAGGTTAGCACCTGATGACCCAGCAATAAATTAAATAGCCAACATATTCATTTCTTTCATTACTTAGGAATCATGTAAATTAAAATAGTTTGAATTGGTAAAATCATATAAACAGAGTTAGATAGGCTCTTACAGGGCATCTAGGCCAACCTGCCCTCTACAGTAGAGGATATATTTTTCTATGTATATCTGTCAGATGATCATCTAGAATATAAATATTTTTACCATACAGTATCCTTTGAAATAAAGCTTCCAATGAAAATTTCACAATTATAGGATTGATAAATAAGAGAAAGAACTTGACATTTGTGATCTAAAGATTTAAGGATGTGGGAATTCGAGGGAGTGATAGAGATCAAGTTCACTTTCTGGTTTATCATTTTTTAATGAGAGAATGATTTCTGGTTGCAGGCTTAGATTGGGCCCTACTGTGGAGAGTAGGCATTTAGCCCCAGAGAGGGGCTATGATTCCTCAGCTATATTAGAATAAAGATGCTTTATTGCTAGTGTAAAGCAGCTACATGAACTGACTTGTGGGACCTTAGTTGTGCTGGAACCAAGAAGAGAGGGACAGACTTTCTGCTACTCTAGTCAAGGTCATCACTCAAGCTGGCTATATTCTACTTACCTGTATCCTTGGGGGCAGGTGGGCAAGGCAGCCCCAGGGAAGTAGAATATTTCCTGGATATTGGCCACCCAAAGAGTGTGTAATTGGCAAAATTCTGCCTCCTTGACTGTTTCTGAGTCAAGCCCTGTGACCCTTAGAACAAATCACTGTTTAATAAGTTAATCAATGAGAGATTGGCACTTAATTTACTGTTTCACTCTATAGCCATGTCTTTTGTAACACTTATATGTAAAAGTTGGTTTAGGATTTGATCCTAATGCACATAATCATAAAAACAGTTCCTCAGATGTTTTTGTGGACTGTTTAAGTGATTTTAATACATATGTCTCTCTTCTTCTCAAACTATATCCCACAATGTTTTAATTACAGGGTTCATCTGCTGATCGGAGTCAGTGGAGGGAACCAACCAGAACATCTGATGGTTTATGCTCACTCTATGAGGCAGCCTTATGCCTCTTTGAAGAGGTATGTAATAATCATGGCTTTTACATTAAAAATTACTTTGTCTTAAAATGCTCTAGCATGTATTTGTCCCTTAAAAAGAATCTGCTGCCAATTCCTCCTCTTTCTGCTGAGGAAGACTGGCCTTGAGCTAACATCCGAGCCCATCTTCCTCTTTTTTTTTGTATGCGGGATGCCTACCCCAGCATGGCTTGCCAAGCGGTGCCATGTCCGCACCCGGGATCCGAACTGGTGAACCCTGGGCTGCCGAAGTGGAACGTGCGCACTTAACCGCTGCGCCACCGGGCCCGCCCCTATCCTGACTTTTAAAGTAATCACTTCCCTGCATTTTTTTATAGTTGTGTCACCCAATTGTGTAGCCCTAGACGCTGTTGTTTTCTTGCCCACTAAAAAAAAGATAAGTCTTTGAAATTTCTTAATATATAGGTTCCCCCTCCACTTTTTTCTTTTAATGTATTTGTTCAGGCACCTGGGCTTTTTAGGCTGCAGAGTTTCTCAAACCTGGATTTTGCTGATTGTTTACTCATAATGCAGTTCAGTATGTCCTATGTATTACCCACAAATTGGCAGGTGGATCTAGAGGCTTGATCAGTCTTCAGGTTTGATCCCTTTGGCAAGACTATTCATCATGTGGTGATCTTCCATCAGCTTCCCTCTGGTCGTCACTCTTTTTGCTGTATTAGCAGCCCTTGATGCTTAATGACTAGATCTATTAATTCATTGATGGTTGTTTGCAAAATGGTGATATTCTAATTATATCATTCCTCTTTCATTGATTAATTGGAATGTTTTTATAAAGAGATAATTCCCTTATTGACTCTTTGGTTGCTCTGCTACATTCATATAGGAAAGGCAGAATAAATGCTTGATTTGCCTTACCCAGTTTTTTTGTGTGTGTGTATGTGTGAGGAAGATTGGCCCTGAGCTAACATCTCTACCAGTCTTCCTCTAATTTTTCTACGTGGGATGCTGCCTCAGCATGGCTTGATGATCGATGTGTAAGTCTGTGCCCAGGATCTGAACCTGTGAACCCTGGCCTCCAAAGTGGAGCATGTGAACTTAACTGTTAGGCCACCAGGCCGGCCCCACCCGATGTTTTTTTTTTTTTTAGATTTTATTTTTCCTTTGTCTCCCCAAGGCCCCCCATACATAGTTGTATATTCTTAGTTGTGGGTCCCTCTAGTTGTGGCATGTGGGACGCCGCCTCAGCGTGGCTTGATGAGCGGTGCCATGTCCGCGCCCAGGATTCAAACTGACGAAACACTGGGCCGCCTGCAGCGGAGCACACGAACTTAACCACTCGGCCACAGGGCCGGCCCCCACCACCTGATGTTTTTTTTTTAACACCAATTTTTATTTACTAGTTTTCAGTTTAATGAATTGGTCTCCTGTCATCCTTAAAAGTTGACCAACTGATTTCATTAGGAAAATATCATGAGCTCCTAGAATTAAACCTATTCCAGTTTCAATCCATTGAATTATTATTTATTTATTTATTTATTTTTTAAGATTGGCACCTGGGCTAACAACTGTTGCCAATCTTTTTGTTTTTTTTTTTCTGCTTTATTTCCCCAAACTCCCCCTGTACATAGTTGTATATCTTAGTTGCAGGTCCTTCTAGTTGTGGGATGTGGGCCACCGCCTCAACGTGGCCTGACGAGCGGTACCATGTCCGTGCCCAGGATCTGAACCCTGGGCCGCCGCAGCGGAGCTCGCAAACTTAACCACTCGGCACCGGAGCCAGCCCCTAATCCATTGAATTATTATCTGTAGTGAAGCTCACATTGTTTCATGTTTGGCCATAGTCTTTCAGGGTAGTAGTCTCTTCAAGGTGGTTCGTAAGTTCTTTTGACATAGGCCTAATAATCTTTGATAGTTTCCTTGTTCTCTGAGACAGCAAATTGTTCCAGACTCATGTTGTATGTTTGTTGCCCTGTATCTGGAATTAGCTAGCTATTTTTCCAAAAAGCTGTAGTTTCTTTTAGTGGGAAATAGTGTTTCAGACCACAGTCAGGGTGCTAAATAGGTTCATTGCTACCGAGTTGTTTTATTGCTTCTAGGCTTTTATAGTAGCCAAAGCTAGGAGTTGTGTGTGTGTGTGTGTGTGTGTGTGTGTGTATTTAGAGCTAAAATACCTCATGAGTTGATACTGATACTTTCAAATTCAGAGCTATAAAATTTTTGCTTAACCTTTTCTATATTACATTTATATCTCATCTCTTCCAAACTAAGAATGTTGATTCTTAGGGATATGTAGGGATGCAGGGATGATAGAAGGAGAATATCCCATAATTACTTAGTTGTTTTAATCACATATTACACACACACACAAGCAGCCATCCTAAAAATAAGAGAATTACTGACCACTCTATGATTACTGAAAAATATTAATTTTTTACATATGCTTTCCTGGTTTTTATAATTGTATTATATCTACGTAGTCAGAGCATACATACTCTCTACCTTTTAACCCTCACTTAGTATTAATTCTGTGAGTAACTGCATATTTAATACTCACTGCCAGTCTCTGTCAGTGTCTATTCTTTTTGGTTGTCTGAAGCTCATACTCTCGTAGATACCTCAATAAAGGCTCATAGGAAAGGATTTTCTCAGTTCTTATGTATTAATAATTGCTGTGCTCTTTATACTTGGCACTCAGTTTTGAGATTATGAAATCTTTGGCTCACGTTTTCTTTTCTTCTGCATCTTAAATATATTCATCTATTTTCTTCTGGCATAAACCTTTGCTGTCAAAGTTTGAAGGTAATCTGATTTTCTTTCCCATATGAGTCATGTACTTGTTTTGCTGAGAAACCCATAGGATTTTTTTTTTAAGATCAGTAATTTTACTAGAATATGTCTTGATGTTATTCATTCTGGGTTGATATTCTCAAGAGATGTGAGAATTTCAATATGCAGTTTCAAACCTTTTTATTTCAGGAAAGTTTCCCTAAATTATAGTTTTTAGTATTATTTTTAGTCTTTTTATTTGGTTCTCTTCTTTAAAGACCCCTATTATCTGTTTATTGGATCTTTCCGTAACTTTAGTATTTGTCACTTTTTCTTGAATACTTTTTATATCTTTTTTATTTCTAAAAATTTCTTTTTATCTTTTGTTGCTCTTAAGGTATTGTCTACTGTATTTATTTATTCTTGGATTCCTTCTAGTCTTCATTTCTGAAATGATTTTTTTCTTTTACTTCTAGTTCTTTCTTGAGTTCTGTCACCTCATTTTTGAGTGTTTCTATTTCAGATTTATGTTGTTCTTTCATGTCTTGTTTCATTTTCTTAATCCCTTTAGCTTGCTTTGAAATAGGTTATAATTTGATCTGTTTTGTGGGCAATTCCCTTCTGCCATGCTTTTATTGTAGGGATGTTATTCTGCCTCTTTTCCCTTTTTTTCTAATAATAACTTAATATGGAATTTGACCTCGATACTTTTCTGTTGCTTTTCTACGTAAAATTTGTTTTCCTGAACTTTTAGAATGGGATGAGATTCAAGATAGCTTTTCTAACTCCATAGACTACCTCCCTTTATTGTTTTTGTGTAATATTAAAAAAAATATGGTGGTTTCCCAGCATATTCCCCTCCCCAACTTTTATCTTGATCTTCTGTCTTTCTTCTCTGTTATCCCTGTCTGGCTTAGTTTTTGTTGCCCTCTCAGTAGCTTCTCCTCAGTGTAGGAGTTCTCTCCTGGAAGGGTCTTGGCTTGTCAATTTCCAGAGTTCACAAGGGCTGTGTTGCTCTAGCTTCTTTCAAACTTCCCATCATGTACCCCGTGTACTTACCTGCTATCAGAGAGGGCAGTTTCTTCCCAGTTGCAATTGCTATTCTTAAATTGGCTTATTGTTCTTTCCAGTGAGTACCTGATTAGTTGTTTTGGTTTTTTTTTGTTCTGAGGTCTGGCAGACACTCTATTGCTTCCTCCTGCACAGATGTCACTGCAGTGCAGATCTTAAGTTTGGTGGTGATTTGTTCATGCCAGCTTATATTTTGGAGTTATCAGCGCTACCTTTGTCACCTAGTTTTGTTGTGAATGGTAAATGTGGGTTTAGAGTTTTGCTTTCTCATTGCTCTCTGTAGTGATTCAGAGTGTTTAGAAAACTGTTTTTACTGCTGCTGTTATCTTCCCAGAATCTCCCCTACCAGTTGTTTTTAAAAAACACGTTTCTAAGCGTGAGTAGATTGTATTTTTTTCCTGCCTTGCTCCTCTTTTTTTTTTTTTCCGGTGGGGCAGGGGTGGGAAGAGGACTATGATTTTTCCTTTAAGCTTTATTATAGTAATAGATCTTTAGAGAAAAAAATTCTAACCCTCTTGGCCCCACCATCCTCCTTGCAAAATTTCAGATCTTTTATTAGGGGCTGGCAGCCTTCACTTATGCATATTTTGTGTGTCCTCGTGTTCACTGGAAAATAATTTATCTAACACACATATTTTTCTGTTGTTTTGGATACTATTTAAAGATTCTGACTAAAATTACTCTGTCTCCTCCCACTTAATGGGCTGGTATTCCAGTGTATTGACTTTTGAAAATTCTCTTATCGTTTTGCTTGATTCAGCAAAAAAACTAAAAGGTGGACACCAAGCTGACAACAGGATAGTCCAAATTAATACCTTTATTGTATGGAGTTCATACAAGTCAATAAAAAATCCATTAAGCCCTAATAAATGGGCAGAGGTTAGTGGTAAACAAATAGATGGGAAAACTTTAGTTCTTCTGGTAATGAGGAAATGTAAAGTTAAAATACTACATCCTCTTTTTCTCCCACTTAAGTTTACAAAGAAATTAAAAGCATAATACTTACTGATTGTATGGATGCAGTGAGACTAGTACTCTCATAATTGGATGGCCACCCTGGGTCCTGTGCTTTTGGCAGGGCTGGGGAGGGGGAAAGCTGGATTTTTAAAAAGCGGTATGAATGGCAACAGACTTTACCATTATATTCTACACAAATGGTAAATAAGCCATGATTTTTATTTTATATATATAATGTATGTATGAGTGAGTGTTGAATTGCTCTGGACCTTTACTGTTTTTAGGACAGCCCTCCTTTTGTACGTTGCTGGTGATATAATAATATTGTAGCACCATTTTGGAAAGCAATTTGGTATAGTATGTTTTAAGAATCATAAGATTATTGTCATTTTTTTGGATATAGTAGTCCTATTTCTGTAGTTCTCTACTAGATTAGTAATAAAAAAGGTAACTACTATGTTCTTAAAAATGGCTTATATAACAAACAAGTAGGAAGAATCTAAATGTCCTATTAAAGGGAAGTTGTTAAGTTTCATTAGGTGGAATATTATTGGTTCAATCATGAAGATTAGGTAGACATATGAAAAATTTTGCATGACTCTTCTGTGTCATTACTTTTATATGTCCATTGTGATAACTATGTTAAATAACATGTATATGCAAAATTCTGGAAGGATATATATAAAAAAGATAACATTTATTAAGGTGATGGGATTATCAATGGTTTTTTTTCTACTTTGTATCTTAAGCTTTGTTTTCTATAATGCTGTTGTATGCAAAAATAAATTTTTAGTTAAAAAAGGCTTGTGTGTTTCCTCCTCGCCATTTTTGCCACCTTTATTAGTATCTTTTAGTGGTTTATTCTGCAGGAGTAAATGATCTGGCCATCTGTGTTTAAGATTGGTTGTGTTCTTAGGTTATTTGAGCAGTTGAGAGTTTTAGAAGAAGGAAAGTCAGTAATTTCAGAGCATTTTTATAAAAATATCTACACTAAAAATATCTTGACTATTTATTGCATGTTTTAAATTTTTAATAGGTTTGCAGAATGGCTTCTGATTACTCAAGAACATGTGCTAGCCCAGATAGCATTCAGACTGGTGATGCTCCCATTGTCTCCGAAACCTGTGAGGTTTATGTTTGGGGGAGCAACAGCAGCCATCAGTTGGTGGAAGGCACACAGGAGAAAATATTACAGCCCAAACTGGCTCCTAGTTTCTCTGATGCTCAGACGGTGAGTTCCCTGCATACCTTCCAAATTGGTAGATGGCAGGGTTTGCTTTAAGTAATGTTAAGAGTATTTTTTAAATGAGTGAAGAATCTTGCTTGTTTCTTATCTATGTTGTTTCCATACCGTACTATGTCAGGTTTTTTTCCTTTTAATAGAAAAAAGTTTTTAATCCCGCATTTCCTTAACAGTGTTTCCAAGTTTCAAAAATTAAATTGGGTTCTGGATTTGTAAAAAGAGATATGAATGGCAACAAGTTTACCATTATATTCAACACAAATGGTAAATAAGATTAAATAAAAACTGGAATTTTCCCTTTGCCAGATTGGCATTTCATTTTCTTATTATGATCACCTTTTTACATTTGTACCTACCTTTTAGCCCAGGTGGAAGTTTCTATTTTATTATTTTCATTAAATGTTTTTTTAAATAAGTTTTAAATAAGTTTAAATAAGTTTGTGTGTGTGTGTGTATGTGTGTGAGGAAGATTAGCCCTGAGCTAAGTACTGCCAATCCTCCTCTTTTTGCTGAGGAAGACTGGCCCTGAGCTAACATCCATGCCCATCTTCCTCTACTTTATACGTGGGACGCCTACCACAGCATGGCTTTTGGCAAGTGGTGCCATGTCCGCACCCGGGATCCGAATTGTCGAACCCTGGGCTGCCGAGAAGTGGAACGTGCAAACTTAACCGCTGTGCCACTGGGCTGGCTCCTTTTTTTTTTTAAAGATTGGCACCTGAACTAACATCTGTTGCCAATCTTCTCTCTTTTATTTCTTTTTCTTCTTCTTCTGCCCCAAGCCCCCCAGTACATAATTGTATATTCTAGTTGTAAGTCCTTCTAGTTGTGGTATGTGGGATACCACCCAGCATGACCCAACGTGCGGTGCCATATCTGTGCCCAGGATCTGAACCAGCGAAACCCTGGGCCGCTGAAGTGGAGCGCGTGAACTTAACCACTTGGCCGTGGGCTGGCCCCTAGAATATATTTTGTATGGTTCTTGCCATAATGGACTTAAAGGAATTTATAGGAAAATTTTATTTTTGCCCTTCACCAGTTACAAGAGGCGGCCAACACATTTTGCTTTGTTGTTTCTTTGAACCACGACTGGGTAGATAACCTCAAAAGATAGAGTAGACATTAATTTGAGCTCAACAGTAAAGTCAACTTGAAAAGGCCATTTATAGTTTTCTTAATTTTCTGTTTACTCCTTAATCTCTTTGGAGGGTCATGCCATATTCTGCTTTAAAAGACTTCCTTTGAGCCTCTTTGATAAAACCAGCCTTAAATATTATACTTTGATTCTCACAGAACCATTTTATATTTATGATTCTGTTTGTTTGCTTGTAGATTGAAGCTGGACAATACTGTACTTTTGTCATTTCTACGGATGGCTCTGTCAGAGCTTGTGGTAAAGGCAGCTATGGGAGACTGGGCCTTGGAGATTCTAATAACCAGTCTACTTTGAAGAAGTTAACATTTGAGCCTCATAGATCCATTAAAAAGGTTTCGTCTTCTAAAGGATCTGATGGTCATACTTTAGCTTTTACAACGGAAGGAGAAGTCTTCAGTTGGGGAGATGGTGATTATGGGAAACTGGGACATGGAAATAGTTCAACACAGAAATATCCCAAACTTATTCAGGGCCCTCTGCAGGGGAAGGTATGTGCTTTTTTTTGGGTTTAAAAATAATTAGATGCACTGGTGCTATAACTGACAATATCTTTCAGATTTTGATGTATTCTTTCTGAGTTGCCCCCATCCAACCCTTTGGGTTATCTTTTGTATATTTGCTTTATGGTTTACAAAACACTTTCTCATACATTATTTAATTTTAATTCTTAAAACAACCTTGTTAAGGTAGTTATTATTCTCATTTCACAGATAAGGAAACTGAGAATCAGCAATTCAACAAGTATTTATTTAGCAACTTCCAACTGCCAGGCATTGTTTTAGGCATTAGACATATAGCAGTGAACAAAACTGACAAGATCCTTGCTCTCATAGAGCTTTAATCTGTGGGATAGAGATAATAAATAAGTAAACAGACATGTAAAATAATTTTGAATAATAGTAAAGAAAAAATTGAGTAATGTAATAGGTACTAACTTGGGTGGGATGTGCTATTAGATAATGAAGTCAGAGGGTTCTCTCAGAGGAGGTGGCATATTATCAGAAATCTAAGTGAGGCATTTAGAGTGGTTAAATAACTTGCCCAAGGTCACACACAAATAATTGACACCATTAGAAACTGAACCTAGATTCCCTCTTCTTATTTTTATTTTACCTTTCTTTAAAGAAGTGAAGATATTTTCCTAAACTTAAAATTATGTGCAATTATATGGGTTCCTCTATTATAAGATTGCATTCTTTCCATGAAAATTTTCTCATATAAAAATCTTTTAAAGTTTAAATTTTAATTTTATATGAGAATTACAAGTGGGACACTTTTCCTTAATAGTAATTTGTCTGAGAAGGTTGTCTATCAAATGAATTTTACTTTATTATAACTTTCAGTATTTTAACTTCGATATCAACCCCAAAACAGTGAGCCTTAGAACATTCCACTTCACAACATCAGGGGACACTTGATAAGATGTTGAATATGGGGCTTTAAGGAACTGCATATGATTTCTATTTGAAATTGTATTTTCCTAGTCTTTCTGGCACCTTCTTTCTTCCTTAATTCCAATTCTTTTGAATTTCCTTTACTTATGTTCCTTTTAATATTCCATTTTATAATGGAAACATTGCCAATTAAAAATAACTTAGTATGAATGTCATGAAGGAAAAATGTCCCGTAAAGTAAATTAATAGTTTACACATAAAAATTTCAGAAGTTCTTAGCATATTATCTAGAATGTATTAAGTGCTCAGTATTTTTAATTGAATCTAAATTTTGAATTTTCTAAAGTGAGTTCTAAATTTTGTAGATTAAAAAGACATGGAGTTGTTAGTGTAGATATTTTTCTATGTTTTTTCAGTAGTCAGTGGTTTTGATCAGTGTTAAAAGGTATGAGTGATGTTGCTATATATACCCTTATTCCTCTGATTCTGCTCATCAACTGTACAGCTACTTGAGAGTAAAGTGATACTATCAGGAGTTTAATTAATGTAAGTTTATATAAACTGCTTAGATATATCTGCATTGATAATAGTGTGTTTTTGAGAGTTATCCCTGTTGTTTAATGAGTTTTTCTTGATTAGCCAGGATGGGAGGTTTTATGTTAACATTATATTTAAAAATTTTTCATTGCTCCGTGAGTGTTCAGCCCCCTCCAACTCTTTGAGCAAAGACTTGGTTGGTGATATAATATTCTTGCAAGTGACTAGATTGATGTTTTGGGGGCCCCTGCTAGCCTTTACAGTGCCTTTGTGTGAATTAAGAAAAGTTATCCTCTCCTTTGGGTGGAAGCCAGCATTCATTGCTTGGCAAACAGAGCATAGGCTATATTTCAGCACCCTTAAGCCAGGCACCCTTGTCCTGGACACAACCTCCACAACTGTACATGGCAATTCCTGGATGAGTTATGAATATTAGTATCTCTAAGTCTCTGTGTATAGGGTCAAATGTGAACTATGTGTTTTAGCATCTTCGTGGTCATGAAATTTACTTTGTGTGCTTTGTGTGCAATGCAGGTAGTTGTTTGTGTGTCAGCTGGATACAGACATAGTGCTGCTGTCACAGAGGATGGGGAATTATACACATGGGGCGAAGGAGACTTTGGAAGATTAGGTAAGATTTTTAAAAAATTGAAGTTATTTCACAGAAAAATGGAAATGATGACGGTTACTGAGAAGCAGTGAGACTGGATTAATAGGCCAAAGACTATCATTTGTTAGTTTTAAGTTCAGAGAAAGATAATTTTGTATAGAGAATACCTAGATTCTGGTGCTGAAATTTAAGATGTAATTACATCTAGCAAGTATTTCCTGAGCGCCTATTATGAGCAGGCACTGTGGGATTTCAGGGATAAGAAAGATACCATCGTGATCCTGAAGTATATAATTTAACGGGTAGTAAAAACAAGTTGCCATGAGCATGATACTAGACAGCATTAGGTAAGTACTGTGAGAGGAGCATAAATAGAATGTTCTAATGATTCATTGAAGAAACTGGATGCCTCAGTTTGGAAGCAGCCTAGAAGATTGAATGAGAACATAGTGGAAATGATTCTGTTTTTCATATTTAATTGCACTTAAAAAAAACTCAATTCTATTATTAACTTGTAATGTTTATTCCACCTGTGAAGTAATGACCTAAAGAAGAAGAATTAACATTATTTCTTTGTTGTTGTTTGTGTTTTATCCAAGGTCACGGTGACAGTAATAGCCGTAACATTCCAACTTTAGTAAAAGACATTAGCAATGTGGGAGAGGTTTCTTGTGGCAGTTCACATACTATTGCTTTATCTAAAGACGGGAGAACTGTATGGTCTTTTGGAGGAGGAGACAATGGTATGTAAAAATTACTTATTGGTAGCTTTGGCCTTTTTTCTTGAGTTTTTAAAAAAATTTATTTTTTATTTCTATAGGACATTGCCTGTTGTAGAAAAGCTCAAATACAGATGAGCAGAAATTTAAAAGATTAAAATGATCTATTCCTACAAATGTTGCTATAACCATTGTTAAAACTTTGGTAGATAGACATGTAAATATATATGCATTTATACAAGTGTATACATATATTTCTATGTAGATTTCTTTTAAAAAACAAAGCAGACATATATCATAGATATTATTTTATAACTTGCTGGTTTTTATCTAATAGTATTTTGTAAATATCTTTCTCTAGAATTTTTTGTAGAGAAAATTTACAAACATGACTCTACAATTTTCTTTTAAATGGCTCAAAGTATTCTTTCTTGTGATTATAACACAACTTATAAAACCATTTTATTATTGTTGAGTACCTAGACGGTTTCTAATTTTTTTCAGTATTAAAAATGACACAATGAATGACTAAATCTTTGTCCACTCTACTTAGTCCTTCCTATCAGCAATGTGAGAATGCTCACTTCTCCATATCCCTCAACAACACTGGGTATTAAAATTAAGATAATTTTAAAAATAATTTCGACAATGAAAATGGTATCATTTAATTTGTGTTTCCTTGATTCTTAGTGAGACTGAATTTATATGTTATTGGTCATTTGTTTTTCTTCTTTAGTGGTTTGCAAAGTTTTGTGTTTCATGAACTATTGAATTTTTTCAAAAATTAAAAACAAAGCTTACTCTTATATAGGACCTGTTTATTATATCAGCAAATTTAAAGTTAGAAATATGAACATAAAAGGGGAGAAAGACAGGAAGATAATTTTCCATGTCTCTCTTAGAGTGATTTTAATTGCTTGAAATTATGATTCAGAACGCTATTGGTTGTGGGTTGTTTCTATCTTGTAGCAAAAATACTCATTTGTTAATGTCCTCTGCTGTCAGAAACTGTCCTAGTAGAGATGGAAAGATGAGTGATATTTTTCTACTTAAATACTTAGAAAAAAAATAAGAGGTTCTTTAAAACAAGTAAATTGTTTAACTTAAATGTGTTTGTTTTTATAGGCAAACTTGGCCATGGTGATACTAACAGAGTGTATAAACCTAAAGTTATTGAAGCTTTACAAGGAATGTTCATTCGCAAAGTTTGTGCTGGGAGCCAATCTTCTCTTGCTTTGACATCAACAGGGCAGGTAGGACTAAGGGTTGAACATAAAAAGCTTAGAGTATTTCAGAGGATTAGATGGCTAAGGAATAGTAATCATATTTAAATTTTAAAGTTAAAAAATATATTTTAAAGGCAGTCTACTGAAATGAAATATTTTCTCCTATTTGAAGAAGTAGAATGTCTGAGAAGGAACTAGATTTTCTGACCTGGCCTTTATGACCCAGGAAAACCTGCCCACAGCTTCCTGTTCTTTGTATTAAGATGGTTTTATAAAACCTTTTAGCATTTAGCACTCCTTAAACTTTTTCTTAAAAACTGTGGATGGTGGGGGAAAGTGAGAATAGATTTTGCTGGAACCAGTGATAGGAACTAAGAAGACTAGAAGGTGATTAAAAGAGATGGTAAGGAGAACATTTCCATATGGAAAATAATCTGAGAGGATTAGGTGTTTCTGAGAAAGGGTAGTCAGGTTTAGGATAGTCAGAACTTTATACTCCCTTTATAAACTTTGGAACTTCTACATGCATATTTTAACTTCCCTCTGTTTGTTGGTGATGGAAAGGGTCCAGGTATGGTGATAGACTGACAATAATTTCCCCCTTATAACCATCAGTGATGACAGTGAAAAAGTGAGCTGACCACTCATTGTCTCACATATAGGAATCTGTTATGTGCCAGGCAGATAACAGATAAAATGTTTTTTGACTAATTCACAAGATGAGCAGCAAAGCTGAAATTAGCATATAATTTAATTACTTTTTGAGAGACTGGAATGCCTTGTGTCCTAAAATCAAATATATATACTTAGAAAAAAATAAAGTGAGAGAGAGGGAAATACTTTGAAATGGTAAGGGTGGTTCTGGTCACCATTATTCTTGCTGAGCATAAAATGAAGGTAAACATCTGCTTTCCCTCAGTCCATTTCAGTCTCCGCAGGCCCCTTCAGTGCTAACTTCCCACCACGTTAAGTGTGATTCTTATGTTTAAAAATATAGTGTGTATTTTTTTTGTCTTGCCACTGGGTAAGGACCAGGCATCAATCCTTCGGGACTGCATCCTCCTAACCTACAAGGACGCCAACAAGTTCTTTGCTGTTTTCAGTACAAAAAACCGAGATACTTAATTTTTAAGTCACTGTCTTATATCATCAGTGTTAAAAATGGTAGTTACATTATAGCCCACCAATTAAATGCATTGTGGTCAAAATAGTAGACATTTGCAAATGTATCCACATGAAATGACCAATAATTAAACAAAATAAGAAAAAAAAAAGTATGTATTTTTTTATACAACAAGGTCCCTAAATGCAAGCCACGTATTTCTTCATCTGGTATTCAACCAAAGGAACACTGCAAGTGCAGACTCTAGCTATGTGGGTCTTATTTAGTGATAGTGCTATATTGTACTTGATAAGTGATATAGGAGATTTTCAGTTTCTTTGACAGTATATTTTTTCATTTTTGTCTTTAGTTCTTAACATATGCCTTTACTATACTGTAATTTTGCTCCATTCTATGCTTGTCTTAAGTAAGTTCTCTAGCAACTGATAGAAGTATTTGCTCTTTATTTTTTGTTGAAGAGGTTTAACCTCTCAATTGTCTTTCCTGAAATAATTGCAAGACAAAAAACATTCCCAAACTTGGTGGCATACAGATAAGAGAGTCTACATTACCAAAACCCATTAAAGGGAAAAAAGTCGTTCAGTTTGCTGATTGTTTTGATTTTGGGTTGCCAAATTGGCATTATTTATCCTTTTGTCTTCCTCTTTTCTTCACCTCACCTTTCCCCCAAGCATCTTAAATCAGTCAGTGATTGTTTTAGTATTAGTCAAAAGTGAAGATGTTCAAAGAGAATTGTCTTGATTACTGCTTCACATGGCCCTCTTTGTAAATGATAAAGTTGTTATAACAATGAAGAGAGGTAGTTTTTAATTAAATCATAAACATCAGTTTTGTGATTTATATAATTTATTTTATGTGATCACACCTTGGTGTAATCAGCCAAGAAATATTTGTTGAGACTTTCAGAGTGAAAAACATGTAAAGGAGAAGTTTTAAGATAGCAACAGTATTTCCAAGCTGCTAAGATTGGGCAAATATAACTTACTGCAGGCCGATTAGTAGCTTTGGCAGAATCTCTCAGAAGATCCTTCATTTTTTTCTGTGACCAATTATTTTTCTTTTCAGCTAGCTGCTTGTCTGCCTGTGCAATGAATGTTTAAAAACAACCAAATGAATCACTATGGAAGTCTTTAATCAAACCAGTAAATATTTTAAACAACTGAGTGTTATTATTTAGTGTTAAGCCACACTGTTGTTTAACAGATGATGTTTATTTCTAAATAACTTAATTCATCAACCCATATCTCAGGATATTATGTGTAGTGTATTTCTGTTTATTTCAGGTCTATGCTTGGGGCTGTGGAGCTTGTCTGGGTTGTGGTTCTTCCGAAGCTACTGCTTTGAGACCCAAGCTTGTTGAAGAACTGGCTGCCACAAGAATAGTTGATATTTCTATTGGAGACAGTCATTGTTTGGCTCTTTCTCATGGTAAGGTGATTTGTTTTTAAAGAAATAGTATTAATTATCATCATGTGCCAGTTAACAACAGGGATACGTTCTGAGAAATGTGTCATTAGGTGATTTCATCGTTGTGTGAACATCACAGAGTGTACTTACACAAACCTAGATGGTATAGCCTAGTACACACCTGGGCTATGTGGTACTATCTTAGGGGACTACCATTGCATATGTAGTTGGTCATTGACTGAAACGTTGTTATGCGCCACGTGACATCACCTTCCATATGTATCACCTTCCATAAATATGTTACATTTAAATTTGGCTTTTCTTTTGTTTTTTATGTTTTGTTTTTAGACAATGAAGTTTATGCCTGGGGCAATAACTCAATGGGGCAGTGTGGCCAAGGAAATTCCACAGGTCCTATTACTAAACCAAAGAAAGTGAGTGGCTTAGATGGCATAGCTATTCAGCAGATCTCTGCTGGAACATCACATAGTCTAGCATGGACTGCTCTTCCTAGGGACAGGTAAGAGTGCCCATGTTTAAAAATTCTTGTGTTTTGGGGTCGGCCCAGTGGCCCAGCGGTTAAGTTCGCACTTTCTACTTCTCAGCAGCCTGGGGTTCGCCGGTTTGGATCTCAGGTGCAGACATGGCACCACTTGGCAAAAGCCATGCTGTGGTAGGCACCCCACGTATAAAGTAGAGGAAGATTGGCACGGATGTTAGCTCAGGGCCAGTCTTCCTCAGCAAAAAGAGGAGGATTGATAGTAGTTAGCTCAGGGCTAATCTTCCTCCAAAAAAAAAAATCTTGTGTTTTAATAACAGCAGAAACACTAATAAAAACACAAATAACTACTTTGTTCATAAAATGCCCTTCTGAATATTTATAGTATTGATTTTTTACTTTCATAGAAATGACATCTAGATTTCTTTCCATTTGACTGTTGAAGTTAGGAATGTTTCATAAGCAAGAAGATAGACCTTGTATTAAGATATTTCCAAACATTTTGAATTTCTTCTCTGTCTCCAGATACTGATTTTAAAAATTAAGTTTCTGCATATCCAGAAAAGTTAAATTATTCAAAATCAGAACTAGCTTTATTGATTTGAACAGTTGACTAAACTCAATGCCCTTTATCTGGTTAGTTTTTTGAAAAAAGGCAGTGGCCATACTTTTAAATAAAGGAATTTACTTTTTGCAGCAATTTAGCTTTTTCCTAAAGTAATAACCTTATTGCCTTAGATAATCAGGTAGGTGATTTTTAGCCAATATTAGGAGACTGAATTTTAAGGAATTTTGGGGTGGTTTCAGATATTTTCAGATACATGTGGGCTAATTTACAACTTAGAATGTATTGTATTTTCTTTCTAGACCGTTGATTCAGATGGGATTTATTATGACTTTTTAACCAATTAAAAACATTTATAGATAATTACCCTTCAAAACAAAAGCCAAAAATATAATAAGTTGTATATAAATAGTTTGCTATGTGTTAAATCTGCAATTTGTCACTTTATATGTAGATAGTTGGTTCCCGAGATCTTGAAAATCTTCAAAAGAGTTTTCTTTTAATAGATTTCAGTATATCACTCTATTTAGTCAGGCTATTTTTCTTAATTTGAAATATACAGTTTATAGACCCTTAGAACCAGAACGAGCTGCAGCAGATTTTGTGGCTCAGCCCTCTGCCCTCAGGTGAGTGAATATCCAAACCTTCCAAAACAGGTGGTGGTTGTATATTTTCTTCTTGAACAATTCTAGGGATGGCGAATTCTTGGTTTTCCTCAGTTGCTAAAATGAAGAGTTTTATCACCTTCATAATCAAGAAGGTCTTCTATGTATCTTGGAATCTTTCACCTTTAGTAGTGGCTTAATTTTTGTTTTTGATCATGTAAAAATTTCATGTTAAGGCTGTTTCATGATCGTTGTGTGCTTTTTTCTAGACAAGTTGTTGCATGGCACCGACCTTATTGTGTAGATCTCGAAGAGAGTACCTTCTCACACCTGCGTTCTTTTCTTGAGAGATACTGTGATAAAATAAACAGTGAAATTCCACCACTCCCTTTCCCTTCATCAAGGTATGTTATATGTATGTCTGTTTGTGTATGTGCATATGTCTATTAATTACTCGTTTTGAATTTTGCCTTATGATCTTTCCTGTATGATTTCCCCATCAATTATATGAAGCTTCTTGATAATCTAAAAAAGAACTAAACTTAGGTACTTATTGAAAATAACCTTTAGGAAAAGTTATCCATAATTTCATGAATCATGTTTTAAAAATTGTTGGTCATAATGTGACAAAATTTTTAAAGAGAAAACATGTGATCCAAACTGGATAGTACATACTGTTTTGTGTTCCAGAATTTCACAGCAGTTTATTTGGTTTCAGGGAACACCACAATTTCCTTAAGCTGTGCCTGAAGCTGCTTTCAAATCACCTTGCTCTTGCACTTGCGGGAGGGGTAGCTACCAGCATTCTTGGGAGACAGGCAGGTCCACTTAGAAATTTGCTCTTCAGACTGATGGACTCGACGGTCCCAGATGAAATCCAAGAGGTAAGAGTATAGGACTCGTGAATTTATATCTCAAACCTTGTCTTTCCCCCACTTCCTGGTGGGAGTAAATGTTTTTGGTTAGCTCATCCTTTAAGACGAAGATCCGATGTCATCTCTGAGAAACCTTTCATTCCCTGCTCTCCTACTAGGTAAGGTTTCTCTTGTACATGTTCTCATTGCATCACATTGTATTATAGTTGTCTATTTACAAACACATCTGTCTTTTCTACCAGAAGATGAATTTTTGAGCACAAGGACCCAGTTTTATTTTTTATTATGGTAAAATACATATATGATTTACCATCTTAACAATTTTTGAGTGTATGGTTCAGTGATATTAAATACAGTCATGATGTACAACCATCACCAGCATCTGTCTCTGTAGCTCTTTTCATCTTACAAAATTGAAAATCTATACCCATTAAACAGTAACTCCTCATTCTCCCCTCCCTCCAGCCCCTGGCAACCACCATTCTACTTTCTGTCTTTATGATTTTGACAGTCTGTCATTTAAGTGGAATCATACACTGTCTTTTTATGACTGACTTATTTCACTTAGCATAATGTGTTCAAGGTTCATCCATGTTGTAGCGTATCAGAATTTCCTTCCTTTTTAAGACTGAATAATCTTCTGTTGTGTGTTTATACCATATTTTTCTCATCCCCTCATCCATCATCTTTATGACCTTGGATCAGGTAATGGTTTCTTAAATATGACGCCCAAAGCACAAACAGCCAAAGAAAAAAGAGATAAATTTGACTTCATCAAAATTAAAAACATTTATGCTTCAAGGGACATTAAGAAAATGAAAATCCATCTCACAGGATGGGAGAAATAAATGTAAACTATATATATGGTAAGATTCTAGTTTCCAGAATATGGAAAGGATCCTTAGAACTCAACAATAAAAAAGACAACCCAATTTAAAAAATGAGCAAAGAATCTTAGTAGATGCATCTCCAAAGAAGATACACATATGGCCAATAAGCATATGAAAAAATGCTTCAACCTCAGTAGTCATTAGGCAAATGCAAAACAAAACCACAATGGGATACTGCTTCATGCCCACTAAAGAGCTGTAATCAAAAAGACTGAGAACAGGAAGTGTTGATGAGGATGTAAAGAAATTGGAACCCTCATACATTGTTGGTGGCAATGTAAAATGATGCAGCTGCTTTGGAAAACAGATAATTCCTTAAATAGTTAAACATGAGTTACTGTATAATGCAGCAATTCCACACCTAGTTCTATATCCAAGAGAATCAAAAACATATGTCCCTACAAAAACTTGTACATGAATGTTCATAGCAGTATTATTCATAATAGCCAAAAAGTGGAAACACACAATGTCTGTCAAGTGATGAATGGATGAACAAAAGTGTGGTGTGCCCATCAGTGTAATATTACTCAGTCATAAAAAGGAATGAAGTACTAATACATGCTACAACCTGACTGAACCTTGTAAACAGGCTAAGTGAAAGAAGCCAGACACAAAAGCCCACATAGTGTATGATTCCATATATATGAAATGTGCAGAGTAGGCAATCCATAGAGCCAGAAAGCAGATTAGTTGGTTGTCAGGGCTTTGGGGGATGGAGAGATGGGGAGTGACTGCTTAATGGGCACAGAATTTCTTTTTGGAGTGATGAAGATATTCTAAAATTAGTGGTGATGTTTGCACAACTCTATGAATATACTAAAAGCCACTGAATTTTATACTTTCAAAAGGTGAATTTTATGCTGTGAATTACATGTAAATAAAAAACAGCAAAAAAGATACAGTGATTTTTCAACTAAAGGGACATATCCTTGGAATGTCGGTAGAAGGAATATTAACCAGGTGGTGAATGGGAACTTTGACGATTTAATATTTATGAGGAATGAGGTGGTATAATATTTTATTTTATTTTGGATTTATTTCTTTTTCTTGAGGTACAGTTGATGTACAATATTATATTAGTTGTAGGTGTACTAGTGTAATATTTTAAAAAAGGTTGAAAAGCACAGGAATAAGATAAGGAGAGTAAACTTTTAAAAAGTTATCTTTAGAATTGTTTATTCTCCTTGGTAGCTGCTCCATCTTAGGAGAGTCCTTAGGAGATGGATTCTCCCAGGATGTGTATAGGGCTGTTTCTGTTGAGGGCTATTTCTGATCCTCTTTCCTTATCCCTGAAACTTCTAGTAATTTATTTGTTTGCAGCAATCACTGTTGCTGTTGTTTCTTGTGTTTCTTTTTTAATGCTTTATTTTGAATCAATTGTAAACTTAAGGAAAGGTTGCATAAATAATAGAATTTTCATGTATTTCTCACCAGCTTCCCCTAATGTTAATGTCTTACATAACCACAGTACAATTATCAAAGTCAAAAATTAACATTGGTTTAATACTGTTAAACTAAACACTTTTTAAGAAATTTTATCAGTTTTCCACTAATGTCCTTTTTCTTTTCCAAGGTTCTATTTGGGATCCCGTATTGCTTTAATTGTTTTTTCTCCTTAGTCTCCTGCACTCGGGAACAATTCCTCATTCTTTCCTTATCTTTCATGACTTGGACACTTCATGAGTACTGGTCACTTATCTTATTGAATATCTCTTTAGTGTTTTCTCATGATTGTGCTGAGGTTATGCATTTTTGACAAGAATACCGCAGAAATGGTGATATGTTTTCAGTACATCATATTGTGCAGTTCATGATATTCATGTGTCTTATTACTGGAGACTTTGACCTTGAACACTTGGTTAAGATGGTGTCTTCTGGATTTTTACATCCATCGGTAGCTTCTGATAGAGAGTAGATAGAACATACATTCTTTGAGAATATACTCACACGGAAATAGTTTGCGAATTGAGTATCTTCGTGAAAAGTTGAAGCATAGAATTCTAATGGGAAATCATTTTCCCATATGAATTATAAAGTTGTCATCTTCTAGCTTTCAATGTTGTTACTCAGAAAATCAATGCTGTTCAAATTTTTGATTCTTCGTATGGAAATCTGTTTCTCTGTCTAGATTCTGTAGCAAGTTCTACTTGTCCTTTGTGTTCTCGCTCTTCAAAATGATATGAACTAATGTGGTTCTGATTTTATCTACTGTGGTGTATACTTGGTTGGACCCTTTTAATTTGGAAACTCTTAGACTTCAGTTTTAAGATATTATCTTGAAATATATTGTTGATTTCCTCTTCATTGTTTTCTGTCTCCCTGGAACTCCTTATTTTAGGGATACTAGATGTCCTGAATCAGTCCTCTTAATTTTCTTCTGTTTTCTTTCCTGTTTGCCATCTTTTTTCCCTCTACTTTATGAGAAATTTAATCTTAAATTCTAACCCTTCTATTGAGATTTTTTGTTTCTTCTATCATATTTTTAATTTATAAGGGCTCTTGTCCTTAATCTTTGTTTCTTTCTTCTAGTCCACTACCCTCATTTTGCTAATAAAGAAGCTATGATCCAGAGAAGTTATGTGGCCTAAGATAATACAGCTATTCTTTATGCTGTTTTTGCTACCTGGATCTTTGTCTGGCTAAGTCCTGCTCATTTTTTAATTCTTAACTGAAATGCCTAATCCTCAGGGAGATGTTCCATGAGCTAATAGGCCATGTAAATTGCCTTTGTATGTGTGTACTCACTGAAGTTTGCACTTCCTTTTACTTTCCCTTTGTGACTCCTTTCACATTTACAATTACTTGCTCAAGATTTCTCTTTCCTGCTAGAGTATATGCTTATGAAAGTAGGGCTTGTGTCTGTCTTGTTTATTTCTGCATCCACAGCACTTTGCAAAGAACCTTACCGGGCCCAGTATTGTAGACTCAATGCTAAATTTTTGTTGGGTGGTGATTAGCTATTTAATGGCAAATCCAAAATATGTATTCTAGTTTTCTTAAAGACATCTAAAGAAGGACTTGCACGTTTTCTTTTTTGACATACCACCTCTTTTAGACTTTTATGATCCGCCTTCTTTAGACTTCCATGATCCTAATAGTGAATTTATTTTTCATATATTTCTATTAAAAAAATAAGAACCAGGCCAATAAATCTACTTTTCTTTTTTGATATCAGGTGGTAATTGAAACTCTGTCAGTGGGAGCAACCATGCTGTTACCTCCATTAAGAGAACGTATGGAATTACTTCATTCTCTTTTACCCCAAGGACCTGATAGGTGGGAAAGTTTATCTAAAGGACAGGTGAGCCTTTGCGTAGTATCTAAGTAAATCAGTAATATCATACAAAAAAATAGACTGAGTGGGAAATAAAACTTATCAATTGCTATGTGTTTATGGAATAATACTTAACTTGATGGGTCTGGTAAATCCTAGTATTTAATGTTTTCTGCTGGACAAGTTCCCAGATTTCTAATGAAGGTGAAGCAAGTGATAATTTATTAAATGATTTGGGGCCGATTATTAAAATTATGACTGATTTTTCCAGTGTTGCTTACACTGTCAAACTACAGACCTTTTAGTTTATTTGTAGTATGCTGAGTTGAAATAAAGGGCATGTGCTAGTGCTGGTTCCATGCCCAGAACTTTCTTTGAAATTGCTTATATAAAAAGTAAAAGAAGATTACTCTTATGAAAAAGTATTTGATGATATGCATATGCTTATTCTTTCCATTTTTAATGTCTGGTATACATTAATTACATTTTTCTTAACCAAGTAAGAATAATCAATTGTAGAGTTATCGATTTGAGGGAAAAAGTGGTGCTTACCGGCAATATAATATCCACAGATGCTTTCCAATAAATATTTTGCATTGTTTGGATTTCAAGTGATTTATCTTAAACATTAGAATAAATAGTGTCATTGATAATTTTTAGAAGAATGTATGCATAGCATAATTTATCTGTTGACATTTCCTATTCCTCTTTACTTGCAGTGCTAAAGTCGTTATGCAGAGTATGTCATTTTAGCTTAGAGTTTTAGGTATTATAATAAAGGATGGAATAAAATGCTATAAGTTGCATTTTTCCGAATAATAATAATAATAGGATAGTTCTTGTTTTGATTACACATTTCCTAAAAGATTATTGTTTATGAGGATATTGAGTGGATTGGTTAGTATTATTAGTACAGTTTTTTTTTCTAGGATCCTTTTTTTCTTTTCTAGTGCACTTTAAGCTAATTATTTATTTGTTCCTGTTTCATTGCTGGAAACATTTTTCTTTAGAGAATGCAACTGGATATCATTCTAACAAGTTTGCAAGATCATACCCATGTAGCTTCCTTACTTGGCTATAGCGCACCCTCTGATGCTGCTGACCTCTCCTCTGTGTGTACTGGCTACGGAAACCTGTCTGATCAACCTTATGGCACTCAGAGCTGCCATCCAGACACCCATCTGGCTGAAATTTTGATGAAGACTCTCTTAAGAAATTTAGGATTTTATACAGTAAGTTCCTCTTTTTCTTTGTAGTGAAAAAAAGAATAAAGCTAGGAGTTTATTTTGAAGAGGGCAGGGACTGCTTCAGGTCAAGATATTTTGACATTTAAACACTAATGTAATCAATAAAACTCTAGACTCCACTCCCCCAAAGAGGGGAAAACATGTTAGATCTTCTGAAATATTGTGGGTGCCAAGTGACTTGTAACTGACACTTCCAGAGGTTTATTTTAGAATTTTACCAAAGTTTTCTGGTGTTAATGTACAAGAATAAACAGATAAAAATAGTCAACAACATTTTGCAAGAGAAGAATAATGAGGAAGGGATCAACCTTACAGATACAGTCTTATAATTAAAGAATGTGGTTGGTACTGACTAAGAATAAGCTGGTCAGTAGGAGAGAAGACAATGGGCACAATAGCTTTCCCTGTAATAGGATGCCATTAATTCTTATTCTTTGCTGTTTCTTAGATTCATCTCTTTTTTTCTTTCCATTTCTGGGGTTCTAGCTCAGGCCATCATGACCCAATGCTAATAGCAATGTTGTAGCTGTTGTCACTGTTGCTAGTCTCTTAGCATCTTACTGCTGGAATAACCTTGTTGTATTAAATAACCTCATTGTATTAAATTAGAACCCCCTCAGACCCTTCGTCATTCGGCTTACATACCACTCTCATTTGAGCTCATGCGCATGGCACACCTATCTCCTGCTTGCTCTGTCTGTCTACCAATCTGTGACTTCTTTAAGACTTGACTATTCTGGGAAGTTTTGCCCCAATAACCCCATCTAACTATGTAATTATAACTGCACACCTTTCAGCAATGTTTAGAGTCAAAGTGTACTGTGAGACTTAACTTTGAATTGTTTGTGTATCATTTCATATTATTTCCTACACCTCTTCAGCGTCGGATCTGTATATTCTTTTTCTTCTATACGAGTCTTAGTGTTCTTTTCTGCCTACATTAAAAGGTTCTGGCTAAGTTAGAGTGACAGTTGTTTCTATAGAATTATGTTCTTTCAGATTTAAGGATGTAGATTTGATCTGATATTTGGCTGCAAATGGAATGGGAACAGTGTTACGGTATATCCATTTATTATTGACTGAAAATTTTTTCCAAACTTGTAAGGGACATTTATGCTGCATTAAAGTAGTGCCTTTCTTGTGTTATTAGGGCTGAGGTAGATGTGTATATTTATGGAAATGGAAATAAAATACTAACTGCTTTGGGGCCAAAATCATAAATATTGTTTGTTTCTGATGTGGTTTAAACCAAATTTGTCACGTTCTAAGATTTTAAAACAATGGTGCTTATCTTAGTTTGTTTGGGCTATTATAACAAAATACTATAGACTGGGTGGCTTATAAACAACGCAAATTTACTTCTCACAGTTATGGGGACAGGAAGTCCGAGATCAAGGTGCTGGCAGATTCAGTGGTGCCCACTTCCTGGTTCTTAGGTGGCTGCCTTCTTGCTGTGTCCTCACACAAGGGAGCTCTCTGGGCTCTCTTTTATAAGGGCGCTGATCCCATTCATGAGGGCAGAGCCCTCATGACCTAATCACCTCCCAAAGGTCCCACCTCCACATACCACCACATTAGGATTAGGTTTCAACATAGGATGTTGAGGGGACAGAAACATTCCATCTCTAGCAGTGCTTGTTTGGCATCTTATAATGGAACTCATATAGCAAGGGCCTTAGAATGTTCTGAGACTCTCTCTTGCATATTGTAAACATAGACCATATTTTATGCATAAATATATTCATCATATCATTTATAAGAAATAAAAATTGGAAATAGCTGCAATATCTAAAAATAGGGGAATGGTTAGATAAATTACAGTGTATATGCTTAATGGAATATTATATGACTTAAATTTTATGTACACATGGTTTATGAAAACCTAGAAGATATTTGTGAATCTGTTGGAAAAGGGAAGACTGAAAATAGAATATGCGGTATTATGAAAAAACGTCAGGAAAGGAAATACACCAAAAAATATTATTAGTTTTCTATAGGTAGTTGGCTAAATGGTGATTTTACCTTTTTTTTTTTAAAGATTTTATTTTTCCTTTTTCTCCCCAAAGCCCCCGGGTACGTAGTTGTATATTTTTAGTTGTGGGTCCTTCTAGTTGTGGCATGTGGGATGCCGCTGCAGCATGGCTTGATGAGCAGTGCCATGTCTGCGCCCAGGATCTGAACTGGCAAAACCCTGGGCTGATGAAGCAGAGCGTGGGAACTTAACCACTTGGCCACGGGGCTGGCCCCTTAACTTTTTTTTAATGTAGTTTTGGTATTTTCTAATTTTTTTTTTTTTTTTTGGCATTTTGGTATTTGTTCCCTCTTTTGTTTAATCAGATTTTCTAAATTTTTTATACTGAGCATTTCTTTTTTTTAAAAAAATATTTGTAACTTGAAATAATTGAAAACTTACACAGGAGTTACAAGAATTATTCAAAGAACTGCCCTGCACTCTTCAGTCAAATTTGCTTTCTCTCTCTCTCTTTTATTCTAAATAATTTTGAGAATAAGTTGCAGATGTCATGCTGGTTATTCCTAAACACTGAGCCTGTCTTTCTTAAGAAGAAGAATATTCTCCTACATAACAACAGAACAATTATCGAATTCAGGAAATTTAACATTGATACAGAACTGTTATCTAATATACAGTCCATATTCAGATTTCTACAGTTGTCCCAATAATGTCCTTTGTGGTGACCCCCACCCCCCTGCCCAAATCCAGGATCACACATTGTATTTAGTTGTTATGTCTCTTTAGTCCACTCACTTCTCTTGTAATCAGAAACAAATTTAATTTCTAAGAATTGTGTTTTTAGAAATTCACAAGCATGTGAAAATAAAGCCTTTACACAGGAGGTCTAGAAAGCAATAGCATTAAAATGTTGAAATATGTTGTCTTTGAGTATTGTACTATTTTTCATATTTTCAAAGTTTCTGTGGTGAAACATGTATTACTTTTTTTTAATGGAAAGACAAATTGAAATTGCTTGATAAATCTTACCATCTAGTCTAAGTAGCTAACAACAACATAGCAAAGATTTAAAGATTGATAAGGAGAGAAAGAAGACATTGGCTTCTTAAATCAAAATCATTATGGTAGAACATTACTTTCATTTTCAAACACTTCAAATGTAATCTTCATTTATGTATCATTTTAGGATCAAGCATTTGGAGAGCTAGAAAAGAATAGTGATAAATTTCTACTTGGAACATCATCTTCAGAGAACAGTCAGCCTGCTCATCTTCATGAACTGCTGTGTTCACTGCAGAAACAGCTGCTGGCATTTTGCCATATCAATAACATTAGTGAGGTATGTGATTCTTTGCCTTTCTTGGTAATCTCTCACTGACCTCAAAACTCAGATAATGTAGGTAAGCCATGATATTTTTTGGTACCTTGAATCTTTTGAAGAGTAATTTAGGAACTTTTTTCCCTCAGAACTCAAGCAGTGTGGCATTGCTTCATAAACATCTTCAGCTCTTGTTGCCTCATGCCACAGATATTTATTCACGTTCTGCAAATTTGCTCAAAGAAAGTCCTTGGAATGGCAGCGTTGGAGAAAAATTAAGAGGTGTGTTTGGTACTGGATTTCAAATTTAATCAGTGGTTGTAAAGCAAGAGTCCTTAGCCTTTCCAAAGCCTTAAGAGGGCCTGAAACCTCTGAGTGGAAGAGAAATGATCTTGAATCTGCTTCCTATTGAAGATCTCTTTGATCTTGGTTTGGGGGTGATGGTAAGAGCGATTGATCCCATTAATCTTAAAAGATGCTAATTGGTGTGACAGAGGCCTAATTTAAAGGCATTGGATGATAACTACTCAAAAAGATTAATTTTAAATGGCACGAAGTGAGATTTTTATCTGCTGTTTCTTTACCTTTCCTCAGTATTTGCCAGTGTTCTTTCCTTCTTGAAATGCTTTCTTTTTTCTTGCTTCAGTAGTCACAGTCCTATTTTTACTCCTGTCTCTGTGATTACTCTTTTTCAGTCGATTCCTGTAAGCTCCTCTTCCTTGTACATGCCCTTTAATGTTTAGGATACTCTGAATTTTGCCCTCAGCCCCCTTTTCTCCCTGAATGATCTTATCTGGTCCCATTATCTTTAACCACCACGTGCACGTTGACTCCCATATTTGCATCTAGCTGAGAACTCCTGTTTTGCACTAGAAACTTTCTCTAGTTACCTGCGCGGTGTCTTTTCTTGGTGGTCCCAAAGGCAACTAAAATTCAATATATCTATCCAAAACCAACTCATCTCTGAAGTTCCCCCACTGAAAAAAGAAAGAAGCTGAGAAACTAAAACCATTGCTTACTAGATTACCTTCATTTTGTTGTTCCACAGGCATTTAAAATTTAATCTGTTCAAACTGAACTCATCTCTGAATGGGCCTCCCTGCCCCAAAATACAATGAAATATTAAAAATAACTTGATGTAAGACCACTATTATTTTATTATCTATAAAAAGACAGATGCTTTGAGGTAATTGTAATTTTTCAAAATGTAAATTTAGTTTAAAAGACTTAAAAGGCTTCCCTCACTAGAATGTAAGCACCATGAGGGCAGGAATTTTTAGCTCCTTGTTCATGACTATATGCCTTTCACATAGAACAGTGCCTGATATATTGTAGATACTCAATATTTCTTGAGTCAGTCTAAAAAGATAAAGTTGTGAATGAGAAATTCATAATACGTTTTAAAGGAAGCATCTGTAATCTTTTGAATTTGTTGGCATGAGGGTATGTGTACTTTCCCACAGTGTCTGTTGGTGGCACTTTCTGAAAGTGAGTAAATACTAATACCACATCAGCTACTAGGTAGGTGTTCAAAAAGAGTTATTGAATTAGTGTAGGCTACTATAGTATTTCTTAGGTTTTTTTTTTTTTCAGTTTGTTTGAAACGATTGATCCATGTTGAGTTTCTTACCCTTCCTAGATGTGATATACGTCTCAGCTGCAGGCAGTATGCTCTGCCAGATTGTTAACTCCCTACTGTTACTCCCCGTGTCAGTGGCTCGGCCTTTATTGAGTTACCTCCTCGACTTGTTGCCACCTCTTGATTGCCTTAATAGGCTCCTGCCAGCTGCTGCTCTTTTAGAAGACCAGGAGTTACAGTGGCCTCTTCATGGTAAGTAAAGGTAAAAGAGCGGTTATGCTTTGGAGAAAAGTTGTTCCTCTTGCATGCATCAGGTAAATCATATCTGACACTTGGGTGTTCTATGTAATCAAAAAGATGAGGTTGTTATCTTCTGAGAACTTACAGTCTAAAGTGGGCAACTGAGATGGGAAAACTCCAAGTTGCTCGTACATAACTGTCATGAATAGGGTCTTCATATGGTCATCAGGTGTGATTAATGTAATTCATTAATTCTGAGACTTTTTTTCAAATTTTGACATGGTTGAAATTGGGCCATGTTACAATGGATGATAGGAAAGCATTGTTTCATAATTCCGCCAGCAGCATAATGACACGTTTTACAATCAGTGGATTGATTTGATTAAAAAGTTTTCTTAAATGCGAAGACTTTTGTTTATTTATTTTTTTGAGGAAGATTGGCCCTGAGCTAACTACTGCCAATTGTCCTCTTTTTGCTGAGGAAGATTGGCCCTGAGCTAACATCTGTGCCCATCTTCCTCTACTTTATACGTGGGATGCCTACCACAGCATGGCTTTTGCCAAGTGGTGCCATGTGTGCACCCTGGATCCAAACCGGCGAACCCCGGGCCGCCAAGAAGCAGAATGTGCACACTTAACTGCTGAGCCTCTGGGCCGGCCCCAACTTTTAGTGTTTTTTTTTGGGTTTTTTGAGGAAGATTAGCCCTGAGCTAACTGCTGCCAATCCTCCTCTTTTTGCTGAGGAAGACTGCCCCTGAGCTAACATCCGTGCCCATCTTCCTCTACTTTATATGTGGGACTCCTACCACAGCATGGCTTGCCAAGTGGTACCATGTCCACACCCGGGATCTGAACCTATGAACCCTGGGCCACTGAAGTGGAATGTACGCACTTAACTGCTGAGCCACTGGGCCGGCCCCCCAACTTTTAGTTTTAAATTTCTATTTGGTAGTAAAATATTTTGTATTGGTTGGATATATAGATAACTGATTGAATGTCAAAGATGGAAGTTGGGAACCTATCTTCCTGTGTTTTTCTTTTTTAGCTACTTTATAGTAAAATAGTATTCTGATTTTAGGCATTACAGTTGAATTTACTCTTTTTTTATTGAAGTATAATTGACTTAGTTTCGGGTGTACAATATAATGATTCGATATTTGTATACACTGCAAAATGATCACCACAATAAGTCTACTTTCTCCCTGTCACCATACAAAGTTACAAAATATGAAATACAATATTATCTTAAATTTACTTTCAATTGAATATAGCTTAAAATACCATGTCTAAAAAACATAAACGTGTCTTTCCATTGACGTCTTGTCTACACTAAGGCTACCAAAGGAGTTTCAATACTGAAATCTTAAAAACCTTTCAAGTTTAAGTGAGGCCACTGTTTTTTTGGAAAGAATCCTGGACTAAGGTATAAAAGGATCTAGATTTTATTAGTCTTGGCTCTGCTAGTAATTTGGCTGTGTGATCTTGAGCAAGTCCCTTATAACTTCTGAAAGCCTTGGTTTCTTCTCCTGAAAAGATTGGAGTTGGACAAGATGACCTGAGGGCCTGTCCTACTTTAACATTGTATGGTTCTGTGACAGTTGGATTCAGATGAAGTCGAGCATCAAGGTTACAGTTGTAGCAGGTTGTTGATTAGGCTTTTTTGGAGCCATTCTAGGATTATTCTTGTTTTTCTAAAGCATCTCAGAACTTGCTAAGATTCACTCTGTTTGTATTACATTAGGTGTCATTTTATTTTGGATTTCTGCATCTGTGTTCATAAGTGATATTTTTCTATAATTTTTCCTTTTCATGCTGTCCGTGTATCATTTTTACTACCACAGTTATACTGACATAGCATCGGTTTGGAACTTCCCTTTTATTCTTTTTCTCTGAAATAATTTATGTAAGATAGGAGGTCTCTCTTCTTGAAGCTTTAGACAACTTTATCTATAAAACTATCTGGCCCTGGTGTTTTTTTGTAGATAGACTTTGGCTATTAATTTTCTTTCTTTAGTCATTATTATTCTCTTCCAGCTTTTTGTTTCTCCTCAAATCCATTTTGGAAATTGATGTTTTTCCATTTTGTTATTTTTCTAATTTATTGACATAAAATTGTTCATAATATTCACTCATGTTTTTTTAAATCTCTAGTGTATCTGTGGTTACATTCTCTTTTTTTATTCCTAGTTTTTGAATTTATGGCATCTTTTTTTTTGGATTAATTTTATTAGTGGTTTGTCTGTTGGTTTTCACATAACCAGTTTTTGGATTTGTTGATCTTCTCTGTTTTTCTTTAGCAGTTTCATTGATATCTGTTCTTAACTTTATGGCTAAGTGTAGTTGTTTTTTTGTTTTTTTTTTTTAAGGTGAAGAACTTTTAAAAACAAATGTACAATAAGAAAGCATGGGTCTAGATCTTAGTAAAAGACAATTCTGAATTCAGGCCTTAAAAGTATTAAACAATACTGGGGCTGGCCCCGTGGGCGAGTGGTTGAGTTCGTGCGCTCCGCTGCAGGCGGCCCAGTGTTTCGTTGGTTCGAGTCCTGGGCGTGGACATGGCACTGCTCATCGAGCCACGCTGGGGCGGCGTCCCACATGCCACAGCTAGGGGGACCCACAGCGAAGAGTATACAACTGTGTACTGGGGGGCTTTGGGGAGAAAAAGGAAAAAAATAAAATGTTTAAAAAAAAAAAAGTATTAAACAATACTAAGTGTCGTTGTACTAGATCAGCTCTTGTATTGATTTTGGGGTGATGAGCTGTCTCAAGTACTCATTCTTATGGTGAAATCTGATCTGGATAATGAAGAGTAGGAATAGAATCCTTTGGGATAATTCTGCCAAATTCTGTTTTAATTTTTATCTTAAAATTAGTAACTTTACAAAGGAAATTTTTGATAGCATAAGTTATCTGAATATATTTTACATTAGCCTAGTAAAGAGAATATGTACAGAATAATTTGTTCGCATTGTAAAGTTGTTTTGTGTCAATATCTTATTGCATTGCAATAGAAATGAAGAATCTTGAATACCAGGTACGACACGGTTACTAATGATTTTGTCTTCAGGAGGGCCAGAACTGATCGATCCTGCTGGTGTGCCATTACCTCAGCCAGCCCAGTCCTGGGTGTGGCTTGTAGATCTGGAAAGAACAATTGCTCTCCTTATTGGACGGTGTCTTGGTGGCATGCTTCAGGGCTCCCCTGTGTCTCCAGAGGAACAAGACACTGCATATTGGATGAAAACACCACTTTTTAGTGACGGTGTAGAAATGGACATCCCTCAGTTAGGTAATGTGCTTCTCTGCAACATTTAAAATACATGCTTGTGTTTGTACTTCTGTTGGAGATAGTACTTCTACTTCTCTTATTCTGGGTTTGCTAAATAGAGAACTGATAGAAAACAAATGCAACATTAGCAGGGTAAGGGATCTGAGACTAACTTGAAGCCCTCAGAAAAACAGTTAAATCCTGCAGTATTGTGTAGTGTAAAGAACCCCTGAACTAGGAGAGTATATGTCTGGTCCCACTCTGTCATTATTTATCACTTATTTTGGGCAACTCGTGTAACTCATAAAAATGGGAAAATACTTGATTCCTTGTGTTCTCGGGCTTGGAGGTTATGAAACTTCTTCATAGAATGTAAAGCTTTGTAAGGTTACTTACCACGACTTACTAGTGCTCAGTTTTCAGACACCTCTCGGATGTGAGTGGCAGTCCCTTCTCCTCCCAGCTTGTCCTGCTTTCATGCTGTTGTTACCTTGTGTGATTTCTCATTTTTTTCTCCTCACTTATGGTGCCTTTGGGGTTTCTCTTTCCTGCCTCATCTCTCATTTGTCTACTTTGCTGGTAGGCCAGCTTTCCGACGCACTGAAGACGAGGATTTCTCCAGTTCCTGAACAGATGATCTAGTTGTTTTATCTAGGATTAGTCTTTTAATCTCTGGGCTTCTAATTTTGATTCATAAAATGATGAGTTAGATTAGATAATCTATATCGTCTTATTAAATCTGAAATTCATTACTTCTATGATAGTAAAAAGAGACTCAGAGAGTGTCCAGGAAGGAAAATCTAAGAGATCTCAGTTTAAGAGAATCTCAACTAAGAGGGAATACAAAAGATAGAAACCAAAATAGAAATCACAGGAAGGTTTTACTTTAGGGTTGGAGAATAGAAATGAGGAAAGCTGTTGAAGATTTTTCTCCTTTTCCACATAGGAGTGTATATTCATCACTTCATTTATGAACCAGAAAGTGATTCTGGCCATGGTTGATGAATGCTAGACTGGTACCTATAATATGTTTGTATCAAAAAAGTAAAATTATGGTTTTTCAAGGGATATTTAATATCATAGAGATGGTTCCATGCTATCAGTGTTTTAACTCTGTGATAGCCTTAAATGTTCTCCTGAGGACAAAAGTGTCTATATCTCTACCTTCCTCATATTTCTGTTATATTTACTTCACTCAGTTAACTGGCCTTCAGTATAAATAAAATCAATTTGTTTTAATATTTTTCAGTTTTTAAATTATAAAATCATAAAACTATTAAAATGTTACATTTTATGTTTAAATACTTGCATATATTAGGAAAAGGGTATTGTCCTTTGCAAAATTGTAAATATGTGATAATTCAGTTATATCATGGGTTGACTTGACTTTTGGTATTAGCCCCAGAAGTTGACTATCATTTAGAGAATGTTGTTAGGTTTTTTAAATGGAAAATGATTCTGAATGCCAAATGTCCCATTGAAAAGTTAGGAACCACCTAAATAAGTGTAAGTATCAATTGGGAAATTGTTCATGGCATCTTTGATCTCTCTTGAAGCATACTTCACTGATTATTTTCCCTTAAGTCTAGAAAAAAGGAGAAATTCCTGTCTGGTCTCTTTCCCAGTGGTCCCATGTTTCTCAACAGGATATCATTCCATTTTTTGCACAAGAGAGTCTTTGTTACACAAGACTGTGCTGCTTGTCTAGGACATTTGGCTTCCCTGGTCCCTGCCTACCAAAATGCCAGAACTCCTCCCTGGAGTGTTATGTTTGGTCGCACATCCTTCTAGAGGGGGTGGAAAGGGTGATAATACCTCCAATTGAGAAACATTAGAGGACTTTTACCTTTGTAGCATCTACATAAAAGTTTTAAATGTATCATTTCATATGCATTAAATAAATGTGGTAATATTTTATTTGTAGCACCAAAATTTATGAGGTTTAGAATTGATAACTTGAATGATTTTTTTTAGATAAATGTATGAGTTGCCTATTAGAAGTAGCTCTTTCGGGAAATGAAGAACAGAAGCCTTTTGATTACAAATTGCGGCCTGAAATTGCTGTCTATGTAGACTTGGCATTGGGTTGTTCAAAAGAGCCTGCACGAAGCCTTTGGATCAGCATGCAGGATTATGCTGTTAGTAAAGGTAAGATGAAGAAGATAAAGGAGGTAAATATGTAGATAGCTCATAATACTGACTAATATATATGTAATATGTATAAATAGAAAATCACAAGGATCACCCTATTTTTTAATAGAAAAAGATTATTTTTTTTTAATAGAAAAAGATTATTTTACAAACAACATTAAAAAAAAATTCGATTTTCCTCTTTGTGGAAAATACCCTAGGTATTTTTTTTGTATACATGTATCCCACTTGAAGCAAACCCACTGTGGGAAAATTGAGATTTATACAAAAGATAGATCCAGAGGCAATCATTTTACTGAAGGATTCCATGCAATGTGAATGCATCTGGTATAACAGTCTGTTTAATGAATCTCTTCCTTTGCACAAGCCCTAGTATAAGAACTGAAAGGAGGTGTGTGTAGGAGTCTAAGCTCTAGGCCTGGTCCTTTTCCTTCTCTGTAAAACATTTTCCTGCTCCAGAGGGCTATGAAAATATCAATTTGAAATAAGGTGTGCTATTAATAAGAACACTAGTGAAGTGCTATGCAAGTATATAGCAATATTTCTTTTCTAATATTATTTGATGAATAAAATTAATTTTATGTACAAATTTTCAAAGGATAAACCTGATTCCTTTTCTCTCCCCTGTTTTGCCTTTTAACAGTGATCTTGGTTGTTTAGAGTCACCTATCTCTAGTTGTCTTTCTCTGTTATTTTTTCTTGTCCTATCTTTAGTTTCCCCCCCATTTCTTTGAATTTTCCTCCTTCTGTGATAAAAATGGTAAAGGTCAATACATTTTCACCTTTTATTTTCTTTTATTTTGTATGATAAAAATGAAATGAGATACATATTATTCAGATCTTTACAATACCAGTGAGATGGTACTTTTGAAAGTTTGATCTCCTCCAGTTTATCATTCATTTGTTTATTTGTTCTACTGTGTTGATTCCCACCAGAGGTAGAAAAGTATGGTAATGGAGGAGGAAAAAAGTTTACTTTCTAAATTGTATTTTCTGGTATTCTCGTATTTTGCATCATTTGCTTGAAATGTGCAGTTAGGTTTTCTTTTATATCATATTATCATTTCTTACATTGCAGAGTGAGAACTTGTGAAAACTAGATAAAAACATAAGATGAATAAAAACTCATTATATGGCTTCATTTGCTGAATTGCTTATACACTGTAGCCTGGACTTTATAACTGAGTAGTGGAAACACTCTGTAGTGCTTGGCATAAAATGACTGTAACTTTAGTGAAGGTGTTTTAAAAGAACCCATTGCTTTAAAAATTGCATGGGAGGATAATCCCTGCTAAATTTGAAACCTAGCAAAGAGTGTTACTTTAGTTTGCTTTTTGAATTGAATATTAGCATCCTTGAAATGGAGTCCTGTTTGATTTTGAGTCAGAGCAGTTCTTAGAATAGCAAGCAGTTCTTTGGAACAGATGATCTCTCGAGAACCTAATGTGGAAAAATTTTGTATGTAATACAAACTGTCGTTTTATGATTCTCTGTGGGCTGTAAGATTTTCTTAAAATCAGGCATGTTTATATTGTCAGTTTTTTCACTCGTAAAATAGGTAAGTCTGAGCTTAATGTTTTACCTAGGCATACAGTAATGACTAGAAAACCAAGATATAAAATTTTATCTCTTGAAATAGGAATTTTAAGAAGGGATTAAGAACAAATGAAGTTAACTTAGGGCTTAATATTTTCCAAGGGTGTTTTTGTTTGTTTGGTTTTGTTTTTAAGTAGCACAGTAAATCTGTGAAATTAACAGAGTCTGGCAGACATTCTGGGAGTGGAGTAGGTAATAAACCTCCCACCCCTATTTGGAATCTACTGAATGTACTGCATTTTTAAAGTACAGTATGTACTGGTTTGCTAACATGGAATTAAAGAAAGCACCTTACTAGTTCTCATCATCTAATGCTGTTATTTGGGTTTTCACTTGCATGTACTCAATCAAAATGTTTCATTTCTTACCCACTTAAGCGTATGTGTATTCACCATATCTACTTTCATGGCTTCAAATACCAGATATATACACACTTGACTAGTTTACCTAATACCTTTCTCCACTAGGATGTCTAATAGATGGTATTAAAAACCAGACTCCTGATTCCAGCTCCCTGTCCCCCAAGTGTTCTTACTGTGGTCTTCCTCTCTCAGTAAATGCCAACCACATTCTAAATACATTTGTTTTTAGAAGTATCAAACTTGACTTCTCTCATATTCTCACATCTGACCCATCAACAAATCCTATTAACTCTGCTTTCAAAATCCACGTGGAATCTGACACTTCGCACTACCTCCACGGCTACTACTCTGGTCTGAGCCACCATCATTTTTCACCTGAATTAACTGCAATAATTACTTCTGCTGTTTCTGTCTCTGTAGTAAATTCTCCACTCATCAGTCAGAGGAAGCCTTTTAAAACACAAGTCAAATCACGTCGTATCTCTGTTCAAAGCCTTCTAATGGTACTTCCCATTTCCCACAGAGTAAAACCTAGAAGACTTCAGATGGCCTGCAAGGCCCTCTGTGAGCTGGTCCCCAGGCAGCTTTCTAATGTCTCCTACCACTCTCGTGCACACCCACTTCGCTGCAGCCACACTGGCCTCTTTCGACCTACCTCAGGGCCTCTACACTAGTTTTTTCTGAGGGGATACTGTTTCTATGTGGCTTCTTCCTCTACTTCATCTAGATCTCTGCTCAACTGTAGCCTTATCGGAGACCTTCCTAAACCAGCCTGTATAGAATAGGAATCCCATATGGTACAGTACTTCTTGTTCTCCTTACTCTGCTTAATTTTTCTCCATAGCACTTATCTGTCACATTGTTTTTGTTTGTCTCCCTCACCTCCCGACTATAATTTAAGCTCTGTGAGATCAGAGACTTAGTTTTGCTCACTGCTGTATCCCTAGCACACGGAACAGTATGTGGGATCTAGTAGATGCGTTTGTTGAACAGCTGTTTAGGAAAATGATAAAATTCAGGTGTTAGACGACTAAAGCTGTTAAAATTACCTCTGAACTATTTTCTCAGCCCTTTTAAATGTCAATGCATCATTTTTATTTTCAGATTGGGACAGTGCAACTATAAGTAATGAGTCACTCTTGGACACTGTGTCTAGATTTGTTCTTGCAGCTCTTCTGAAACACACAAATTTACTTAGTCAAGCATGTGGAGAAAGCCGGCAAGTAACTTAAAACTATCCTCAGACATGTATTTGCTCTTATGATGTTAGAAATTAGGTAACTTTTCTACTTTGGTTCTTTATTTAGATATCAGCCTGGTAAAAGCTTATCAGAAGTGTACCGTTGTGTGTACAAAGTTCGAAGTCGTTTACTTGCTTGCAAGAACCTTGAACTTATTCAGACCAGGTCGTCATCACGAGACAGATGGGTAAAGTTGGAAATCACTTAATTTCTTTGTTTTTCTGCAAGCTCTGAGAGAGATCTCCGTATTGGTTTATGTGAGGGAAAAAAATGGACCTTTATTATTATAGATATTCAATAAATGTTTAATAGTTCTTTTTCTAGTGAAAAAATTGGATGAGTGAAAGATTTGGGGTTTATTTAACCCCACATTTATCAAGTGTGATATGGCTGCTAAGAAAGTTTATATATTTTTAGGCTGTGTAAATAATAAACAAGAAATTGAATTGTCCAAATCATATGAAATATTATTCCTTTGTTTTATGCTAATTAGACCACATTTGAATTATCTTATTTGGGGGTGCCGTAATTTATGAGGGACGTTAACAAACTATCTTGGATTGGTGAAGGGTCCAAAAACCATTTTATACAAGAACTGGAAAGTGTCAAATGGGAGTCGCGTAATAGCTGCTTAAAAATAGTTAGAGAGCTTCCGTCTAGGGGAGGAAATAAACATGTTCCTTATTGTTCCAGAGGGCACAAGTAGGACCAAAGGGTAACAATTGAATGGAGAATCATCGTTAACTGAATATAGGGAAAAAAGCCTTCGAATGATTAGAGTTCTCCACCACTGGAGGCAAAGATTGAAACCTTTTATTAAGGATATTTCAGAAGTATTTCTTGGAACAAAAATGAGATGATTTCTAAAGTGCTTGTAATCCTGATAACATGATCCTATAATTATAAGTCTAAGCCTGGATAATACATCACCTTCAGAAGTGCTTACTTTGAAAATTCATACATTAGATGCTCTGTATTCCATTGTTTGGATCTTAGATTTTAAAACCAAACTCTATCTCTACATTTGTATTATAGCACTCTTTTGGTATACGCTGATTTAGTATTCATGGATCTCGCTATTTGTTAGTGGCCTTAAAAGTCCATAAAATGTATTAATTTGCCTTTTTGTTGAAGCTCAGATTTGAAACTCATATATCAGGGGATAAATGACTTACGTATTATGTGAATCTGACTGACTGCTCAGTATTCCTATCTCTGTGAAATACTCAAGTTATTTATTGGCCATGAATCACAAAATCACATTTATTGTGCATCTGAGGATATCATTAAAATATTTTTTTTGTGCTTTATACTGAAATTTGTGGGGGGAAATGATATACTTTTATAGTATTTGTGACTTTCTTAGCACCTGTTGTAAGGACTCTTTCCTCTAGGTAACTACTAGGAGCATAACCACTGTGGGAAATAAAATTAACATTGTACTTACCAGATTTCTAATTTTTGGTTTCTTCAGGGGCAAACAAAGTAAAGAAAGAAATTTGAAACAATACTGTTTGTATAATTGAAATTTGCTAAGAGAGTAGAATGTAAATGTTCTCACCAAAAAAAAATACTGTTTTAAATAAGAATTATTAAACATTTATACAGAGTAATAATGACATATGCAACTTGAGGGAGACTGAATGGAATCTAAATTCATGGTCTTTAATTACCTTTTGTGCTTGGTGTCATATTCAGCTCATTTTAAGTTGCAGCTCTGTAGGAGTTTACGGCTGCATATCAATATAAATATGAATCCATTTATAGCATGACCTTTTTTTTTAAAGATTTTATTTTTCCTTTTTCTCCCAAAGCTCCCCTGGTACATAGTTGTGTATTTTAGTTGTGGGTCCTTCTAGTTGTGGCATGTGGGATGCCGCCTCAGCATGGCCTGATGAGAGGCACCAAGTCCGCACCCAGGATCCGAACTGGGGGAACCCTGGGCCGCTGAAGTGGAGCGCAAAGCGTGTGGACTTAACCACTCGGCCATGGGGCCAGCCCTATATAGCATGACCTCTTGATCAAAATACTAAGGTAGAGAGAGCATATAGGTGTCTCTGTGTATAGTGTATATACATTCTTTCTAATCTTTTCAGATTTATTCTGTATATCCAGATTTATCCAGTAGTAAAACTCATGTGTTTTTATTGATATTAGAAATATTTTCCATGATAAAAAAAAAAGTCAATGTTTTAATGAAGTTTTTCAAAGTTTTTGAAAAATATATTGAGTATAGCTCTGATCATTTCTTTAAGATATCAGAAAACCAAGACTCTGCAGATGTTGATCCTCAGGAACATTCATTTACCCGGACCATTGATGAAGAAGCTGAAATGGAAGAACAGGCTGAGCGAGACCGGGAAGAGGGGCATCCAGAGCCAGAGGATGAGGAGGAAGAACGGGAACATGAAGTCATGACAGCTGGCAGTGAGTACAACCTTCTTACTTTACGGAACACACTGTGGCATTCTTTTTGGTAGGGCAACTGACTGGAGGAGAAGGCAAAAGTTTCTTCACAGTTTTTCTAAAAGGATCTGATATTCTGCTGGTGATCTGAATTTACATTAGCTGACATTTCAGCTCTTATAACTGTGCTAGTTCCATTCTGCATGTTTTGGGCTGAAAAGCTCTGGAAGGAGGTTTTTGGAACCACTACCTGTTCCACTGAGTCTCATGCGTGAAATGACACTCATTAGTCACGGGTTAAGGTCATTCGAAGTGTGTCCTCTGCGGGGGTACCATGTTGTCCACTGACCTGGTCAATCTCTGCGTGTTGAGGAAGAGAGCCCCTTTCTATGCCTATGAGGAGAGGCCTATTATTTTCTATACATAGAACTTTTAAAAGTATAAATTTTACCCACTGACTACCCTGCTGTTTTCAGTAGGGAGCAAGAATATATATGAGAATACTGCTGGCTGAGTGAACAACACTTTTCGTATCAAGGCTACAGATAGTTAGTTTTGTTGTTGTTGTTGTTTTTGAGGAAGATTAGCCCTGGGCTAACATCCACCACTAAACCTCCTCTTTTTGCTGAGGAAGGTTGACCCTGAGCTAACAAGGGCTACAGATAGTTTTTAAAGGTAATCATTTGGATGTTTAAAAAGACCTGTCAAAGCTTTTTAAACATTTATTAGTATCCTTTGAGTGATTTGGCTATTTCAAGTTAAAGTGTGTATTCACTTTGTAGCCTAAAACATTATGGCGAGCTATGCATTTGGTATCATGATTGTATATGTCAATCAATTTGACGCTTACTTTATTATCAATTTACTTGTATTCTGCGTACTTCTAAAAATGTTTTTGAGGTGGCTCAAAACAAAACCAAAAACCATTAAACAAGAGGAAAAAGATAAGGTCCAAATGGAGAAAAGGGGATTGGAGATAGGAAGGGAGAATAATTATATTTTAAAAACTTAGGCTGAGGGAACTTTTGCAGTTGAACTTAAAACTTAGTTTAGAAATTTCTGAAAGCAAAGGACAAAGGGGAAAATGGTAACACAGTATAACCCTCAATTATAGTAAAAGAAAGCATAATAGTCATCTGAGGAGTAATAATATTTAAGCTAGCTATGGTTTTTGAGCACCTATTATATGCTGGTCACTGGGTCAAATGCTTTACATAGATTAACTCATAATCCTTGTAAGAGTCTTATGAGATGTGCTCTAGTATTACCCTACTCTAAAAATGGGCAAACTGAGGTTTAAGGAGGCAAAATTATGTGCCTGGGACCACAATTAGTTGCAGCTTGAATCAGAACCAGGTCTGCCCAAAATTTCAGTGACCATTCTCTTAATTACTTTAACTGATTTCCAGCTCTGGACTCTGAGTTTGTTGCTTTGATTTTTATAGAAATAAGGAACTTGTAACAGTATAATGAAAATATTATCGTCATAATTCTATAAAATACACAGATCCGTTTTTGAAGTTTGTACTTCCATGTTAACAGATGAATCTAGTATTTTACCAACTTTTCTATCTAGGTTCCCCTTTAAGAATACCATCTTCACCCCAAATTTGAGCAAAAGAATTCTTTTCTTATTGTGAACTATCTACTACTGCATCAGAACCTTGTCAAACCCGCTGACTTTTTACACTTGTGAATTGGGAAGGGCTGGCATCAGATGGACATTTCTGGTGATGCAATTTGACTGTGGAAGCAGTCTTTCCATATATTATAACCACATTTTGTTTCAGCAAAGACTTTTAGTGGTTGCGCTTTTTTTAATGTGTTGAAGATACAGCACATTGTAGGTGTTAGGAATTATATGGACTTTGGAAAGGGAAGGGAGCTGTTCATTATAACTAATGCAGCTTAAATTTTGCTTGTTGTGTTTGTAACCTGACATTTTTCATACCAGTGTCATGAACATTCCAGAAATAGGCAGTTATTTTTATCTAACCCAGTGCTTGTCAACCTTCGGTGGACTTCAGTATCAGCTGGAGGGTTTGTTAAAACATAGATGCTGGCCCTATGCCTAGAGCTTCTGATTCAGAGGTCTGGGATGGGCTGATAATTTGCATTTCTAACAAGGATCCAGATGATGTTGATCCTGCTGGTCTGGGACCCCACTTTGAAAACCACTGACCTATCTCATTAATAAGAGTAGAAATAGAATCAACCAAATCTAAATTCTATAAAGGCGTGAGTATTTCCTATTGTAATTTTTATGAAAAGTTTAATAGTTTGATATAATTTTAACTTAGTTACTATGCTATATTTAATGTCTAAAAAATAATTTTTCCCTCTTTCAGTAAGTTTTTGGTCCAAACTTTTTGACTATTTTTATTGTTATTTTCTTTGCTCTTCTCTCCCCATGTGTTAAGACCTTGTTTTTGTGTTGCATGTTACAGAAATCTTTCAGTGTTTCCTCTCAGCCCGTGAAGTAGCTCGTAGCCGAGATCGAGATAGAATGAACAGTGGGGCAGGGTCTGGGGCTCGAGCTGATGATCCACCTCCTCAGTCTCAGCAAGAGCGAAGGGTCAGCACAGACCTTCCCGAGGGTCAGGATGTGTACACTGCTGCCTGCAACTCCGTGATCCATCGGTGTGCCCTGTTAATATTAGGAGTAAGTCCTGTGATTGATGAGCTTCAGAAGCGAAAGGAAGAAGGACAGTTGCAGCAACCTTCAACAAGTGCCTCTGAAGGGGGTGGACTTATGACCAGGTGGGACTGACCAGAAACTTAAAACTACCTCTCCTCCCTTTGTTACTTTATGCATTGAAATGGTTTATTCTCAAAGTTACAGTGTTTTTCTGAAATTAACACAGACAGGGAGGAGGAAATACAAATTGACTAGGATGAATTTAAAGTAATATAAAGAGTAATACTGATTCAGCCTAAAGTATAAATTTCTGATTAAATGAGGAGGCACAATTTTTTCTACATATAAACAACAGTAGTTGAGAAACATATGAAGTTATTTGTGTCTCTCTGTAATTTAGTGGCATGCAAATTATTTTGATGCAATTGAGAAGGGCTTTGTGCTTAGACAAGAGTCAGGATTTCCCATCAACAGACATAATTGCTCCTCACTGTGTGTGTATTATCTCTGTGCTGCCAGTTCTGTTCAATTTTATGTTCACTAACAGTCCCAAATCGAAAAACTTTTCTTTGTGCATGTGAGACAGGAGTGAAAGTCTTACTGCAGAGAGCCGACTAGTCCACACAAGTCCAAATTATAGACTGATCAAATCGAGGAGTGAATCTGATTTGTCTCAGCCTGAATCAGATGAAGAGGGTTACGCACTGGTAAGTATACCTAGATTCAGTAAAGAAGGATTTTCGTTTTCGAGGTATATATACATAAGGCTTTGGTTAGAGTTAGTGATATACATTTGTTTTAGACATATAAAGACTTTTTTAAAAGAACTTTTAAGAGAAATGAGATAACTGTATTGCATAGATGTTTACCACCTATATGTTCATGGCTCTCAGATTTCTGTCTTTAGCTCTGACTTCTTCTTAAACTCCAGATTCATATATCTGGCTTCTTGATGGACATTCCACCTGAGCTTGTCAGGTTACCCAATCTTAACCTATCCAAAAATAAACTCACCTTTCTCTCAAACCTTCTTTTCTCACATTCCCCATAGTAGGTGGTACTATTAACTACCTGGGCTGGAAACCTGCATTCACCTTTGACTCTACTTTTTCTTATTTCCTGGTCTCTGCAACCCCCTCACTCTCCACAATCCAATTAGTCAAGTCTTGAAAATTTTACCCTTAATATGTTTCTAATTTGTCCTCTCTGTCCCTCCTGCCACTACTCTCTTCCAAACTTTCCTTCTCTTTAGCCTGGACACGTACAGATGCCTCCAAACGAGTTGCCCCACCTCTTGTCTTGTGCCCATCTTCCACATTTCACTAGAATAATATATTTAAAATACAAGTCTGTTTATATGTTCTCTACTTAAAATCTTTTAGGAGCTCTCATTATCTGTCAGAAAAGCCTCAGGACCTAGGATGCAGGCATTTAAGGTAAAAATCAAACAAGTGAGATGCTGATTTATATAAGAAGTGGGAAATAAGGTGTGCTATAGTGTGACAGGTAAAATAATTTATAGAGTGAAAACTATCTAAAAGATTGCTTCTATTTGAGTAGCTGTGGACTTGGAGTTGATAGCTGGCTTTTCATTTCAGCTATTTCTCTGCCTTATTTGTGAATCTGTATGTCCTGCTTGACTCTTCTGGGCCTTAGTGTCCCATTGTGTGACATGAGGATAGTAGTCCCTGTTCTGTGTATAGCAATGTATTAGACTTGGCTTCTGGCCCTAATTCTGCTGCTGAAGAGCTGAGAGACCTTGGTCATGTCACGTGACAGTTCAAATAGAAACTCCGAGTATTTTGGATTGAGTTATCTACAAGCTTCCTTTTTAGCTTGGAAATTCCTCTGTTGTGTGACTTGAGATAATGAATATGGAAATGTTTTTGAAAACTATCAAGTGCTACATAAACTTAAAAAGCTATTGTTTAAAAGAAACTTCTAAGCTTAAAAGATTTTTCCTCTAAGGACAGTTGAATATTGTCTTTAAGCAATTTCATTGTATCGTGATGTTTTTGTTTGTTCTTCCTCCTTTTAGTCTTCATTCCCATTAGTATCTCTGTGCGCCCAGTTCGTGTTCTCAGTCTTGCAGTCTCCTGAGATCCCTCTCTGTCCATTTATTTTTCTAATCTTATCAGTCTCGTTATCTAGTCTTGCAACCCAGTGGTAATTTTATAACATAGATCATATCATTTCTCTACTCAAATGACTCCACTTTTTCTCAGAGTAGAAGAAGCCTTGTCCTTACGGGGGCCTACAGGACTCTACATATCCTGGCCCCGCTACCTCTTTTATCTTCTGTTCTGCTTCTCTTCTTCTCGATGACTCTTGTGCCACACTGGCCTCTTGACTTTCCCATAAACATACCACACGACTTCCCCCTGGGGCCTTTACATGACGCTTTCTTCTCACTGGAATGCTGCTGTCTGCATGGCTAATTCCCTCACTTGAAGTCTTTATTCTGATGTTACTTTTTCAGTGAGGCCTACCCTGACCACTCTATTTAAAATTGCAATTTGCCTTCCCTTTCACATATTCACTCCCTGACTACCTTGCCTTGCTCTGTTTTTTCTTTTTTTCTGACAGCACCTAACATAATTTACTTATTTATTATATTTATTTATCAGTTTCTGTTAGCCTACTCTAGAATATAAGCTCCTTAAGGACAAGAGTTCTTGCTGTTTTGTTTTTTTTTTAAAGATTTTATTTTTTTCCTTTTTCTCCCCAAAGCCTCGCGGTGCATAGTTGTATATTCTTCGTTGTGGGTCCTAGTTGTGGCATGTGGGACGCTGCCTCAGCGTGGTCTGATGAGCAGGGCCATGTCCACGCCCAGGATTTGAACCAACGAAACACTGGGCTGCCTGCAGCAGAGCGCGTGAACTTAACCACTCGGCCATGGGGCCAGCCCCAAGAGTTCTTGCTGTTTTATTTGCTGCAAGATCCCAAGCACCTTTAGTGCCTGCCTCACAGTAGGCAGTCACTAAATATTTTTTGAATGACTGAATGATTGTCTAATCTACTTTGGTGAAATTTCTGTGCCCATTCCATCCTTTCCACTCTTTAATTCAGGCCCTTGTTACCTTTGCCTGGACTAGTAGTTTTCAAACTGATCTTCCTACTTTTTCCAGTCCCTCTCCTTAGACCCTGCTCCCAAAATTAGAGCCCTTGAAAACACAATAACAAGAACCATAATAAAACACCTGCTAGTCATGCTACCTTCCTATTCAAAAAACTCTCTGAGCCTGGATTACCTACCCAGAGATCAAAGATTCTGGAAAATCTTGCCTGCCTTCTTTTGGAGCCAGTTTTCCCCTACAGTAATCTGCATTTTTGCCATAGTAGTCATCTGCCAGACCCCAGACATACCTCTTGAGCCTCTGCTTAAGCATTGTTTGCCTTAAATGTCCTTCTCCTGGGTTTTGTCGGTGAAGTCGTCTCTCTCAAGGACTGGCTAAAATATCAGCTCTTCCAGAAAGCTTTCCCAAGATTACTTTAAACACAGTGACTCTCTCTGTTATTTCCATGGCAGTTTGTTGGTACCGCTAATAAATCACTAAGAGTTTGTTTCATGTCAGGCTTATTTATGTATTATTAGCATTTCTTTCCAGTAGACCTCTTCAGAAGGTCAGGGGTTTTTTTTAATGCCCCTGATAACTCCTACAATATGCTTTGCATCTTGTAAATAATTGATAATTCATTTCAACTGAAATGAAAAGATAAAAGAGGAGGGTAAATGTAGTTAAAGTGGCATACTTTTTGGAAACAAACAGTGATATCTGACTTAGTCACAGTGGGCTTAAGACTCACTTGATTTTGACCTGGGGCAGGATAGTTAACCTTCTGAGCTCTAGTTTCTATTTTTTTTGAGGAAGATTAGCCCTGAGCTAACTACTGCCAGTCCTCCTCTTTGTGGTGAGGAAGCCTGGCCCTGAGCTGACATCCGTGCCCATCCTCCTCTACTTTATATGTGGGACGCCTACCACAGCATGGCGTGCCAAGCCGTGCCACGTCCACACCCAGGATCTGAACCGGCGAACCCTGGGCCGCTGAGAAGGAGAATGTGTGCACTTAACTGCTGCGCCACTGGGCTGGCCCTGAGCCCTAGTGTCTTTATCTTTGAAATGGGAAGTAATACTGTCTGTTACACTTGCCTCAACTGAGTTGTTGTGAAGAACAGGTTTGGTAATGCAATTTAAAATATTTTGAAAATTTATGATTTCAAAACATAATGAAAAGACAGATCAGTGGAGTTGGGTTGAAACTAGATTTAATTGCCAAGATAGTTCATTTAGTTTCTACAGAATTTTTAAAGATTAATAAACCCATTTTTGAAAAAGATTAACTCTTGATCATCTTTCCTTATGGAATATTTAGGAAAACAGTGTCATAAAAGGTAGAAAAGTCAAGAACTAGAGAGAACAGGTTCTGTTGCAGAGGAAAGGAGACCTGGGCTGAGCCTTCAGCTTCAGAGAGCCTGGTGTAGATGTAGAGGAGCAAGCAGTGGGGCAGTTTTTTCAGTTGGATTTTTCCAGCTGAAATATTACCCTTCTGTCTGAGGTTATTTAGGATTACCATTTGTACCCTTGATCTCTTGTAAGTACTTCATTTATCCTGAATTGTTTGTGAGTGAAATGCTTTCTTACAATAACTGAAGTTAACCAGTTTAATGCTAAATCTTTGTTTTAACCTTCTTTCATAAAGAGTATTCTGTGATCCATTATTAACTTCTCTCCTAGTAAACAGAAATCTAAGTAAGCAGTTAAACAGGTTTTAAATTTAATTGTTTGATTGACAGTTGTCATACTTTTAACGTTTCTTACTATTCTTACTGCATTCTCCTAATCTTTTCCCCACCCTCCCTTATTTCACAAAGGATTTGATTTAGCATGCAAAAATAAATACTTTATGAAAGGATAAATTAAGTGAATGAATTAGGACTAAAAGAAGCTGAGAGAGGAAAAGTAAAGGCCTGGATAAGATTTGCACACCTCAGCACATATTGTTGTTCTGCTAGAGGTGGGCCACCAAACAGGAAAAGCATAATGACTTACATCATTCACAGTATCTGAAGGATAAAAACAAGCCAGTTGTCCAAGGGCCACACAGATATTTCCAGTTCTGAGGCCTGAGATAAATTTCTTCTACTGTGAGCCCTCATGGCAAAGGTACTGTGTGATAAAAACATTTCATTGAATGACACAGGAATGTCTTCAAGAGCTGTTTGGTGTTTTGTCCAGCACCAAAGGCCTGAAAATAGGCTTGTTTCTGGTGTGTGTACGTAAGACAAAAATGTCTTTATCTACAGTGTGGGTACATGTGTGACCAGGTAGAGATTTTGTACAATGACATTTCCTAATTTTGTCACTTCTGCAGCCTTTCTTCTTTGCCACCAATTTTTTTATTGTGTGATAGAGTACAATTGAAATTGCTAAGACCATCTTGTTAAGTCTGCACATAAATTTGTCTTCTGTCTTTTGAATCTAGTTGGCTGTGCATAGAAGCAGGGTAAACGGTTGTCTTTACCCACCCCTGACCATGTGCACACAGAAATACACCGAGACATGCTTCTCTTCTTCCTGAAGGCCCTCACTGTTTTATTAAGCTGTCTGCAATCTCGCCAATTTGAGATTTCCTTATTTTAATAGGTTTTTGAAAACATTTTAAAACACTACCAGAAGGCTTAGAACTGTTATTTTTCTGTTAGTGTGGATTTGTCGGATTTTCTTCCTCTAAACACTTAGCCAAGGCTAGTGGGAGTTTTGAAAAGAATGGAAAGTGAGGATAGAGCAAGTAGTAATTTTGGAAAATGGGACTTTAGGCATCTAGAGGGTATTAATAAGATCATACTGTGTTGCGAAAATAAAAGACAAAGAATCCACAGAAGAAAAAGTGACAACACAGAGGAAGACTTTTGCTATTTTACAGTGTTAATTAATGTGCACCCTGACTTTGTGTTTGTGTATCTCAGAGTTATGTGCCTGTGTTTTCTTGTAGTTGTTTTCACTGGGTTTTTAGAGACTTTGTTGTTAGTCTGGCTTGATTGGTGAATAAGTAGCATATTGCTATAATTATATAGGTTATTTTTTATTCTAATACTCTAATAAATCTTAATCTTAAAATACTTTTCGCAACTAAATTTTATGGCTTATTTATTTTTAACTTAATAGAGTGGAAGACGAAATGTTGATTTGGATTTGGCATCATCTCATAGAAAGAGAGGTAAGTATTAAGAAATATTAAATATCTAGTTAAATTAAGTAGCTGTTTTTATATCTAATATATTTAGATCTGATTGTCATTGAAACATTATTGCAAAAAAAATTTATAAACGTTTTATCAGAAGAGTTAAAAGGAAGATAATTTTCTATAAAATATATACCCTTTTAAAATCTGGGAATGTCTGGGAGGTAATAATCAGTTCTGTTTCTCATTTGTCATGTAGTGTTTTGACTTTCTAAAAATCGTATGGAACTCCGGAAGCAGTGCTTTACAGTAAGGGGGTTTTGTACATAATTTGCCATGTATTAGCTCACTGATACAGTTACTATAGTTTAAACGATGTCATAGGGAGAACTCTTTATCCAATCACCTCCTAAATACACATACACGCTTTCAAACTGAAAGTTTCCAGCTTATTTTTCCTCTTTGCCTCTTAAGATAAAGCATGTAAGAGATGAGCTGATGATTTCTTAAAAAGAAAATTTTCCCATGAGGAAGAATTATAGAGTGTCATCAAGCGTTAAGTTCATTTGTTAGAAACTGTGTCTTAATGATTAATATAGTTAACTCTTGGTTATATGTAAAATGCATTTTAGAAAGAACAGCAGTTTTGGATAATATAAATCCAAGGATTACTAAAAATGCTCTAAGTATTATTTTCTATTAACTGACATGTTTATTAAACCCATTTATACTATGGTTGTGAAAATGTGAAATGGTAGTTACCGCTAATGTCAGTTAGTCTAAAAGCCTGCGGGAAAAATTTTTTTCCATCGTATTAAATCTTTCATATTTCAAAATGAAACCCTTCTCTTGATAGCTTCCTTGGCAGAATGTTAGATTCCCCCCATAGGAAAAAAAATGAGAAATGAGGGAAAATGAGGAATGAGGGGAAGAAATGCACACACAGTTTTTTCATTTTTATGTTTATAACTTAGAATAAGAAATGTTGGTACTTCTGTAGAATAAAATATGGCAATATTTTATCCTTTAATTATAATTAGAATACAGAGAATGATTTTTCTGAAATATTAGGAATAATAATGGCTAGGGCTAGTACTTTATTGAAAAGTCCTTTGAGACTATAATATATCAAAGCTGTTGGGTTTCTAAAAAAATTATAAGGTATGTGTAATATCAAAGAAATTAATGATGTTTAGTATAATGTGCAATATTTATTTTGTTTTATAATTCTTTGAAAACTGGCAATTCATGTGCCGTAATTAGCCAGAGTATCCTTTTCCTTAACCAGTTGACTTAGGAATAAGATTAAAATTTTGGAACAGATTTACCTTCCTAATTTTGGTGAGCTCAGGTGAATATTGTTGTTAAAATTTCTATGTTTTATTAATGAATGGATATTATTTGGTCCTGGAGAGAAAATGGCTCCAAATTTATTGAGTAGCATAAGGGATCCAAGCTGTAGTTTAAGAGCTTCCTACTATACTAATTATATTTATAATTGGTAGTCCATTGGCTAAAATTATTCTTTTCTCTCAAATCTTTATCATGCTTATGGAAATGTAAATTTGAGATTCAGCCTACGTTAGCATGTCAATATGTGGCAAAGTAATCTTTGGAATAAAACAGAAAGTGATCTTTATCTTTGAATTAAGAATAACCTAGAATTTGAGTATAAATTACTTAGGAGCAATTAATGTAACACTTTAAAACTACTGTTCTAGAGTTACTACTTGTTCAAATTTTTAAACAATTATCCTATAAGTAGATGTGGATTTCCTGTAGTTTTAGGTCTAAGTAGATAGAAATGAATTAAGCCATTGATCCAAATCTTCTTTATGGATAAACCACCTTCTTCAAGGTAGTATCAAAACCTATTAACTTGATGGAATTTAACTTTATTTTGTTGAAAATAGAAAAGCAAATACAGGACCTCATGGGAAAAGTGTTTCTTTTTTATTACCCAATTAGGAAGTTATAATAGGGAAGCAAACTAGTTATGTAAATTTTCGTCATATCACTTAAGGTGGTAGCAATTTATTCTGGTAATCATTACATTTTAATGTTCCCAAGGAAAATATTTGCTGGTGGCTTTATTCCTAGGAAAAAGTGACTAGAAAGTAGAAGAATCATCATTTTAGGAAGGGCGGCAAAAATAGTTTTCAATCTCATGAGTCCTAGAGCTTGTGGATTAAACAATGAAAATGTACACTTAGTGGTTTTATTTATTTTATTATAATGGATTTCCTTCTTCAAAAGAAATTAACACTGAAAATACATTTAGGAGATTATACTTTGAAAGAAGTTTTTAAAATCATGTATATTTAGTAACTACCCTCTGACGGCAGTGAGTTTTTTGTCTTGTTTTGCTTTTAAATGATGGTAAAATAAACCACCCTATTTTTTCCTTATTTATTGTCAATACGGACCAGATGCCATAAGCCATCATATGCCTGTCTTCAACTGGGCAGATGAACCTACCAAGTCTGAAAACTATTTGGGGCCATTCAGGTGTTCTGATTCTGACTTGAGCTGTGAAGGACAAGCAGATGTCCGGCCAAGTGAGAATTCTTCTATGTCCTTGTTTACCCCTTTCGAATATTTTGAAGAGGAAGAGCAAACTTTTTTCCCCTTATATAGCTTTTGCATTTATTAGTCTCAGTGGTCCTGAGTTATTAAAAACCTAATAAGAGAAATTATATATATAGAGAGAACAATGCTTAGTTGTGTCCTGTTTACTGAAACTAAATGGGTGTGTCAATCAATGACAATGGTTGTATACACATTTCAACTGCTTTTATTATGCCTCCAAAGACTCCTCCCTTAGAGGACCTGGTGCCTATAAGTTCAGTATTTGGCATTGAGAATACTAGGATCCATGCTGTTGAACCATGATGGTTTCCTCTCTCTTCACTTCAGTTAATGTTTCACAGTTGGTCCAAGCTCTTGGTCCAAGTGAGCAAATATGGTAGGAAGAATTAGAGCAAAGTGAGCAAATAAATTTAACTCAGCCACTTTGCTCGGCTCTTTAGAGGCATCAAAGCTAAAGTCTAAAATCAAAAGTGTCATAAATTACTTTAAAGAGAGATAGCTGAAACATATTTCTGCTTAGCGCCTCAGGTAATATGAAATTTGTGTTCATTAAACACTTATAAACTGCTTCCTATATGCAAGGCATTGTTCTAATCATGTCAGGCATATTTACTCATTTAATTCTTGTAAAAGCCTGTCAAAATTCTTGACAGAACCTGTTAAATATGTTGATATTTTGGTACTTTGATAAATAATTAAAAGATTTGCTATCGTTATACAGAACTGAGCTTGTCCTTTACTGAAAGACGATACCTTTTGCAAACACTTAACTTTAGCTTTCATATTTAGGCTGAAGATGATACAAGTGAAAAATGGTGGGGATACTAAAAGCAACAATTTAAGAAACAACATCAGGAATTTTATTAGTTAAAATATTGTATGGTTTGATTTTTCTTTTCCTAGGTCTTTAAATATAGTGTTTGAGTTTTATTACTAAAATAATTCTGGGAACATTTATCAACATGTGTGTTTTGTGGTGTAGCATGTATGGGTGAAATGCTGTTTTATGTATGCATTTCAAATTAGATTATATAAAGAAGAGCAAATGTAAATGTTGTCTCCTGTATCAAATTTCTCCTTTTGTCTTCTGATTCTTGTGTGGTAGTGTATTTACTCCTTTTTGGCCAGTTGAGCCCCAGAAAAAAGAAGAGCTTCAAGCAAGTACATGATGGCATGTTTAATTTTTTTCCCCTTTTAGCTTGCCTACATATTTTATGGTTTATAAAGTATGTATTGCAGCTCTGCCATGTTCATTTTGATAATTCCATTTAAGAGACAAAGTAGTAAGGACAAGTAAACAATCTCAAAAATTTCGTGTTGGACTTTATATTTTCTTTTTATAGTAAGTAACTCTGAATTAAGTAAGAATTGAACTTACTCACAATTACTGTATAGATATGCTTTTCAGACACAGAATTTCCCATATTTAGATAAAACAGTATAGAACAAACTAAAGTTATCAGATTGTTACAGTTTTTTCCCCAAGAATTAGAGTTCTTTCATCTCTCATTTCCATACTGTAAGTTTTTGTGTTTCAAAGTATTGTTGATGTCAACCTAAATATTTTAGTTATTTTATTTATTTATCCTAATACTTTCAAATAGTGTCTTTCCTGTTCTTATATTTTATTCATACAAATTTTTGTTTGGGATACACCTAATAAGTTGCATCCTTTAAATTAGGGGTCGGTAAACCATGGCTAGTGGGCCAAATCAGACCTGCCACCTTTTTTTTGTAAAGAAGGTTTTCTTGGAACACAGCCACACTTATTTGTTTATGTATTGTCTATGGCTGCTTTCACACTACAACAACAGAGTAGTTCCAACAAAGACCTTTATAATCCACAAAACCTAAAGTATTTACTATCTGGCTCTTTACAGAAAAACTTTTCTGACCCCTGCTTTAAATTGCAGAAAGGAAGGACTTAATTTTAGGATTGGCCACCCATTTCATAGAATATTTTGGAGTATATTAAGGCAATTCACTGTAGATTTTTCACAATTGAACCTTTGTATAGGCAGGCAATTGAAATTTCCATGGATCAGTGATGTGTGAGTTGATTAATAACAGAAATATGTAAGATCACCTCCCATAATATTAAGGATTAATTTAGCAGATCAATTTCTTTGAGCCTCTATTTCCTCTATTGAGGAAACTGGACTAGATAATCTTTAAGATCTCTTTTACTTCTGTGGTTCTAACTCTAGTTCATTGCACATTTTGTAAGGTAATTTATAGGTATTGGAAAACAGAAGAACTTTTTATTGAGATTTTATTATTGAACAAACAAGCTCAATACAAAGAACCAAAAACTATCATTTGTAAATTAAGGCTAAATCCAGATTCTGGCTTGGGAGTGCTTAAAGAAATGGAAAATGATTATTTCTTTTCTTTTTTTTTGATTTACATTAGCCCCAGCTTTCTTCTTTTAAACATCACTTTTAATTTACTACATTATGCATCCGTGACATTATTCTTTGGATTTTTACTCTTTTCTATTTTACGTAAAAAGATACTCAGCTATACAATTAGGGGCAATTTTCGGGTTGTTTATTTTTCGTATTCAGTAAAACTGAAAATTCTGCATTTTTTAATCTTAAGAATTCTTGGTAAAACATGGAAAGCAAATAAACCATGTATTCTTTGGCATTCTAAATTATTTTAGTAGAATGCATATAAATTATTTCCTAGTTACTTTAAAAAGGTAGCTGCCTGTTACGAGTTTCTGTGTCTGACTTTGAAGTCCTGGGGTTTTACTGACACCAATGTAATAATTAAAAAATAAGTTATGCAATCAATATTGTGTTAGTTTGTTTTCTTTGTGGGCATTAGTGTTTAAGTAGTTCTCTTCCCAAATCTTTTCCATCTAATTATGTAACATACAATTTTGCATATTTTATTGGGTACCTTAAGATGCATTCCTAATAGAGAAATTTGGTATATTCACATGATAGGGTATCATATAGCACTCAAACAAATGAACCATGGCTACATGCAATAATGTGAATGAATATTAGCAATATTATATTGAATAAAAAATGATACTTATTTATAAAGTCAAAAACAACTAAAACTAACCATTATTTGTCTTGGGAGTACATATAAGATAAAATGATATCTAACAACAGTAAAAGCAAAAGAATGATAAACCAAGGCTTCGGGATAATGAAAGCCTTAGGTAGGAAGAGACAGGGAGAAGTGGATTGGAGGAAGAACAGACAGGTAGATAAAAGTTACTGTCAGTTTTCTAGTTCTTGTGTTCACATTTATTACAAATAAGTATAAATACAAAAGCAGCCTATGCATGGACCAGTGATGAGAGTATATCATGAGCCGAGGCTTATCATTAATTCATGAGATCAATTAAATTAAAAAATAAAAGCTTGTAAGAATTGGACATTTCTATATTTATTTAAAGCTAATATTGGCATATGGCTTGGACAGTTGTGTTCAAGCATATTAGCATTTTTACTGTCTAATGTAAAGATTTTAGCCTAGAGAATGCCTACTGGCAAAACTAATGTTATTATATTTAATGACTGTTATGATACCACTTGGTAATTTTATATAGATATCATTTTACACTAAATCTTACATATTCTTGTCTGTGAAACTTTGCTTCCTCTATATAGGAGTTTCACAACCTGCAATAAATATACACATGACACAGGGAAAGTGTTCTTTGTATTAATGAAACCCAAAGGGTGATGTTTATGTCTCCTTTTTGTCTACGTTTACTTGCCCTTCTATATTCTTTTTAAGGTAATGTTTCATTGCAGATATGTAGACTTCACGCAATCTTAACTTACTCTTCACAATGATAATCTTAAATCAGATGAAGTCCTATTACTAGTAGGTCTTACCCGCCGTGTCCTAAGTGCCTAGTTCCTTTTTGTTCATAAATGATAGTCTCGTTTAATACTGCAGAGCATTTTAAGCTAAGCATTTTGAGAGCGGCTTCTGCCTTTCTTTTTCTTGTGGCAGCGTGTTGCTAAAGCGCTTACAGAGACACTGGTACATCAAAAAGGGCTTTCCCTTTATTTTCTTACATTGCTCTAGTTTTTGTTTGTTTGTTGTTTTTTTACCAAAGCATTTTGCTCAGATTCACTTAATGCATGCATGTATTCAAACACGAGTATCCATTTCTCACCAGTTGGTATGGGAGCAGTACTCAGCCCTCATCTAGTTTCGGAATGTATGCTTTACCTGGTTGCCATTGATGCGTGTTTGTTCTGTTTGTATGTAGGTCCTATGCACAGTCAGTTGGAATCCCTGAGTGACTCTTGGGCTCGCCTGAAACATAGCAGAGACTGGTTATGCAACTCCTCTTACTCTTTTGAGTCTGATTTTGATCTCACCAAGTCTTTGGGAGTTCATACCTTGATTGAAAATGTTGTGAGTTTTGTGAGTGGAGATGTGGGGAATGCCCCAGGTTTTAAAGAGCCAGAGGAAAGTATGTCTACAAGTCCCCAGGCCTCCATCATTGCAATGGAACAGCAGCAGTTAAGGGCAGAAGTAAGTCTTCGATATTTACTCTTCGTGAGGGTATATGGAAACTTAAACCAAACCACTGAATGTATAATTGTAGGAAAAACTTTTCCTTTTTTCCTACTCCTTGCCTCCTCATTTTCTCCACCTGAGCTTTTTGATGTCCCTATCTTAACTAAAACAGCATAATATTTTGTTTGAAGTGGACAAAAGTGCAAAATTTTGTCAGGATACTCTAATCATAAGTCTTTCCTTGTTTCCTAGAAACTAGAGTGAGACTGGCTGGTGACCATATGAATCTGCTTCTCACAGCCTCCATTTTTGACAAACTTGGCCCATTTAACAAGGGCTAGATTAGAACATCATGGTAATAATGACCAACACTAAAATTAGTGAGCAAAATTTTAAGGAAACACAGGATATCTGCAGAGCCTCTAAGTATCTCCCTCAAAATATTTATTAATTATTGTGGTTTTAACATGCCCACAAATTCTTTGATATTCTTCCCTCCAGGAAGTGGAACCTAATTCTCCTCCTCTTGAGAGTAAACTGGACTTAGTGACTCAAGGCTAATAAATAGAGTATGAAAAAAGAAAAAAGTAGTAATTTACTTTGTAAAAACCTGGCAGACATCACATTAACCGAGTAATCAAGATTAGCATCACCAGCAATAAGTTATGGTGATATCATGTACTCCTGAAAATAGTGTGATGAGAAGGAGAGTTTATTTTTCTCCAAAATCCATAACTCTAGTCCAATCATGAGAAAGCATCAGGCAAACCCAAACTGAGGGGCATTCTACAAAATACATGAACAGCTATTCCAAGGTGTCATGGTCATGGAAAACAAGGAAAGACAGATACTATCACAGACTTAAGGAGACATGACAAATGAATGCAATGTATTATGTTGGATTGGGTCCTGGAACTGAAAAGGGACATTATGGAAAAAATGGTGAAACCCAAATAAAGCCTGCAATTTAATCAGTAGTGTTGTCCCAATGTTAATTTCTTAGTTTTGATACATGTAGCAGTTATGTAAGATGTTAACATTGGGAGGCTGGGGGAAGGTATCCAGGACCTCTCTGCACCACCTTTACAACTCTGCTGTAAATGTAAAATTATTTCAAAATAAAAAGTTTATTAAAAAAAATAGGAGGAATAGGACAATTGACTGCAGTGGTGGGTATTATCCTCCTGTGAAAGATAGAGCCAGAAGTTCAAGAGAACCACAGAGAAATCTTTCAGAAATCCTTTTTCTGATTCTTGAACTAAAGAGTACTCATTCTGTGTTCTATATTCTTTATTATAAGTAAGGGAAGCAATAACCATACTACCTTACAGTTTTGAAACCTTCACATGTTTCTCCTCAAGAGCATCACAATAGCTCTGTGAATAGGTTAGGTAAAATACTATTAGCCTCATTGAGACTCATTGAGACTGTGTTTTACATCAGTGAGTTTCTCAAGGCCACAGAGTAAGTGGAAGGATCTGGCTTGAAACCAGGTCTCCTGCTTCCAAATCTGCTACTTTTCCCATTGTACTGTGTAGCCTCTTTTATACTGAAGTATACTTAGAGAGTTTTTAGAGAGATTTTCATTTTAAAAAGTCATAATAATAAAGCAAATGTTTATGTTAACAGAATAGATTCCTAAGAAATGTCAGAATTTTCCATGTGCTAGGTAATATATTATCTGTGACATGAAGAGGTTCTTTGTGTCTCAGTTCAGTGAAGAACTCTAAAATATGTTTATTTTACTTTTCTCAAGCTTCGTTTAGAGGCACTTCACCAGATCCTCGTTCTGTTGTCTGGGATGGAGGAAAAAGGTAGCATCTCTCTGGCAGGAAGCAGATTGAACTCAGGCTTCCAGTCATCCACACTACTCACGTCTGTAAGGCTGCAGTTTCTAGCAGGTTGTTTTGGTTTGGGCACTGTTGGACACACAGGAGCTAAAGGAGAGAGTGGCCGATTGCATCACTATCAGGTAGGTAATGGACCTGTCACGTGAGGATGACACCTTGCAGTATATTTAGTTTTAACCATTGTTTTTTACAAAACTAGTTTAATAATGCTAAACTTTTTGGTATTTAAGACTGAGGTTTAAAAATATAAAAACTTTGAAATGACTCAAAGATATCTTATTGGTTTAGTTTCCTGAGTAATAATAATACTATTGGGATTAGGTGAGCCATGGTACTGTTGTACTTTTAGATTCTTTGCTGGCTCAGTTTTGTTAACCCTTAGCTGAATTGAGTAGAGAGAGATCTAAGCTGGGATAGGGATTGGTGTTTGGAAGGATGGATTTCAAGAATTTATATTTTAGACTAGATCATTTTACCTAGCTTCTCTGATTGCTTGAATTTTTTTTTTAAGTATTGCCTTTATGTCTTCTGTATTTAGAGAGGAAATATTGTTTTGTGAGAAAGGAGAAAGGTTATATAGAATCAATAATTATCAAGTATTTAAAAATAAATTTATTATAAAACTTTTATACTGAAATACACTAAATAATTAAAAACCACCACAGGGCTCTGCATAGTCTAGGAATAAAATACTATTACTTTTATTTGGATAGGAGGTATTATTATTGCTAATAGAAAAGGTAAATCTTTGTGTGTAATTTAGGATGGGATCAGAGCAGCTAAGAGAAGTATTCAGATTGAAATCCAAGTGGCTGTGCATAAGATTTATCAACAATTGTCTGCTACCCTGGAGAGAGCCCTGCAAGCAAACAAGCATCACATCGGTGAGTAACTGCCCCGGTAGGTAGAAGATGCAAGGTACGTTTTGGGCTGAGGTGATGCTAGATAGATGCTAGATGTTCTATACCTTGTGTTTTACATCAGTAAATCAACTTACAGGTAAAGAATAAATGTTTCTAAATGTAATAGTGTTCCATGTAACTGTTTATATTTTGGAATATTACTTGTTTTAGTAAATACTTTGTTTACTTCAGAGAAGATTCTCAACTGTCTTTGTTTCTTTGTTTCTTTTTTTTTTTTCCAGAGGCCCAGCAGCGTCTTCTTTTGGTTACAGTTTTCGCCCTGAGTGTTCACTATCAACCAGTGGATGTTTCTTTAGCAATTTCCACTGGTCTGCTAAATGTATTGTCACAGTTATGTGGCACGGACACTATGCTAGGACAGCCCCTGCAGCTGTTGCCAAAGACTGGTGTTTCCCAGCTTAGCACAGCTTTAAAAGTGGCAAGTACAAGATTGCTCCAGATTCTAGCCATCACTACAGGGTGAGCATTGTAGATGACTTGGTAGAATTGTGTGGGGTCTGGTCTTTTCATTTTAGTAATTTCCATTTCCCCCTCATCTCCTTTATCTGTTTAAGCACAACGTTTGCCCTTTTGTGTTGTTACTATTTGTTTCTTTCCTGTTCTTTTATGTAGGACCTATGCTGATAAACTGAGCCCTAAGGTAGTTCAGTCCTTGTTGGATCTACTCTGTAGTCAGTTGAAGAATTTGTTGTCCCAAGCTGGTGTACTACTTATGGCCTCTTTTGGAGAAGGGGAAGGAGAAGAGGGTGAAGAAGAAGAAAAAAAAGTTGACTCCAGTGGAGAAACTGAGAAGAGAGATTTCAGAGGTATCATGAACCTTTTTCTCTGTCATGATGTACAGGCATGCACTGAGTCCCCATTGTGTGCATATCATTAGAATGTAGACTTCTTTCTGTTGTGAGGCATGAAAGGATTTTTGTTTGTTCATTTAACCCCTTTTCTCTCCAAATATATATGATTTAGATGAGCTTCTGACTGAACCTCCTCTCCTTAGAGCCTGTTAACCCTGATGCAGTGACCATACTGCTTATTCTCTATGTTCAGACTCGCCTTGGCTGTTCTGGCTCTAGAACCTAGAGGTTCCAAGTGACTGACTCCCCCAGATTATGCTTTCTTAGGATTTGATCCTGACAACCCATCTCTAACCAGTCTTGGCTTAAGTGTTCCCGTAGGACCAAGGGTTTTACTATTTGGGAACTGGGAGCTGAACTTTTTGCTAGGCTGTTCTCTTCCCTAGTCACTAAAAAATTTCTTCATTATACTTAGCCGTCATAATTTTTGGTTGCTGCAATATGATCATTTGCTCATAGCTTTAACAACTATAGTGAGCATTGTATTTCAGTAGAACTTACTAAACCCTGAACAGCAAAACTACTACATATGTCTGTTACAAATTAAGGGAATAAAGGTCTAAAATTGGTCATTTATTCAAAACATTTTGTGAAACTACCATGTCTTATCATAATAAACTCTGGGAGCCCTTAAATCCTTTCTGGATTAGAGAGAGACAGAAAGAGAGAGAGAGAATTAGATCGATAGATAGATGGAGAGAACAAGGTACTTAATCATTCTGTGCCCTAATTCCCTCATTTAATAAAATGTGCATACTAGAACCAACCTCAAGATTGTTATGAGGATTAAATAATTTAATACATGTAAAGCAGTATCTGGCACAAAGTGAGAGCTCGGTGAATATTAATATTGGAATAAATATTAAAATTAAGTAGCAGTATTTAAATAATATTAACATTGTGTAGATAGGTGAGTAGATAGAGGAAATACCCTGGGGATACAAAAATGATAAAACGTTGTCTCTGCCCTCAACGACCTTCTAGGGTAATGAGGGAGGCAGACATGTAAACAGATGATTACAGTGTAATAAAAGAAGCTCAGAAGAAATAGCTAAATCTCTTAAGTCAGAATCTAGGAGGATGTATGGGTCTGATTAAGGACTAGCTTTTAGTTTGAGACGCTGAACCTGTGGTTCCTTCTCCCTGTTTACATAAAGAATATGGTGCTTATACAATATGGGCAGACTCACGAGGTGTGACAAAATTAAAAACAAGCTTTTACTGCCACCATCTGTTTTCCTGAGATCTGGTTAGGGGGATACAGGGTTGTTAAGCTAATAGTTTTTCACCGCTCTGTGCTGAGTACTGCACATGCAGAAAGCAGAAAAGAGACAGATAAGTTACAGCCTATAGGTTCCTGAGAAAACTGGATCCTTCCATATCCAGTAAAGAAAGAAATAGTTCTTCTGTGTGTGAATCTCAGCAGGTGTAACAGTAGGTTGAATCCACATCTGTTCCCCTCAGGTCGTCCTAGGGAGAAGGCCATTGCACTCTCTCTGTTTATGAGGATGGCTGGGAGTGAGACTGATTCTAGTCAGCAGTGGCCAGGCATTCAGAGGCAGGCTGCACGGGTATTAATAAGCCCACAAACCCTCTAAAATGCTTAATTGAAAGTAAGGTGTACCCTTCATTTCAAATGTAGTATTGATACTGAAATACAAACTCTATCATCAAGTTGTATCAGCCAGCTTTGTATTTAAGGGCTCCAGGCTTTAATTAATTTAATTAATTTAGTGTCTTGTTACAGAAATACTTGCTGGGAATGAGGATGGAGGTTAGAATGGAAGCCTCATAAAAGGGATTTTCCCAGGGTTCTCTCCCAAGAGAGAAGGCTTCATAGAAGAGGTAGCTTTTGAACTGGATTTTGAAGGAATTTGTAGGAACAAGGTTGGAGTGAGATATGTGGGTACTCAGGGCAGGCTAATAATTTTATATTCTTCAAACTAATATTATGAAATATATTTGCTTAGTAGCCTTCAAGCAAAGGAGAGGTAGAGTACTGTGTGGAGGAAATGTAGAGGAGTTCTTAGCTTTTTCTCTAGTTGTCCCTAGCAATTTAGTTCTCTCCTAGACTTGCATCTCAGCAAAAGAAAAGTCCTCCAGTTAACTAGACGTCTATGAAGATAGATTACAGGCCATTAAGCATGCACCTTGGCAAAGGAGTCTCCCTTCTATCACAAGTGACTTGTCTGTCTATTCCTTAATTAGACATGCGAGGATCTCCCTGAATCCTGAAAGGAGTGCTATATACCTGTCTTCAGATTATGATTTTCCATATTTTAGTGCCCCTTAGGGATTGACATTCTGGGCAGCTGTCCCGCTAGGACACTTCTTCCCCCCGGCTCTGAGTGCGACTTTAAATGGCTAAAGAGGTATGAAAGGTGTTGGATGATAAGAGAACCTGGCGTGTTACAGAAAGAGCAGGTGGTTCTCTGGTTTCAAATCCACAGGATGGAGGGAAACTATGAGAGGCGTGACAAGAGAGAGGCTAGTGGCTGATACACTGGTGGAAAAACTGGGAAGATTGGTTAGGGCAAGTTTATGTGAAAGATCTTGTACAAAGAGTTTGAGCTCAGACAAACCAGACTCAGGCCAGAAATTTGCTTCTTCGTAGAATCTGAAAACACGAAGTCCTTTTTTAGAGATGTGATTCTTAGTTTGATTGGCATGGAGGGGATCATGGACTTTTTGAAAATGTGATCAAAGTTTTGAACTCTCTTACTAGTCAAATATGCACATATACATAATTTTTCATACTATTTTAGGGAGTTTACAGGCCATCTCCTTCAAATTCTATCCAGTAGAACTCTAGACTTGAGTAGAGAACTGTTGTTTTTTAGAATAGCGGTAAAAAAATGCATAAAATCAAGTACATATACTTTATTCTAGCAAGCTCAGTATTATTGTACACAGATGTAGAGGTTGTTTTAAGTTTGGCTTTATTTTCTGACCTTTCCCCGTTCTGTTCTTTAAGTTTTAAAAATTCAGCAACAGGGGCTAGCTCCGTGGCCGAGTGGTTAAGTTCGCGCGCTCCACTGCGGTGGCCCAGGGTTCGGATCCTGGGCGCGGACATGGCACTGCTTGTCAGGCCACGTTGAGGCGGCGTCCCACATGCCACAGCTAGAAGGACCTGCAACTAAGATATACAACTATGTACGGGGGGGTGTGGGAAGATAAAGCAGAAAAAAAAAAAAAAAAGATTGGCAACAGTTGTTAGCTCAGGTGGCAATCTTTAAAAAAAAAAATCAAGCAGCAAACTGACAACCTATATTTTAAATTAGATTTGTGCTTACTGTAATCTAAATAGGAGTTGTTTGATATAAGACTGTTTCCTGTTGGCTTTTGGTTGTAATGTACACTTTCTCTTTGCTCCTCAGCTGCTCTTAGGAAACAACACGCAGCCGAACTGCACCTGGGGGATTTTTTGGTTTTTCTTCGCAGAGTTGTATCTTCAAAAGCAATTCAATCAAAAATGGCTTCCCCAAAGTGGACAGAGGTGCTTCTAAATATAGCATCTCAGAAGTGTTCTTCAGGTATTTGATCTTTGCCTCGTTTTAGAGTATTTTTATACATCACATGTGTTTTATTCAGATAATGCCAGACTTTAGCAATATTGGATACTCGACTTTGATTTCAAATCTTTTCTTGTTTTCTGAGTACTTATTTGATTAAAGGAAAACTCTAATTTCAGGAGTAAAAATTGGTAGGAATGAATAGAAAGTAGCACTGAAGACGATCCTGGATTTAATCTAGAGAACTTGCCCCTGTTTGTTTAGATTACAATAATAATAAAAGTAAGCAGAGAACATCCTGTTTAATACGATAGTTTGGCACAGATTTTGACATCACTTCTTAGATTATGAAAATGCAGATCTGAATTTGTCCACTCTCTCTTATCATGATATAATTTCTATTGTCTTGATTGTAACTTCTGATTGTGTACTGTCTATGAGAGTTATATATAACAAGCGTTATTCCTGGTTCTAAGCCTAGAAGTCTAGTCTGCTTGTATAGATTACTGTCAGTCCTTTCCTGGTCTGTTTTTTTTTTTAATTGAGGTAAAATACACATAAAATAAAATTTACCATTTTAACCATTTAAATGTTCAATTAAGTGACTTTACATTCTCAGTGTTGTTCAGCTATCACTGCTCCCCATTTCTATAACTTTTTCATCATCCCTAATCTTTTAAAAATATCCTAACATGTAACATAGTCTTCCATGGTACATGTTATTTTATGTATATACATTCCCATTATACTTCACTAGTTTTTCTTAACTAGTATAACTTAAAACAGCCTTTTTTCTCTTTTAATAAGATGAGGCTTATATAACATTAAGTTCTTAGAGCATAAAGAAAAATCAGATATTCATTTATTTTAACTGGTTTTATTGTAGTAATGGATAGAGAAAAGAGGATGAATATGCTGTCTCTACCTTTGCTTACTTTAGAAAAGTACAAACTGCTTACTCCCCATTAACCCTAACAATCTCTGTGAGGTAGTCAGGGCATGGACGGAGAAGAGGCAATGAAAGGGTATGATAAGCCTGAGCTTTAGAGATTAACAGACCTGTTTAAATTCTGCTAGACTCTGCCATTGCTGAGCTGTGTGGCTTTGGTCAAGTAACTTAACTTCTCTGAGCCTCAGTTTTCTCACCAGTAAAATGGGGCTGTAATGTATGGTTTGTGAGGATCAATGGAGTTAATGTGTATGAAATGCATAGCACAGTACCTGGCACAGGTAGTTATTATAGTGCTATTCTGTTTATATATACATAAAAACTGAGACATAAACATGAATATTCATATACATTCATGGGTTTGGGATGAATCTAGAATTCTTATGATAATAGGGTAAAGTGAAGTCCATTCCACCCATAAATGCTTAGCAGCCTCAGGGAATTTATTTTTTAATTGAGGTTATGATAGTTTCCAACATTGTGAAATTTCAGTTTACATTATTATTTGTCAGTCATCTTATAGGTGCGCCCCTTCACCCTTTGTGCCTACCCCACCACCTCCCTTCCCACTGGTAACCCCTAATCTTTTCTCTTTGTTCATGTGTTTGTTTATCTTTCAGGGACTTATTTTTAAGAAATTCATTTAAGCTTTGAATGTAAGTCACACCGATAATAAGAAAATGTCTTTCTCCCCACCAGGTATTCCTCTAGTTGGCAACTTAAGAACGAGGCTGCTTGCACTTCATGTCCTTGAGGCTGTGCTACCAGCTTGTGAATCTGGTGTAGAAGATGATCAAATGGCCCAGGTTTCTATTTTTAAAGTTATTAGAAGATGTTTTTCACAGCCGCAAGATGATTCACCCAAAATTTAAACTTAGAGTTTCTACGGTTGTAAATGTGTCATTTATTCAGTGGCAAAACTTCCACTTCTGAGATTGCTTTCTTTATTATTTCATCTCCAAGCAAGACGAAAGGGAAATTGTTATGCAGTGTGAGGAAGGAGTATGGGGATAGTGAATACTTGCAAGATCAGAAGGAAAGGAAAAGCTCTGAAATTTCTTACTAGGTTCGGGCCTCTAGAGAAAGAAGGGTGTGAGGTTGCATGGCCTAATTTGAGGTCCATATAGTGAGGCAACATAAGGGCGATGGAACCCACTTTCCAGTCGTTAATGGTCTTTCTAAAAAGAAGATATTTAACTTACAACCACCTGAAGTAGCTGTAGGACATTGGTATATAATAAAATTTCACATGTGACTTGATATTACAGTTACATGATTTATCTTTTCTAAAAATATTTAAAATCACCCATTACAAATTTCCTCATTCTTTTTTCCCTCAATAAATAGGTTGTTGAACGCCTGTTTTCCCTTCTCTCGGATTGTATGTGGGAGACACCCATTGCTCAGGCCAAACATGCTATTCAGATAAAGGAAAAAGAACAAGAAATAAAATTACAGGTAATTGATTTTTCCAAAAACGTATTTTTAGACAGCACCAGTGAGTATCCTTTCACCTGTCTCTGGATCCCTTCTCCTCCGAAAGACCTTGTCCTATCAGTTTTCCCATCTCCTCTCTGTATTCTTTCTCCCTCTGCACTGGTTCCTTCCCCTCAGCTTATAAATGTCTCTCATTCCCACCTTCCTGAATCCCTTTTTTATCCGTGAAGCCTTCCCTACCTTCTCACTCGTTCTTCATCGCTAAGCTTCTTGGAAGAGTAAATCTTATACATGTTTCAGCTACTTCCTTACTACTTCTTATCTCTTCAGCGCAATCATTTATCTTCCATAAAAGCCCTGAAATTAAATGACACAGGTAAGTGTTAATTGCTAAATACAGTGTACATTTTTTGTCCACATCTTACTTGATCTCTGGAAACTCTAGACTTCTATTGTTTTCAAAACACTACCTTCTCCTAGGTCTCCATATATACTCTGCCAATTCTTGATTTCCTCTGGAGGTATCTCTTCTTTGCTGCCACTCTCTTCTTGCCTTTATCCCAAACTCTCGTGTTCCCCAGAGTTCTGTCCTTAGATTTTCCAGCAGTCTCAGTCACACTCATGACTATTTTCACCTACATGCAGTGCCTTCCAAACTTAAATGCTAGCCTGGGTGTCTCCCCCTCAAACTTTGCCTCTTTTCTTGCTGTCCCATTGTTTACAGATGGCAACACCACTAACCTAGCTTTCCAAACCTGAATTCCTGGGAATTCTAGGCTCTCCTGATATCCCCATCCGTTTAGTCACTAGGCCTCATTGATTTTACCTCCTACATGGCTCTTGAATCCATCCATTTAGCTACCTTAATCTTTCTCTTGGTTTTTGTGATTCTGTACTTCCCTGGTTTTCCTTCTATCTCAGTATAATGGCCTTTTCTTCTCATTTCCTTTTATTGTTCTTCTTTGTCTGTTTAAGTGTTGGAGCATCTCAAGGCTTGGTCCCAAACAGACCCCTTCTTTTCCTCAACCATCACCCCTATTCCCTTTCCTGTACTCAGCAAAACCTTATTGAGACCCATATGCCATTGATCCCCAAATTTTAATTCCAATTCTGACATTTTCCTGAATTCCAGACTTATATACTTGTCTTTGGCTTGCCTGATCACTTGAATGATAGTCTAATAGGCATCTCATACTTAGTAGAAGTTCTAAATTCTGTCACATCCTGTTCCTTTCCCAGGCTGTCCCATCTTCCTAGTTAGTGACTCAACCAAAAAACCTGGGAGTCATCCTTGATTCCCCTTCCTATCACAACCCATCCCCCATTTTCTCCATCCATACAATCTCCAAGTTGGATTGACTCCTCTGTAAAACATAAGTTGAATTTGCCCACCTTATCATTTCCCTGCCATCACCCTTTTCCAAGCCACTGTCATCTCTGGCCTGGACTCTGCATTAGCTTCCTAACTAGTCTTTCTGCTTCCACTGTTAACTTCCTATAGTCCATTCTCTACACAAGATCCAGAGCGATCTTTTAAAATTAGAAATCAGAGCTAAATATGTTGATAAACCCTCCAGTGGTTTCTTATCATTCTTGGGATAAAATCTGGAACTCTTGTTCTCTCCCCTTCGCTCAGTACACTCTAAACAGCTTGCCTTCTTCCTTTTTCGAGAATATACTAATCTTGTTCCTTCCTTCGAGCTTTTCACTGGCTATTCTCTCTACTTAGAATACTTCCCTCAGACGTATTTCTCAGAAGTCAACTTATTTTTATTCAGGTCTCAACTGAATTATTGCTTCTTCAGAGAGTCCTTTCTTGATCCTCAATGTAGAGTTAGTAGCCATACACTTTTTGTTACGTCCCCTTTTTTAATTTCAACATAGCGTTTATTATCTGATATTTTCTTGTTTATTTATTTTATGTCTCTATCTTCCAAAATATAAGTTCTATGAGAGCAGAGACCTTATCATCTAACATATTGGTGAATATATGGGACTTGGTATGGGGCCTGCCACATAGCAGATGCTTAATAAATATTCATTGAATGAATGAATGAATTCAAGTACTCAGTATTTCTTACCTGAACTCTTGCAGTAATCTCCTGAGTGGTCTCTTTGCCTTCATCCTATATACTCTTGGTAACACAATGTTTGTAAAACACAGATCTGATCAGAGATCCTCTATATAAATCATTCTATGTAGGCACTCCCTATTGTGTATAGGGTAAAATTCAATCATAAAATGGGACTCAAGGCCATCTGTGAGTTTCTTCCTTCTTTTCTGTCTAGGCTCCTTTCTGCCACTCTCGTCCTCCAGACATTCCCCACTACTTGCAATTACTTTAAATCACTGAACTCTCTTGCACCTTCATGCCTTGGCACATACTGCCCTAAATGCCTTTCTCTTCTTTGACCACCTGCTTAATGCCTTCTCATTGTTCAGGACTGAGCTCAGAAGTCATCCTTTTCTGATTGCTTACCTTATCTTTCCCACACATGGTTAGACACTCACACTTTTATGTTTCTGCTTTACCTGTCGTATAATTTCTCTTATTCTCTCACTATGATATTGGTGTTATTTATTTGTCTCTCTGTCCCCTAATTTGACTATAAGCTCTTTATGGGCAGGGAGGACACTGTGTTTATCATTGTGTTCCCATTGCCTGCACAGTAACTGGTACATAGTAGATACTTAGTAAATATTTGGGGGATCAAACTAAGGAATCTTAGAATATATATTAACTGAGATCTGGGTTACTCCAAAATGCTGACCCAGCTTCCTTTCTGTTAGAAGCAAGGAGAGTTGGAGGAAGAAGATGAGAATCTTCCGATACAAGAAGTATCCTTTGACCCAGAGAAAGCTCAGTGTTGCCTCGTGGAAAATGGACAGATTTTAACTCATGGCAGTGGAGGAAAAGGATATGGATTGGCATCAACTGGAGTAACTTCTGGGTGCTATCAGTGGAAGGTGCGTAGAATTCCAAGCAGTTTTTAGCATGTGTCTTTTAGTCCTTTTTCCCCAAGTTCTTATAAAAAAATGTATAGACTTTTAAAAAAATCATTGTATGTAAATTTCTATCGATATGTTAACATAAAGGGAAACTAAATGAAAGATAATACAGGAACTCCATATTATTTTTGTTAATTCTTCTGTAATTCTAAAATTATGTCAAAAATTTTTTAAATGAGCATTAAAAAATCAAGATCATCCTTCCCATGAGGTGTCACACAGTGCTCCCAGCAATGAAAATGCAGTAATGTGTGTGATGTTTCTGCCTAGGAATGCCCATTAGAGACTCAGTGCCCAAGATTTTTATTGGGTGGTGGTCACATAGGTACTCTCTGCCTGGCATACAGTAAAATTTTAGATTTCCAGAAGCAAAGCAGGTGATTAGCATAAACCATATTATTGTACAGTCTAGGCACAGTGAGCCACTCTTATCAGTTAGGGAAAGTTTTTATCAGTGTAAGGAACTGTTTACCTGTCTAGTTCCCAGATGCCAGCCAAGGGCCAACATTGCAAGCAGGCCTTTCTAAGGGTAGCAGTCTCTGCTATTTTAACTCCTTTTTTGCGCAGCCCATCCCCTTTGCTCTTCGCCACAGAGTCTTTACAGTAAAATTATTATCAGTAGGACCTCGTACAGCAGGGTGAGACCAATCTGTAGCATTGACTTCAGTTATGCCTTTAAGGCGTCCTATACTTAGCCAGTTAAAACAAATCTCATTAACCATAAAGGTCCATCTGAAAAAGCCGCGTGGCTTTGTCTTTAAGTTTTTGTATTAACTTTTTAAAACTGGCTTAGGCACCGGTGAAGCACAGCACAACTCTGGCCAGTTCAGGACTCAGGTAATGTCATGTGAGGGTACACACACAAGAAATACAATCCCAGAGGGCATACGTGGTATTCTTGGAAAGAAAATGTTTATAATTGTTAGGACACTGCTAATCAGGATGTACAGTAGTCAGATAGAACAAGTTAACAGGGCCCCAATGTGGCCTCCCACCAGGGAGCCTCCCACCCTGAGTTCCCTGTACAGTCTGAATAATTTAGTTGAGTCCTTGGTTGCAGAGGGACTGCCTAAAAGTGAAATGGTTTTGCTTGTCTGTGACATCAGTTTATCTGCCTCAAGAGTGTGGATGCCAACTGGAGGTGTTCTGTGGAAAGTGCCGGACCTGGGGCCACCTGCTTCTTATTGTCTATCAGGTGTGATCGGAGGCTCAGCAGTCAGTTTGAATTTAATAAGTGCTCATAATAGCCTTCAAGACAACATGGATTTTTTTTTTCTCCTAGAAGGAGGAACAGTTCTGAAAAACAAAGATTGTTAATGCCTCCCCACTCCTCCCCACTTCCCCATGGCCGGGGTTTTTGTTTTTTCTCCCTTGTTCTAAAATGAGTGTGTCTCATTTAGTAATTATAACTTCAGATTTTTCCAGTCTTTTTTAATTTTTATCTAGACCTTTTGTCCAGAAAGGTTAGGTGCAAGAGGGACAAAAGGATTTTCACACAAAAACATTTTTGTACAACTTAACCAGAAAAGTTAGGCATTGGTCAGGACAAAATCTCAATTAAATTTTTTTTTCAAAATAGGTTAACAAAACCTTCTTTCTCTTTTATCGTAATCATCTATCCAGTGAGCAGCCTAGAAAAGATCAGTCTCTGTGGAGAGCTTCATTTAATAAACCGCCTTACTCTAAGTGATGAGACGTGTAGAGGCAAGCTTGTCAGTCTGTTGTTGCAAGCTGCAATCCAGAAAGCCGAACAAAATCAGTCAACAGCAGTGGGACATTCCCAAGAGGAGGCTGAGCGTCCAGTCTGTTAAGAGTGGACAGAGGAGTTATACTCCCTGTGGTGTGCCCTCCTCCAGCTTTTGGTAGGAATTACAAGTTAGGAATGTAATCAGTTTCTGTGTCAGAAATAGAGAGCCAGTCAGCAACTCAAATTTAGATGGTTCTATCTAAGAACAAGCCCTTTCCCAGTGGCATCTGCAAGAGACCTAGACAGTCCAACCCAAATCCATGATGTTTTTGTAGTCCATGGCCACATAGATGGAGTCCTAAATCTGCAAAGTCCCAGAGTTTGTGTTTTTTTCATTGGGCCTGTGCCTCGTTTTAGTCAAGCACAGCTCTTGCTGGGTTGAAACAGGCCATGGTAGATAGTTTCAGGATTTAGCTTAGACTCAGGTCCAGGCAATTAGAATCTGCAAGTTCAGGATTCTAAAAAACTAGCAACTTTTTTGGCAGCAGTAAAGCCTAGATGCTATATGACCAGACAGCTGTGTTTTAAGTCCAAGTGACAAGTAAGGCTTTCCTAAGCTCTTTTGCCTTGTCAATCTTAGAGTCCAAATTTACCCACTTGAAAATATGTGGTTCGGGTGGGGAAATCATCAGCCTCTAAGGGTCAGACATCTGGTTTTACAGGAACTCATTAGCAAGTAAAAACCACTTTTTAAAACTCTAGAAGTATATCTGTGTATCTCTATTTAGAGATTGCCACTCTTTTTATTTTGTCTCCATTTTTCCAGAACTCTAGTAGGCAAAAATCATAGCAAAAAATTGTCAGTTATGGAGGCTTGTTTTGTTTCCAATGCTCGGTTTAAATTCCAGTCTACCTATGGGTGGCAAAAAAGCAAGGAAGCTGTCTCCCACTGATGTGTTTCCTTTGTAGCTTTTACTGATCAGGATGATCTCTTAGCATTTATGAAGTTATAAGCATATAACATTTTACATCAATTTTTGTACATCCAGATGCAATGGCCACAAAACAAAGCTGTTTTTTATAACTTACTTTTCCCCCTCAGATCTCAAGTTTACTCAAACCCCTAGCAGTAAATTTAGCATTTACAGGGTTAATTGGTTGAGGCGGGGCACTGCTGCAGCAGAGGCAGCATCTAGGCTAAAGAAAATAGCTGGAGTGGTTTTTTCTTTCATTCTCTCTCCTCTAGTCTGTTTAGAGCTTTGTTCCAGCCCTGGGAACTGATTAACCATTTTTCCTCTCACTTGGAGGACAGAGCAACACACTTCTAATATTTTTGGTCTACCCAAAACCCTCTTTCAGGAATTTTTGAACTCTTTCCCTTCCCACCTGGAGGAGAGAGCAACTGCAAGCTAATTTATATTCTTTGGCCCATCCACAACCCATTTGTGGGAATGTTTTGGCCCTTTCCTTCTTGCGAAGAGAAGACAGTTTTTACCCTGGCTACTCTTTTTTCCTCACTTTAGCTGCCAAGGCCAGAAGCAGCCAGGGGATCCAGCGAGCCAGCTCTCCTGTGGTTGGAGCTTTATTTTTGAATTCCATGGGTAACTTTTACCTCTCAGAACAGATAGCAACTCACCTGCTGTTTCATAACACCTATAACTCCATAGCCACCAGGCACCAGAGTTTTGTCTTTCTCCACTTCTCTCTTTCCCCAAATAACACTGCAACTATATTTTAATGAGTCAGAGTTGTTCTGTTGAACCTCATTATTGTCACCACTATGTTGGGGGTCCCTAAAATCACTCCTATATTCAAAGGTTTGTTTGAAGGACTCATAGGCCTCATCATATAGTTGTATTCATGACTAAGATTTATTATAACAATGCAGTAAGGATATGCAGCCAGATAGTAAGGGAAAAAGACACAGGCAGAGTCTGAAGGAATCCATGTGCAGGCTTCCTTATGTCCTCTCCCTCCCACTAGGGGTCACATGGAGCACACTCTTTTCTCAGCAACAAAATGCAGCAACATGTGTGTGATGTTTTAGGGAAGCCCATTAGAGACTTAGTGCCCAAGATTTTTATGGGGGGCTGGTCATGAAGGTACGCTTTGCCTGGTATGTATCAAAATTCTAGGCTCCCCAGAAGGAAAGCAGATGTTCAGCGTAAACCACCTTGTTTGTTCAAACATTCTAGCTTTGGTGAACCACCTTTGTCACTTAGGGAAAGTTTTGTATCAGTGTAAGAAACTGTTCACCAGTCAAATTCCCAGATACTACTCAAGGGCCAGCATTACAAGCATGACTTTTTAAAGATAGCAGTCTCAGGCCTGCTATATTAACTCTTCTGCACAAAAGTATACACAAGAGAATAGTTAGAAAATTTGTATGTAAAGAATGGAAGCTTTCTATTAATAGTTTTCTGGACTAGACTCACTTCTTCAGCTTCTTAATTAAGATGTAAGCTAAAATGATTTTTTTAAGTAAGTACTCAGAGGTTATTCTAAATGTTCTACAAGGTAAAGATTAAATTTGTTGTAAAATCTTTACAAAATAATGAAATTATTTCATTTGTATGTCATTTTCACTAGGCTGCAAATAAACTTATCATGTTCCCACAAATGCATACATATTATTTATAAACATATTCTCAGGTATTGGTTTATGCAGTTAATAGTATAGAAACAGGTCTTTTGACTATTAGTGAACATTACCACTTTCATTTTAGTTTTACATTGTGAAGGAAAACAGAGGTAATGAAGGCACGTGTGTTGGAGTTTCTCGCTGGCCAGTACATGACTTTAACCACCGTACTACCTCGGATATGTGGCTCTATCGGGCCTACAGTGGTAACCTTTATCACAATGGAGAACAGACTCTGACGTTGTCCAGCTTTACTCAAGGAGACTTCATTACCTGCGTGTTAGACATGGAAGCCAGGACCATTTCCTTTGGGAAAAATGGAGAGGTACTGAAACTCATTCACAAGCACTGCATGTTTTTTTGTTTTTATTTACACTCAACTCGGTTATTCAAGTGCTAGTCATTCAGTTTATAAATTATCCACTCTTCTCTGCTTTTTCTCTAATATGTTTGGTTCTTACAGTATTTATCAGTGCCAAACAAGCAACAGAAAGATAGTAAGATTGTTGAAACAGATGAACAAATTTGCATCGTTTATTCTTTGTGGAATTTCCTTGGTTAGCAAGGTTAATTGAGATTTGGCTCTAGTAACTTTTGTTCTGTATCATGAGTTTTGAATTTTAATGTGATTGGATATTATCAGTTCTTAAAAATATGTTCATTTCCTTTTATTTTCATCACCTCTGCCATACTATAGGAACCTAAATTAGCTTTTGAAGATGTGGATGCAGCAGAGTTGTACCCGTGTGTAATGTTCTATAGTAGCAACCCGGGGGAGAAGGTAATAAAACCTCAAGCTTTTATACTTAAGTATAAAGGATATTTGTCATTTTTTATTAATATTTGTGAGCATCATACAAAGTTTATAAATGTAATAAGCTATTTCTGTCACTAAAAGTACCTGCTCAGGTAATTGACTCTTTTAGAAGGAGGTTAGATTACTTTTAGAAATTGTCTTGACTCTTTATGAAGGTGCTATTTGATATTCTGTCAATTTGAATATAGTCACTTTTCAAACATATGTACAATTATGAGAATTCTAGGAAATAGGGATAATCTGATTTGTTGGCCATTATGCATATGAGAGAAAAAACTAGAAATAACTTTAAATGTAATCAGATACCATTAGCTGAATAATAGAAGTTCCAGGTGTGATAAGGAAGCTGTCTTTCATTCATTCAGCTGAAGGGGTTCTTAGACCTTGTAGACGGTGTAAATTTGAACCTTAAACCTTCAGCAGGACAGGATTAAAGAGATACCTTCGCACTAAATTTTTTTTTTCTCCTCATCTAAAACCCAGGCAGAGACAGACTTCTTCGTGGTCTCCCTGTGCAGATGGGTGGATTTGTTTTCTACCCCATCCTTTCACTTGAGGATGTAGTGCAGCATAGGTCTGGTCTCCAGAATTGCTAGTTATTTTTTAGTAGAAAGTTTTCATGTTATCTCATATATAATATTTCTATAATGGAATTGCTGAACTTGGTAAATCCTAACCATGAAAGTTACCTTTTATTCTGTGTTTCTAAGTATATTTTAAAATTTTTCAAGGAAGTATATTTCAGGCTAGCTGTTCACGAGAGAGGGGAACTGCTTCTTGAACAGGTGGTCAACGAAACTGAACTGGAGCTGAAGTAAAGAGGCAGCAGCTGCTGTCATCCCTTTCCCTGATGACACTCTTGCAGCCCAAAATAGGTTCTGCTTTGTTCTAGTTAGAATGATGGCCTATTGCTCCCCAAGATCTGTGAACCTTGAAGGAGTTCATTCAATCTTAGACTATGTGTTAATCAATTTATTCTGCCCAGAAGCCTCTTCTGATAAGTTTCAGGATCTCTGATAAAAACAATACTAATAATAGTTAACAGTTTTTGAACATTTACTGTGTGTCTGGTGCTGTGCTAATAAGCACTTTATATGCATTGTCTCATTTAATCTTTAAAATGACCGTAAGAAACAGATACTATTATATTAGTGCCATTTTTTCAGATGAATGAACTGAGGTTTAGTGAGATTAAATAGTTTCCCAAGATTATGCAAAGTTAAGATTTGAACCCAAGTCTTGCTCTTCTTTTAATCTCTGTGTCTTTTTTGAAATGTGTGTCCAGATTGGGAATATCTCAATTATCTAGATTTATGATTTTATGCTTGTGTCCCTTGAGCAGTATAAGATGGTCCCAGGGCTCATTATTATTCTGGAGTCCTGAGGATGAGAGTGAATAGATTCTCAAGGCTTCTTTTTGGACTAAATTGAGTCAGTCACATATACTTTGGTCTATATCCATCTGTCGAGTGGCCACAGCAGGTCTGATACTCACAGGCCACAAGAAGTTTAAATGACAGGGCAGCTTATTTCAGAGGACCTACTGCTACTAACTTCAGTAGATCTGTAGTATTTGCTCGCTCCTTACTGGGGACCGGTGGTATAATACACATGTATTAGGACACCAGACACTAATTCAACATGAGATTACATGTGCTAGAATATAGTGACTAATAGTTTGAGAACTATTAAAAATAGTTTGTTACCCTCTTTTGTTTTATAGGTGAAAATTTGTGATATGCAGATGCGTGGCACACCACGAGACTTACTTCCGGGAGACCCCATTTGTAGTCCAGTAGCAGCAGTGCTGGCAGAGGCCACTATTCAGCTTATCCGTATCCTTCACCGAACAGACCGTTGGACTTACTGCATTAACAAAAAAATGATGGAAAGGCTGCACAAAATTAAGATATGTATTAAAGAGTCAGGTCAGAAGCTAAAGAAAAGCCGCTCGGTTCAAAGCCGAGAGGAAAATGAAATGAGAGAGGAGAAGGAGAGCAAAGAGGAAGAGAAAGGTAAACATAATAGACATGGCCTTGCTGACCTCTCAGAGCCGCAGCTGAGGACCCTTTGCATAGAGGTGTGGCCTGTGCTGGCAGTGATAGGAGGAGTTGATGCTGGTCTTAGAGTTGGAGGTCGGTGTGTTCACAAGCAAACTGGGCGCCATGCCACGCTGCTGGGAGTGGTCAAAGAGGGCAGCACGTCTGCCAAAGTCCAATGGGATGAAGCAGAAATTACCATCAGGTATGATCTGTTGAGTTACACTTTTAGCAAACGAGTATGTATTGGTGAAATGGGCCATTGCCTATGGACAGTGAGTAATTATGTATTTCGCGTGAGCTGCCAGTTAACTTTTTAAAATAATGTTTTTCATACAGCTGGGTATGAGTACTGTGATTTCATAAAGGAATATTTCTCAAACCTGTGTTCCTTGGAATTCTAGTGGTTTGTAAAACATGCAGTTTTTTGGTTTGTTTTGTGAAGAAATGGTAAGCTCACTAGTTTAGGTTTAATTGGGCTCCTTCTTTGTATTTTTCATTTGGCTCCCTGCTTTTTGATCATTTCCATTACACACTGGAATAGAAAAATGCCAACCAGCAGATGTCAGTTACTTTCTTGTAGGAGGGCTTTGAATGTAGGACAGAAACATTTGAGTGACAAAAATTAGGTTTTGGATTATCTATGATTTTCAGTATTCTTGCTTTTTTTTTTTAAGGACATATTTCTGTCCCCTCAGTGTGCAACATTTTGGATAGACGTGAAGTTTACATTTATTTGACACAAGCTGTACTTAAAAGCATTTAGTTGTGTTTATAATTAGATAGGATTTGTGTGAAATAGAAACTTCATATTTTTAAAAGGAAATATGTCAAGTATCTCCCTCAATAAGAGGATTCACTTATCTAATGATTCCTCATAATTGTATCATTTGAAAATATGGATTTATTGATGATATTATTTAACTTTATTATATTGCCTAAAGTGATTACTTTATAGTGTTAATATGACATGGGGCAATATCTAAAACAGTGGTTCTTAAGTATTTTTTGGAGGCAGTTCTGTTTTAGAATCTAACTGTAGCTATGGATCCTCTCAGCTGAAAAACACACCTACATAAGATTACCCACAATTTCAGGAGTTAATGGACTCTACCTCCCCCTACTCCATCAAATGAAGAAACCAATGCAAATTTTACAGTGTTACATGAAATACCTATGTTTTCTTTTATTCTTTGCCTTGTTTCAGGAGGGATTTATGATGCCTTATTGAGATGCATACAATATGGCAAAATAAATATATTATAAATTAAAGCAAATAAGAAAAATGAGGCAAAGGGAAAAATAAGGTTAGGAAGGTTAAGCTAGAACCAAGATTTAGGTTAGTAAAACAAATGTATGCCACCAAACTTTGTATACTTGGTAAAGCTTTCTGTTGCATTTTGTATAATTATAACATTTTTAATAAGGAAGTTCTTGCCAAATATCAGGAAACATATGATCATAGTTTTAATTAAACTATGAATTAGAAGCATTAATTAGAGACTACTAGTTTTTCTAATGAAACCAGTTCTTCCCTGGAATGGATTATAAATGACCATTATTCACATAATAAACTAGATTTATTGTACGAACTTTCCAAATAGCTCATATCAGGGATTGGCAAACTACATTTTGTCCACCTCCTGCTATTGTAGTAGACAAAGTCATACAGCCACACCCATTCATTTAAGTATATCAATGGCTGCTTTCACACTGGTGGCAGGGCTGAAAGGTTGCAACAGAGACCGTGTGGCCTGCAAGGTATAAAATATTTGGTATTCGGCTCTTTACAGAATTTTTGCTAATTCTTAGCTTACATTATATAATAATGAATATTCTTATTTGAAAGCGTATGCACATCTCATTGCTTTTGCATTTAACATCACATCTCCCCATTTTCTCATAATAGACTCATTTTTCTGTTTGCAATGACTTCTCTAGTTTGTGTAAATTATTCTCTGTACTCTGTACATGATGCATCTTATTTTGTCTACATTATCTTCTGTACTTTCCTCCTGTCTATCCCTCACTTGGTTCTTCCTGTGTCATTCTGATCTTTATTAAAGCTTCCCAACTTTTTGGTCGCCTAGTGATACTCCGTTGTATAATCTGGAACCCTGTGAACCACTGCCTTTTGATGTGGCGCGATTCCGAGGCCTGACGGCTTCTGTGTTGCTGGACCTCACGTATCTGACTGGCATTCACGAGGACATGGGTAAACAGAGCACCAAGCGACATGAAAAGAAACACCGACATGAGTCTGAAGAGAAAGGGGATGTTGAGCAGAAAACCGAGAGTGAATCTGCTTTAGATATGCGAACAGGCTTAACATCTGATGATGTCAAAAGTCAGGGTACCACAAGCTCCAAGTCAGAAAACGAAATAGCTTCGTTTTCTGTAGATCCAACACTGCCAGGTGTGGAATCGCTACATCAAATAACAGAAGGAAAAAGAAAAAATCATGAACACTTGTCTAAAAACCATGACATAGCCCAGTCAGAAATGAGAGCAGTCCAACTGTCCTATCTCTACCTCGGTGCTATGAAATCACTTAGTGCTCTTCTTGGCTGTAGTAAATATGCTGAGCTCTTGCTGATACCAAAAGTTCTGGCTGAAAATGGCCACAACTCAGACTGTGCAAGCTCTCCAGTTGTTCATGAAGATGTGGAGATGCGTGCAGCCCTACAGTTCTTGATGCGACACATGGTGAAGCGAGCAGTCATGCGGTCACCCATAAAGAGAGCATTGGGATTAGCCGATCTGGAACGAGCTCAAGCCATGATTTATAAATTAGTGGTCCACGGGCTTTTGGAAGACCAGTTTGGGAGCAAAATTAAGCAAGGTATGTTCTCAGATTTTTTTGCTTTTGTGCTGAAATTATTTATATAATTATTATTTATAATAATTTTAAAATTATTTATAATTTGAAATTATTTGTAATTGTCAGAAATTCTATATAGTCATGTGCCGCATAACAGTGTTTCAGTCAATGGCGGACTGCGTGTATGACGGTGGTCCCATAAGATTGGTACCACATAGCTTAGGTGTGTAATAGGCTATACCATCTGGCTTTGCGTAAATACACTCTCATGTTCACACAGTGAGAGAATCGCCTGACAACACATTTCTCAGAACATGTCTCCATCATTAAGAGACACATGACTGTATTCTGTAAATGATTTATAAAAATGTTTTTTGGTCAAAGCAAGTTTCAGATTGTTTTTCCTTTGCAAGGCAAACAGTTTTTTATATATATATATTAATAATCATCTGTCTACCTGTAATTTTCTATTTTAAACCTATACAAGCATTAGAACTTAATAATTATTACTACATTTTGTAAACCAGAAATTTGACTCATGCTATGAAAGGTACTCAAGTATTTTTTTCTGTTCATTGTCTTGTTTTATTGCTCAAATATTGATTGATCTGATTGAAAATACATATTATTCTGATAACTTTTCAGAGACATTGTAAAGTACTACTTTCATAGACTCTATATTCTTTGTAAAAAACTTTGTTTTCTCTTTTATCCTCACCTTTGGGGATAATATGAATTCTCAGATAAAAATGAGATTCATTAAGTAAATGTTTACTGAGTGCCTACTACGTGCCAGGTACTCTTCTAGGTTCTGGGGAGTCAGCAGTGAACAAAGCAAAGTCCCTTGCCTTCATGGAGCCTCCATTCTTTTTTACTTCCTTCCCTTCCGCTTCCTCCTTCCTTTCCTTTTCCCTTACTCAACTCCGTCCTTTCTTAGTTTTGACAGTAAATAGGCAGAGAGAGGTACATGGTGCATATAAATAGGAGTGTTAAGATCATGATGATTATGAAGGCCATTTAGCAAACCTAATAGAGTTGGCTATCTTTGTAGCTACTGCTATCTTGATTATGTTTACTCATAGGCTCTCTTACAGATAAGAAAAAATTATGAATACTTTGTAAGCTCTTCAACATTGTAACTAATTTTTTTTTCTTTTGAATCTTAGGAGTTGTTTATTTTGTGAGACACTGTCCTTTTTAGAGCATGTAGTTTCTATGTTTTTGTTATTCTTGTATTTGCATGTCTTCATCTTTATGTTTAAAGATTAAAGATAAGCATTAAAATCAAAGTGCCAAGGAAACACAGTTTTAATGCTCAGGTATCTTTAGAGAACCTCTTGTCAAATCTTAAAAACAAATGTGAGACTTTTGTTTTCAAGAAAACTTTCTTCTCTAAAAAAATGGGGACTTGTTACATTATTGTCTGTAGAGTCTATAGTAACGAGTACAGTAGTGAATATAAGGATGTGTATGTCTAAGAACATTTTTTTCTGTAAATCTCTCCTAGAAATTGATACTTATGAAATATATTTAGAAGCTTTCCAAGTTAAAAGTTGAAAGTTTTCCAGTCCAGTGTCACTTTGTCACTTTTGAAAAAACAAATCCTTACTGTTTTCTTTTTTTTTTTTTTTAATTAATGTTATGATAGATTACAACCTTGTGAGATTTCAGTTGTACATTTTTGTTAGTCATGTTGTGGGTACACCACTTCCCCCATTGTGCCCTCCCTCCACCCCCCCCCCTTTTCCCTGGTAACCACCGATCAGATCTCCTTATCAATATACTAACTTCCACCTATGAGTGGAGTCATATAGAGTTCGTCTTTCTCTGACTGGCTTATTTCGCTTAACATAATACCCTCGAGGTCCATCCACGTTGCTGTGAATGGGCCAATTTTGTCTTTTTTTATGGCTGAGTAGTATTCCATTGTGTATATATACCACATCTTCTTTATCCAATCATCAGTTTCTGGGCATGTAGGTTGGTTCCACGTCTTGGCTATTGTAAATAATGCTGCGATGAACATAGGGGTGCAACGGACTCTTGAGATTTCTGATTTCAGGTTCTTAGGATAGATACCCAGTAATGGGATGGCTGGGTCATAGGGTATTTCTATTTTTAACTTTTTGAGAAATCTCCATACTGTTTTCCATAGTGGCTGTACCAGTTTGCATTCCCACCAACAGTGTATGAGGGTTCCTTTTTCTCCACAACCTCTCCAACATTTGTCGCTCTTGGTTTTGGATGTTTTAACGGGTGTAAGGTGATATCTTAGTGTAGTTTTGATTTGCATTTCCCTGATGATTAGGGATGATGAACATCTTTTCATGTGTCTATTGGCCATATTCATATCTTCTTTTGAGAAATGTCTGTTCATGTCCTCTGCCCATTTTTTGATCGGGTTGTTTGTTTTTTTGTTGTTAAGCAGTGTGAGTTCTTTGTATATTATGGAGATTAACCCTTTGTCGGATAAGTGGCTTGTGAATATTTTTTCCCAATTAGTGAGCTGTTTTTTTGTTTCAATCCTGTTTTCCCTTGCCTTGAAGAAGCTCTTTAGTCTGATGAAGTCCCATTTGTTTATTCTTTCTATTGTTTCCCTCAACTGAGGAGTTACAGTGTCCGAAAAGATTCTTTTGAAACTGATGTCAAAGAGTGTACTGCCTATATTCTCTTCCAAAAGACTTATTGTCTCAGGCCTAATCTTTAGGTCTTTGATCCATTTTGAGTTTATTTTGGTGTGTGGTGAAAAAGAATGGTCAATTTTCAATCTTTTGCATGTGGCTGTCCAGTTTTCCCAGCACCATTTGTTGAAGAGACTTTCTTTTCTCCATTGTAGGCCCTCTGCTCCTTTGTCGAAGATTAGCTGTCCATAGATGTGTGGTTTTATCTCTGGGCTTTCAATTCTGTTCCATTGATCTGTGGACCTGTTTTTGTACCAGTACCATGCTGTTTTGGTCACTGTAGCTTTGTAGTATGTTTTGAAATCGGGGATTGTGATTCCGCCGGCTTTGTTTTTCTTGCTCAGGATTGCTTTAGCAATTCGCGGTCTTTTGTTGCCCCATATGAATTTTAGGATTGTTTGTTCAATTTCTGTGAAGAATGTTCTTGGGATTCTGATTGGGATAGCATTGAATCTGTAGATTGCTTTAGGTAGTATGGACATTTTAACTATGTTTATTCTTCCAATCCATGTGCAAGGAATGTCTTTCCATCTCTTTATGTCATCGTCAATTTCTTTCAAGAAAGTCTTGTAGTTTTCATTGTATAGATCCTTCACTTCCTTGGTTAAGTTTATCCCAAGGTATTTTATTCTTTTCGTTGCGATTGTGAATGGGATTGAGTTCTTGAGTTCTTTTTCTGTTAGTTCATTGTTAGTGTATAGAAATGCTACTGATTTATGCACGTTAATTTTATACCCTGCTACTTTGCTGTAGTTGTTGATTATTTCTAATAGTTTTTCTATGGATTCTTTGGGGTTTTCTATATATAAGATCATGTCATCTGCAAACAGCAAGAGTTTTACTTCTTTGTTACCTATTTGGATTCCTTTTATTTCTTTTTCCTGCCGAATTGCTCTGGCCAGCACCTCCAGTACTATGTTGAATAGGAGTGGTGAAAGTGGGCACCCTTGTCTTGTTCCTGTCCTCAGAGGGATGGCTTTCAGTTTTTGTCCACTGAGTATGATGTTGGCTGTGGGTCTGTCATATATGGCCTTTATTATGTTGAGGTACTTTCCTTCTATACCCATTTTATTGAGGGTTTTTATCATAAATGGGTGTTGGATCTTGTCAAATGCTTTCTCTGCATCTATTGAGATGATCATGTGGTTTTTGTTTTTCATTTTGTTGATGTAGTGTATCACGTTGATTGACTTGCGGATGTTGAACCATCCCTGTGTCCCTGGTATAAATCCCACTTGATCATGGTGTATAATCTTTTTGATGTATTGCTGTATTCGGTTTGCCAAAATTTTGTTGAGGATTTTTGCATCTATGTTCATCAGTGATATTGGCCTGTAGTTCTCCTTCTTTGTGTTGTCCTTGTCAGGTTTGGGGATCAGAGTGATGTTGGCTTCATAGAATGTGTTAGGGAGTACTCCATCTTTCTCAATTTTCTGGAACAGTTTGAGAAGAATAGGTATTAAGTCTTCTTTGAATATTTGGTAGAATTCTCCAGAGAAGCCGTCCGGTCCTGGACTCTTATTTTTGGGGAGGTTTTTGATTACCGTTTCTATTTCCTTACTTGTTATTGGCCTATTCAGATTCTCCATTTCTTCCTGATTCAGTTTGGGGAGATTGTAGGAGTCTAGGAATTTGTCCATTTCTTCCAGGTTCTTCAATTTGTTGGCATATAGCTTTTCATAGTATTCTCTTATGATCTGTTGTATTTCATTGGTATCTGTTGTGATTTCTCCTCTCTCGTTCCTAATTTTATTTATTTGCGATTTCTCTCTTCTTTTCTTGGTGAGTCTGGCTAAAGGTTTGTCAATTTTGTTAATTCTTTCGAAGAACCAACTCTTTGTTTCATTGAGCCTTTCTATTGTCTTTTTTGTTTCAATATCGTTTATTTCTGCTCTTATTTTTATTTTTTCCCTCCTTCTACTGACTCTGGGCTTTGTTTGCTCTTCTTTTTCTAGTTCTGTTAGGTGTCGTTTGAGGTTGCTTATGTGAGGTTTTTCTTGTTTAGTGAGGTGAGCCTGTATTGCGATGAATTTCCCTCTTAGGACTGCTTTTGCTGCATCCCAAATGATTTGGTATGTCATGTTCTCATTTTCATTTGTCTCCAGATAATATTTGATTTCTTCTTTAATTTCCTCAATGATCCATTGTTTGTTCAGAAGCGTGTTGTTTAGTCTCCACATTTTTGCACCTTTCTCTGCTTTTTTCTTGTAGTTGATTTCTAGTTTCATAGCATTATGATCAGAAAAGATGCTTGATATTATTTCAACTCTCTTGTATTTATTGATGTTTGCTTTGTTTCCCAAAATATGGTCAATCCTTGAGAATGTTCCATGTGCACTTGAGAAGAATGTGTAACCTGCTGTTTTTGGATGAAGTGTTCTATATATATCTATTAAGTCCATCTGGTCTAATTTTTCATTTAATTCTATTATTTCCTTGTTGATTTTCTGTCTGGATGTTCTGTCCATTGGTGTTAATGGTGTGTTGAGGTCCCCTACTATTATTGTATTGTTGTTGATGTCTTCTTTTAGTTCTATTAAGAGTTGCTTTACAAATTTTGGTGCTCCTGTGTTGGTTGCGTATATATTTATGTGTTATGTCTTCTTGGTGGAGAGTCCCTTTTATCATTATATACTGTCCCTCTTTGTCTTTCTTTATCTGTTTTGCTTTGAAATCTACCTTGTCTGATATTAGTATAGCGGCACCTGCTTTCTTTTGTTCATTATTAGCTTGGAGTATTGTTCTCCATCCCTTCACTCTGAGTCTGTGTTTGTCTTTGGGGCTGAGGTGTGTTTCCTGAAGGCAGCATATTGTTGGGTCTTGTTCTTTGGTCCATCCTGCCACTCTGTGTCTTTTGATTGGGGAGTTCAATCCATTTACATTTAGAGTGATTATTGAGATGTGGGGGCCTACCACTACCATTTTGTGTCTTGTTTTGCAGTTTTCTTCAATTTCCTTTGTTTCTCTTCCCATGGTTTAATCTGTTCTGATGAAGAGCTGCTACTCTCTGTTGTTGTCCTTCTACTTATCTCCTCTGCTCTTGGTTTTGTAGCCCCTTTCCTTTTTTGGATTTTTCAGGAATGAGGGTTTTCCTGAGGATTTCCTGAAGAGGAGGTTTTGTGGCAATGAACTCCCTTAATTTTTGTTTATCTGGGAAAGTTTTTAGTTCTCCATCGTATTTGAAGGATATTTGCACTGGGTAGAGAATTCTCAGCTGTAGATTTTTGTCCTTCAGATTTTTGAATATATCATTCCACTCTCTTCTATCCTGTAAAGTTTCTGCTGAGAAATCTGCTGATAGCCTGATGGGGGTTCCTTTGTAGGTTAGTTTCTTTTGCCTGGCTGTCCTTAGTATTTTCTCCTCGTCGTTGACTTTTGCTAGCTTCACTACTATATGCCGTGGAGTTGGTCTTCTTGCGTTGATAAAGTTTGGAGATCTATTGGCTTCTGTCACCTGAAGATCCATCTCTCTCACCAGATTTGGGAAGTTCTCAGCCATTATTTCTTTGAATAGGCTTTCTGCCCCTTTCTCCTTCTCTTCTCCCTCTGGTATACCTATAATCCTTACGTTGCATCTCCTAATTGTGTCTGATAATTCTCGGAGAGTTTCTTCATTTCTTTTTAGTCTTACTTCTCTCTCCTCCTCTGCCTGCAGCAATTCTATATTGCCATCTTCCAAATTGCTAATTCTTCCCTCCATATTATCGGCCCTACTGTTCAGTGCATCTAGATTTTTCTTAATCTCCTCTATTGTGTTCTTCATTTCCAATATTTCTGTTTGGTTCTTCTTTATCGTATCAAACTCTTTTGTGACATAGCTCCTGAACTCGTTGAGTTGTCGGTCAGAATTCTCTCTTAACTCAGTGAGTATTTTAATGATGGCTGTTTTGAAGTCATCATCATTTAGGTTATATATCTCATTTTCTTTGGGATTGTTTTCTGTGTATTTGTTATCTTCCTTCTGTTCTGGAGATTTAATGTATTTTTTCATATTGCTTGATGTTGTTGATTTGTGCCTCTGCATAGAGATAGAGTTTAGTTGCTCCTTTCACTTGTTTCTGCTGCTGCGGTGGGGGAGCAGCTGTTTATATTGCACCAACCAGGAACCCTATCCACAGTTGCTAACTGGGCCTGGGCCCCTCCTCGTAGTCACAGTGGTCCTTTGGATTCCCTCCTCTGCTGTGGGGGCCGTCACAGGGGGGCTTCAGGCTGCTGGTGCCTACTGTTGCAGCCCACCTAGACGTGCTCCTTCCTGGGGGTCTGCAACGGTGTTATGGGCTTTTCCAGCGGCCAGGGGTAGGATCACTTATATTTGTTGCTCCATCACTGTCGGCACCCACAAAATCTCACTTGTCCACTATGGGTCGCAGGAGAGCTATTGGCATCTTCTACAGTCTGTGGTTAGTTCACCTAGCTATGCTACTTTTGTCCCGGGGTCTTCCAGCCTTGTGGCTGCTGGATGGGTGCTTTCTACTAGTGCTGTGCAGAGGCTTTCCCTGAGGCTGCTGTGAGCCTGTAGGGTTTCCCCCTAGGCTACGGAGCTGGGTCGCTGGAACTCCACCCTGCCCCAGTCCTGTTCCCCAGGAACTCGGGGAGCCCTTTGCCCTGTCTTGGGGGATAGCCAGAGATCCTGATTTCAGTGGTAGCTGGTCAGCTTCTGCCCTGCCTGATATTCTCCTCTCCGGGACCCTCCTGGTGTTGTGGATGCTGGGAGTGGCCCCTCAGCTAATAGCAGACAGAGAGTTTTGTCTGCTGCCCAGGCAGAACTCTGGAGCTTCCCCTCCGGGCTGCAGAGCTGGCCTCTGGAGCTTCACCCAGCCCCAGTCCTCTCTGAGATCTCCGAGATCTCCAGCAATCCCTAGCCCCACGGGGCAGGCAATGGCAGCTGGGGGTCACCTCGCCCTCTGGGATTCTCTCTGGGACTTTCCTGGAGTTGTGAATGCTGGGCGTGGCCCCTCCACTAATGGCAGACAAAGAGTTTTGTCTGCTGCCCAGGCGGAACTCTGGAGCTTCCCCTCCGGGGCGCGGAGCGGGCCTCTGGAGCTTCACCCAGCCCCAGTCCTCTCCAAGATCTCCGGCAATCCCTAGCCCCACGGGGCGGGCAGTGGCAGCTGGGGGTCGCCCCCCCCTCTGGGGTTCTCTCCGGGACTTTCCTGGAGTTGTCAATGCTGGGCGTGGCCCCTCCACTAATGGCAGACAGAGAGTTTTGTCTGCGGCCTGGGTAGAACTCTGGAGCTTCACCCAGACCCAGCCCTCTCCGAGATCTCCGGCAATCCCTAGTCCCACGGGGCGGGCAACGGCAGCTGGGGGTCACCCCGCCCTCTGGGGTTCTCTCCGGGACTTTCCCGGAGTTGTGAATGCTAGGCGTGGCCCCTCCGCTAATGGCAGACAGAGAGTTTTGTCTGCTGCCCGGGCGGAACTCTGGAGCTTCCCCTCCGGGGCGCAGAGCCGGTCTCTGGAGCTTCACCCAGCCCCAGTCCACTCCGAGATCTCCGGCAATCCTTAGCCCCACAGGGCGGGCAACGGCAGCTGGAGGTCACCTCGCCCTCTGGGATTCTCTCCGGGACTTTCCCGGAGTTGTGAATGCTGGGCGTGGCCCCTCTGCTAATGGCAGACAGAGAGTTTTGTCTGCGGCCTGGGCAGAACTCTGGAGCTTCACCCAGCCCCAGTCCTCTCCGAGATCTCCGAGATCTCTGGCAATCCCTAGCCCCACGGGGCGGGCAACGGCAGCTGGGGGTCGCTCCACCCTCTGGGATTCTCTCCGGGACTTTCCCGGAGTTGTGGATGCTGGGTGTGGCCCCTCCGCTAATGGCAGACAGAGAGTTTTGTCTGCTGCCCGGGCGGAACTCTGGCGCTTCCCCTCCGGGGCGCGGAGTCAGCCTCTGGAGCTTCACCCAGCCCCAGTCCGCTCCAAGATCTCCGGCAATCCCTAGCCCCACTGTGCAGGCAGTGGCAGCCGGGGGACCTCCGTACCCTCAGCGATTCTCTCTGGGACCCTCCGGGTGCCGTGAACACTAGGTGGGATCTCCCTGCCAATGGCGGGGAGAGACTCTCCCCGCGGGCTCAGGTGTGTAACTCTAGAGTTTCCCTCTGCGTTTAGGAGTAATTGCAGGGGGTCTAGGTAGGGTTCTGGTCACCTGTTTCCACCGTCGCTCCTCTGTTGTGTGCTCGCTCCTGCCGTAGATGTGTGTTGATCTTCTGGGGGCGTCCGTTGGAAGAAAGCTGCTTGCGGGTACTAGGCTGTTCGGTCGGGGTCGGAGAGTTTTCACCTATTTCCACATCCTCCCGGAGGAAAGTCCGTCCGCCTTCCGATGTATAGTCGCGTGGGTCTCTCAGACGTCCTCAGATGCTGTCTGGATATCCTTTGTTAAGTGATAAGTGTCCAAATAATTGTAGACTCGAAGGGGGAGAGACAAAGAGGACTACTCACGGTGCCATCTTGGATCTCAATCTCCTTACTGCTTTCTTAACCTTTACCTTGGTTTACAGAGATCGATCAACAAGCTGAAGAAAGTGACCAAGCCCAGCAGGCACAGACGCCGGTTACCACTAGCCCATCAGCCTCGAGCACAACTTCCTTCATGAGCAGCTCCCTGGAGGACACCACAACTGCCACTACTCCAGTCACTGACACGGAGACGGTGCCTGCATCCGAGTCCCCAGGAGTGATGCCGCTTAGTCTTCTCAGGTAGGGAAGTGGATCTTTAACGTCTGCTATATTGATGCCTGTGGTTCTCAACACATGATTGTTCTCTTATGAAGAACGTGCCCAACTAAATCAAGACATTCTAGAGCTAGAAGGAACCTAAGAGATCATATAGTCAAACCTATTTTACTGAAGTTGGAAATGTCCCTTATAGGTTTAATAACTTGCCCAAAGTCTCACAGCCAGTTAGTGGTGGTCCCAGATCTAATCAGCTGTGCCACTGCACTGACTCAGGTACTCCAGCACTTTTCTCTCCTTATAATGATTTCTTTGAGGGGGAGAAAGGGGCTATACTTTTGAATATTTTTTTCCTCACAAAGTAAGTATTTTGTATTTTGAATATTAGAGCCTCAAGAAAGAGCTTATCTCCATGAAAATAATTTTCTCCTTCAGATTATTTCCCTTTTAAGCATAATCCCTTAATTATACTTTTATTCTTGTTATAAGATCAAAGTAGTCTACTTTTCAAATGAAAGAGCTTGTTTTGTGATGCTTCTTCAACCAAGTCTTATTTTAGTAGGTTTGTAAATTCCAAATAATGTTTTAGGTTTTGGAGCCGGCCTGGTGGCGTAGCGATTAAGTTTGCACCTTCTGCTTTGGTGGCCCAGGGTTCGCTGGTTGAGATCCCGGGTTTGGACCTATGCACCGCTTATCAAGCCATGCTGTGGCAGGCATCCCACATATAAAGTAGAGGAAGATGGGCACAGATATTAGCTCAGGGCCAGTCTTCCTCAGCAAAAAGAGGAGGATTGATGGTGGATGTTAGCTCAGGGCTAATCTTCCTTAAAAAAAATTAAAAAAAAAACAAAAAAACAAAAAAACATCCCCTGCCTCTTACCTCTCTCATTTAAGTAACACAGTTCCAGGAGGTGCTTCTGTTCAAGAAAGGAGGAAGAGAGGAATAATAGGATATTCTAATACGGTTTTTAATTTCTCTGAGAATTACAGAATTCAAAGCATCCGCAGAGGATCAATAACTCTGTGACTCCTTGTTGCCTTTCAAGGTTTGTAGCATAGGTGTGGGATTCAGTGGTAAAATAATGCTCTTTTACTCCCAGAGGCATTCACCAGAACTTGCAACTGCTCCTTTCTTCTCAGTCTTTGTTTCCCTGCTGTTGGCTGGGACTATATTAGAGCTGCAATTGTCTCTGCCTGGCTGAAGATCACTTAACATGAGAAAATCAGGGAACAACTGCCCCCTGTGTGATTACCATCATATCATAGTTATTTGACTGAATAGACAGTGCTTTTTTGATGCTTAAAAAGTTGTTGTTAATTCTCTTCGACAAATCTAAAGAGTGGTCAGTGAGGATCTTCCTGGACTTTATTCTTTAGTCAATGTCTGCCTTCTCAGCCTGAGAGGGACTACCTCTCCTGTACCTTTCCCCCTCTAAACAGCTGGCATACCATTTATATTCTATTTTTTAGTTGTACTGGCAGTTATCTTTTCTTTCCATAACTTACCTATAGACCTTACTCTGAATCCATGTGAATAATTTCATGGCTACCTAGTCAATTTATATTTGAAGTAACTGTAAATTACCTATCTGTAAAAGTCTTCTTTATTGTCTTAATTACTATATGCCTACCAAAATACTCCTGTCATCTTGGTATGATAGTAGAAGGAAAGCTTCATGAAGGCAGGGCTTTTAAAAATATTTTTGTTAATTGGTGTATTTCATCCACCTGCTATGTTGCTGGTATTTTGCTGAACAAATGATAAGGTATTATTACTTTTACAGTAAAAGCATCCTATGAGATAATGATTTTTAATACTTGTGGAGTCTTTCTCCCCTTCCCCCAAGTAAACTATAGCTAACTTATATAGTTTTCCAGATTGCATATTCTTCTATAAGAAAATTGTGATGTATATATTATTTTCTAATTGGGTTTTTATGTTAACCACTGTTATTTTCTTAAAGGCAAATGTTCTCTAGTTACCCAACTACTACTGTACTTCCCACACGTCGTGCACAGACTCCTCCAATATCATCGTTACCAACCTCTCCCTCTGATGAAGTAGGGAGGAGGCAAAGCTTAACTTCTCCTGATTCCCAATCAGCAAGGCCAGCTAACCGTACAGGTGCGTGTGCTATCATGCGCTACACCCAAACCTCTTGGCATTCCAGATGTGTGGGACTTTATTATGTGGGCATTATGTTTTGTCTTCATTGCAGGTAAAACCATGATTTTAATTAAGGGGGATCTGCCCCATCAAACTGAGCTGTCTTCTCTATTTTGAAGCTGTGGATTGAATTATGACTATTTGGGAGAGAAATAATGTACTGTACATCAGTCATATTAGACTTTTCTAATAGAGGCATTTTTAGTGCTATGAATTTTCCCTGTAAACATTGCTTTTGCTACAACCAACACATTTTGAAATGCTGTGTTTTCATTTTCATTCATTTTAAAGTACTTTCTAATTTAGCATTGATACCTTCTTTGACATGGGTTGTTTAGAAGTATGTTATTTTGTTTCCAAATATTTGGAGATTTTCCAGATGTCTTTCTATTATTGATTTCTAATTAATTTTATTGTCACCGGAGAACATATCTTGTATAATTTGAATTCATTTAAATTTATTGAGACTTGTCTTATGGCCCATAATATGGTCTATTTTGATAAGTATTCCATGTGCACTTGGAAAAAATATGTATTGTGCTATTGTTGAGTAGAGTGTTCTATAAATTGTTGGTTAGATCAAGTTGGTTGATAATGTTGTCCAAGTCTTCTTTGTCTGATTTTCTTTTACTGATTTTTGGTCTATTTATTCTATCAATTATTGAGAGAGTGGTATTGAAATCTGTATTTCCCCTTTCGTTTATCAGTTTTTGTTTCATATATTTTAAAGCTCTCTCCTTAGGTCCATAAACATTTAAGATTCTTATATCTTCTTAATGAATTGACTTCTTTATCATTATGAAATGACTTTCTTTTATCCCTGGTAATATTCTTTGCCCTTAAATCTGCTTTATCTGGTGTAACTGTAGCCACTTCTGATTTTTTAAAAAATTAGTGTTAGGATGGTATATCTTCTCCCAACATTTTATCTTTAATTTATTTGTGTCTTTATATTTGAAGTGGGTTTCTTAAAGGCAGCCTATAGTTGGGTCTTGCTTTCTTAACTCAACCTGATATTCTCTGCCTTTTAATTGGGGTGTGGAGACCATTTACGTTTAATGTGGTTATTGGTATCTTGATTTAAATCTACCATCTTTCTTTCATCTCATCTCTCCTTTGTTCCCTTTTTTCTACCTTTTTTGGATTAAATGAGTATTTTTTATGTTTCTATTTTATCTCCTTTGTTGCTTAGTAGCTATACTTTGTATTGTATTTTTAGAGATTACTTTCAGGTTTATAGTATACATCTTTAATTATCATGGTCTACCTTCAAGTAATGTTATAACGCTTCATGTATAGTAAAAGAATCTAACAACAGTATGCTTTCATTTCCCCTTTCTCAGCCTTTGTACTTTTATTGTTTAACTTCTACTAACTGTTTAACTATACTTCTAACATTTAACTTCTACATATGTTATAAAGCCCCATACTACACTGTTATTATTTTTGCCGTAAACAGCCAGTTGTCTTTTAAAGAGATTTAAAAACTAAAGTGTATATTTTATATTTACCCATATATTTACCAGTTTTGAGATTCTTTGTTCCTTTATGTAGTTCCAGATTTCCATCTTGTGTTATTTCCTTCTGCTTGAAAGACTTCCTGTAATATTTCTTGCAGTGGTCTGCTGGTGATGAATTCTTTTGGTGCTTGTGTGTCTGAAAGAGTCTGTTTTACTTTAACTTTTGAAAAATATTTTCACTGAGTGTAGAATTCTAGATTACAGTTTTTTCTTTCAGTACTTCAAGATGTTGCTCTACTGTCTTCTGGCTTGTGTTGTTTCTAATGATATGTCTTCTGTCATTCTAATCTTGATGTAGTATGCCTTTTTCTATGACTGCTTTTAAGATTGTCCTGTTTATCACTGGGCTTAAGCACTTTGATTATGATCTGCCCTAGTGTAATTTTCTCATGTTTTTTGTGCTTGGGGTTTTTTGTGCTTCTTGGATCTCTGGGCTTATAGCTGTCATTAAATTCAGATATTTTTCGTCTGTTATTTTTTCAGATGTTTTTCTGTGCCAGTCCTCCATTTCAGTGTCTCTAGTTACATGCATATTAGGCCACTTGAGGTTGTCCCACAGATCACTGATGCTCTCTCTCTCTGTCTTTTTTTTTTTTTTTTGAGTCTTTTTTCTATTTGTGTTTCATTTTGGATAGTTTTTATTTGTTGTGTCTTCTGGTCATTAATTTTCTCCTGCAGTTTTTAATGTGCTCTTAATCCCATCCAGTGTATTTTTTCCTTCAGATATTGTAGTTTTCACCTCTAGAAGTTCAATGTAGTTCTTTTAAAAAAATCTTTCACGTCTTTTAACATGTTCAGTCTTTCCTCTACCTTATCAAATAGATAGAATAACAGTCAATTCTCACTATTAGAATAGTTATGTTCTGTAAAGTCACTGTGAACACTGAATTAGCGAAAACTGAACCATTGTTCCTAGGGAAAATACAGGGCTACGTTTCTGTGAGCTCTTTTGGTCACCTTTTGTCCACTGATCAATATGTAATCTTGTTTTGTCTGTCTTTCTATTTAAAGACACCATATTTAATGTATATTGTTGACTCATTAGCATTGAACTCATGGCCAGGAGCACCATAACTCATGCCTGAATGAAGCTTATCTGACATGTATATTTTCTCCGTAAGACATTACAACCTTCTTGTATTTAGAAACACTAGACAGCATTTTAGCACTACACTTAGGGGCCATTTTAAACAGTGAAATCACCAACAAAAAAGCACAAAAATGCAGAAAAACATGTCACTAAATGACTGTGAAAAGAACACTTGTTTACAGTCTGAGACCTGAAACAACGTGGGGCATCACCTTGTTCAGCCTCAGCTGGGAACAAATGGATGAGGACACTGAAATTTTTTGTCACTGTGCATGTGAATGACTGTGAAAACACCATGGTATTGATTTTGGACTTACAAATTAATTTTACTGAGTAGATGAATTTGTAAATATGGAATTCACAAATAAGGAGGATCAACTCTGTTTATAATACCTATTTTGATATCCTTCTCTACTTAATTTATCATCTATCTCATTTCTGGGTCTGTTTCTATTGACTAATTTTTCTCTTCATGTTGAGTTGTATTTTCTTGTTTCTTTGCATGTTTGGTAATTTTTTATTGGATACTAGACATTGTGAATTTTACCTTGTTGAGTGCTGGGTATTTTATATTTCTTTAAATATATTTTACCTTTGTTCTAGGATACATTAAGTTACTTGGAAAGAGTTTGATTCTTTCAAGGCTTCTTTTTAGGCTTTGCTAGGTGAGACCAGGACAGCTTTAGTTTGGGGCTAATTTTTCACCACCACTGAACCAGTACCTTTCTTAGTATTCTGTTCAATGCCTTATGTATTACGAAGTTTTTTCATTCTGGCTTGTGGTAATGCAAACTCTTCTTAACCCTGTGTGAGCTCCAAGAATTGTTCTGCCTGCCCCTTCTTGGTGATTCTTTCCCTAGCTTTGGATAGTTGCTTTATTAGCATCAGCTGAAGACTTGAGGTGACAAGAAGGACATTTTTGTTTTTTTTCTGTGCAACTTCCTTCTTTTTATATAGCTCTCTCCTTTTTGGTATTCTACCTTTTAATTCTAGCCACTTTGAATTCTCTACCCTGTCTCCTCAGTTCAGAGAGACCACAGAGTTTAGCTTGAATTTACCTCCCTTAACTGCAGCTTGGAAATTCTCTCCAGGTAATACACGAGGCAGTTGTACACCTCGCCTCATTTCATTCTCTTCTCTCAGGGATCATTCTCCTACACTGCCTTTTGTCCAGTGTCTGCAGACTATTGTTTGATATATTTTGTCTGTTTTTCAGTTGTTTAAGGTGAGGGTAAATTCAGTCTCAGTTACTCCATCATGGCTAGAAGCAGAAGTCCAGCAGACATAACAAGACTATTACTACCATAGCAGTCGTGGCCTCTTTTAAGCAAAAATGAGAGTTATAGTCCTCCCTCCCTCCCTTCTTCTTTCCCTCTTTCCCCACTACCTAATTCAATCAAAAGTCATTAAGTGGAGTCAAGCTAGAGTGGCATTCCTGCCAGCAGGGTTTGGGAGGTGGGTGGCATGGTGGCCCAGAGTGGGCTGTCAGAGCCAGATTGGGGTGAGGAATGCTCCTTATATGTGTGGGAGTGGACTGGCATAGAGTATTGGAGTCCAAGTGGGGTGAGAAAATGTCCACATGGCCCAGCACAAGGTGTCAGAGTCATGCAGGGTGAGGAAGGCCCCTTCTAGCACTATCTATTGAGAGGGTCTGGGAGCAGTGATGCTTCAGTAGCAATAAACACACCTAGTGCCAAGATCCTGTTTTCTAAATAGCATTCTCTACTAAAAAGAACTCCAGTTTCCTGGTAAATGGCTAATTTTAGGGTGAAGTATGAGAAAAGCCTGGAACAGCTTGTGCCAGAAAGTGGTAAAGTGCTCAGAGAATGATGGGCACATGCCTCAAAGATATAGAAACCAGATTGAAGGGGCTTCCACTGGCCAAATCTGGGAGGTTTGAGGCATCAAAATAAACGATCATAATTATGCTAACAGATAATAACCCATGAATACAATAAGAATCTATAACCCATACTAATGGAGAAAGGAGAAGCTTTGCTTTAGAGTGGAGTACCAGCTGGTGAATCTGAAAGTGGTGATGGACTTAGAAAACCATCTTTGTCAACCATCATAATAATAATTAATTCAATAAACATAAATGGATGCTAGTGAGTAAAACTATGATGAGGAATGGGGTATTTACATATTCTCATAGTTCCTCCCCACAAATACTTAGTAATTACACAGGTAAAAAAAGAGTATCTTTACAGTGGAGAAACCTTGCAGATACCAGCTTAACGCAAATAATCAAAGTTAATATCACTAGTAATGAGACAAATTGAAATCATGTACCATCTAATAGAATGCAGCAAGAAGAAGGCAGCATCAGTTTTGTGGTACTCGTGCCAAAAAGCACAACCTGAATCTAATCATGAGGAAACAATCAGACAAACTCAAATTGAGGGACATTCTACCATCTAACTGGCCTGTAATCTTCAAAGTACCCAAGTGATTGAAGGATGCTGAAGAGACATGAAAACTAAATGCAAAGATGATCCTGGATTGGATCCTTTGCTGTAAAAAATATTATGAAGACTTTTGGTGAAACTAAAATGGGATCTGGATTAGATGGTGACATTATTCATTTCCTGACTTTGATGGTTGTGTTGTGGTTAAGCAGGAGAATGCCCTTATTTGTAGGAGTTAACGTTAGTGTCTTCAGGGGAGATGGAGCATCGTGTCTGCTACTTACTCTCCAGTGATTTGTGGGTAGAAGAATTCTTTGTACTATTCTTGCAAATTTCTTTTCAGTTTGAAATTTTTTATAAGTAGGAAACTATTTCAAAATGAGAAAACGTTTTAAAATTTTTCAGCAGGCTTATTTTGTGTTAGCAGTTTTATGAAAAACCTTTAAAAGTTGTAACAAATTTAATCACATTTAGTTATACATTTAGTGAATTCTTAGCAGGGTAAAATTTCATTAAATTTCGACAGTATTAGGAAATTGAGGACTTAGGGTCACTATAAGAACACTTTTTGCTCATGGTTTCTAGTGATATATAGGTCTTTATTTCTCTTTCTTTTGTCTCAGCCTTGTCAGACCCAAGCAGTAGACTTTCAACTTCTCCTCCTCCTCCAGCAATTGCAGTACCCTTGCTGGAAATGGGGTTCTCTCTCCGACAGATTGCCAAAGCCATGGAAGCCACAGGTAGGATAAGTTTTTATATATCAATATATGCAGATATGAGAGGCCCAGTCTTGTTAAGGACAATGTATTTTTTAAGAGGTCATAAAATGCTTGGTAAGATTTTTAACACCAGAGTTAGTTACAGTGACATCATAGAGACACTCTTTAAAACTGAAAGCATGAATAACTAATTATTTTGCCTGAAGTCAGTATCAGACTTTTTTGTTTTCCCTCGTCAGGTGCTCGAGGAGAGGCTGATGCCCAGAATATCACTGTCCTTGCCATGTGGATGATAGAGCACCCTGGGCATGAGGATGAGGAGGAGCCCCAGTCAGGCAGCACAGCAGACTCAAGGCATGGAGCAGCTGTAGGCAGTGGTGGGAAGTCAAATGATCCCTGTTATTTGCAATCACCAGGAGACATACCATCAGCTGATGCTGCTGAAATGGAGGAAGGCTTTAGTGAAAGGTGACCTCCAATTTCCATATTTTTGTTCCGTATGTTTTAAATGGTATCCCCCAAGAGCCCCATTTATTTGCCTGCGTAGATGCTTCTAATGGTGTGTCAAGTTAATAACTAAACATATGTGAAAAGGTGGACATTTCAGTTACAAGTTTATGTTTCCATGAAGGGTAAAAATGACATGACAAGTTTTGACTTGAATGGATGTTTTCACGGAAAGAAGGAAATAATTCTTAGATAAAATTGAGCTGAAAAGAGGAAACAAAATTAAAACAAGTTTGTTCTAAAATAAACATGCTGATAAAATAATTTTATCTCATTTAGTGATATAAATAGAATTCTCATTTTAATATTAGAAATTGGTTTAATTAATACATTTGATAGGGGCCGGCCTGGTGGCGCAGCGATTAAGTGCGCACATTCCACTTTGGCAGCCTGGGGTTTGCTGGTTCGGATCCCGGGTGAGGACATGGTACCACTTGGCAAGCCATGCTGTGGCAGGCATCCCGCATATAAAGTAGAGGAAGATGGGCATGGATGTTAGCTCAGGGCCAGTCTTCCTCAGTAAAAAGAGGAGGATTGGCAGCAGATGTTAGCTCAGGGCTAATCTTCTTCTTCAAAAAAAATACGTTTGATAGAAATGGGTTTTTAAATCTTTTGTCTCAATGTAGATTTGTATTTTCATCTCTTCTGTGGTTTTCACTATCTAGTACAATTTGCCTCTTTTTTAAGTTGTAAAAAGAATTCTATGATAGTACCTAGCCTAAAATGAGATGAAATAAAATATTCTACAATTCTTGCTAAAATCTTCCCCCTTCAGCACTTCTTATGAGTTTAACCTTCATTTTTTCATTTTAGCCCATGAAGTCACATGGTTACCAAGGCTTGTATCTTATGTAATATACAGACTTTTTCTGACAAGCTCAGTGACTATTTTTATAATTTATTTTGAAATATGTTTACCCTAGGCAAGAATTCACAATCATTTCAAATTTTCAGTATTTAAGTATTTAGGATTTAGTTAAGTCCATTGATCTCATTTGAATTTGGACATGCATTAAGCATCATTTCATTGGTGGCATAATTCAAAATGAGATAAAATTATTGCTCAGGGCAATATGAAATATTTATCACTTAGGAGCTTTACCAGGAACAAAAGATATGTTTCAAAGTTTTATTGTAAACATATTTTATTCTTGTAATATTTGGAGGAAAAAACCACCACAAGCAAGCTCGCACCTATGCTTTCTATTCGTGATGGTTTTTAAAAATTTGTATTGCTTTCAAACTTGCATTTGTAGCCCTGATAATCTGGATCATACAGAGAATGCAGCTTCTGGAAGTGGACCACCAGCTAGGGGTCGCTCAGCAGTAACAAGAAGGCACAAGTTTGATTTAGCTGCTCGCACGTTGCTCGCAAGAGCAGGTAATTATATGTTTCACATCCTTCTCTTGGTGAAAGTATCATGTAGTTAATTTTTTTTTATATTTCAGAGTCAATGTAAAAGCAACATTAAAGAAGATGTAAACTAATGATACTAAGTACTCAGTTCCTCCACATTAACAGAGCAACTATTTACGTATTACTTTCTGCACATTTACATAATTGAAATCACAGCATACATTCACAGATTTATTTTTAAGTTCCCTCTGGGTGCAGAAGGTTATACTAGTCACTTGTAGGTATTGTTAAGTTTTGTAAATGCTCTCTCTGCCCTCAAGCAACTTTTAATTTAAGAAGTTAAAGGTGCATATTTAAAACTTAATGTCAGTGGTGAGAAGGAGCTGAAAAGAGCGCTGTGCCAAAGACATAGGCTTTTCTGATGTACCCTGTGGACCTTAGGGCTTCACTGCTAGGTAAGGCCCTAGATAAGCAAAAATAAATTCCCTTGTTACATTAGTAAATACTTTTAGGATTATATTCTGGGCATGTGAAGTATAAGTTATAGGGAACATATTTTCCATACTAAAAACCAGAATATATGATTTTTCAAAACAGAGTTTGATCCTTAAAATATTAAAACATAAATAATGATTCAATAATTTATGGGAACAGAGAGAAATTGAGACTGTCCTAGAAAATATAGAATGTATACTTAATATACAATGAAAGGAATTGATTTTTTAAAAAATAAGCCTAAAAGAATAGTAACAGCCCTAGTTTTTTGAGTATATAACAAACATTATGAAGTATTTTACATGATTATGTCATTTAAACCTATCAACAGCCCCTCAAGGTATGAGTGCTATTATCCTCATTTTATAGAAGAGGAAACATGTGATAGGTAAAATTTTATGTTTATGGTCTGGAATCCAGTAAGTCAGCTGAGATACTCACCTGCATGTATGGCAGTTAAGAACTGGTGAAATAATCAAAATTATTTTATACATACAAATGAAATGCCTTTTTTGTTTTGTTCTGAGCGGGGTTATACCGCTCTGTGCAGGCCCACAGGAATCAAAGTCGGAGAGAAGGAATATCTTTGCAGCAAGACCCAGGGCCGTTGTATGACTTTAATTTAGATGAGGAATTGGAAATTGATCTTGATGATGAAGCGATGGAAGCTATGTTTGGACAAGACCTGACCAGTGACAATGATATTCTGGGAATGTGGATCCCAGAGGTACTGGATTGGCCTACCTGGGTGTGTGTGACTGCAGCGGGGGCTGCTCTGACTTATTTTCCTGCCCTCCTGTTCATACAGCTTACTAACAGCAGCCTTGCCTAGAGTTGTAACACTCTTAAAGTCTTACATCTCATCCTAAAGTTTGGGGCTCTAACGCTTGAGGTTACTTTGTTACCTACAAACTAAGACAACTAAGTCTCTCTTGTTGCTTGCTCTGTGCGATTTTATTGCTTCTCTCCCCAGACTAGATGAATAGAGCCATATTGTGGTAATATTTGATTCTAACATCAAAGATAGATTACAAAACAGGCATCAGGTCCCAGTCAACTCTGCTGGGTATATAACGTGGCTGCGCTGCTCACCTTGCTATCTGAATGCATGCTCTTCTCCTTCATAGGTTCCATTTAATCACTGTACTGCCTCATTCTAGGAAACAGTGACGCCCAAATCTTGTAAATACCTCCATCCAGGGGCAGGGTACATGGTGGGTTTGTATGTTTATGTTGTTTAGCATTATGCTTTTGTGGCAGGGAGACTGAGAAGTTCAGAGGTATAAGTCCTACAGGAAAGAGCATTTACTATATTAAGTTAATAAGAGAAATGAATCTTAATGACTTCTTAGAAATTCAGAAAATAAATACGCATGTTATGACCAGGGAAAAAGTAGTTTTTATTAGAGGGATTTAAAAAAAATCATTTGAGATGGGGCAGATTGTCATTTTTATTAACTCTTCTCAGTAGGATAGTCAGTTACTTTTATTGTAACTTGTTAGAATGAGGAAGGGCAAAGAACACCTTCAGATTGTGTGACCTGAATTCTGATTTGAAAGAAATTTGTTTTTTAGCATTAATGAACATCTTTCAAATATTCCAGCATATGTAAACAAAGTAGTTAATATCGTAATCTATTTACCTCTTCTTAAGTTCATGTTAAATTGACTAATAATTGATATGAAATCATTTTGTACAGCATGTTTGTGAGTCTGAAGACAGGGAAGAAGTGGTGGTGTGTGAACTGTGTGAATGCAGTGTCGTTAGCTTCAATCAGCACATGAAGAGAAATCACCCAGGCTGCGGGCGCAGTGCAAACCGCCAGGGCTATCGCAGCAACGGCTCCTATGTGGATGGCTGGTTTGGTGGTGAATGTGGGAGTGGAAATCCATACTACCTGCTCTGTGGCAGCTGCAGGGAAAAGTACTTAGCCCTGAAGACCAAATCTAAGACAACAAGTTCTGAAAGGTACCTTAAAATTGTGTCGATATCCAGACCCTCTGAATGAAGAGTATAAGGTATCTCTTATTAAGACATGGGAATTGTAGGTTTTTTCCTGTGAGGAGTTACTTTTAACCTTTCCTAAAGTCCTTTGATTGCTGAACTAGGGGGCAGGAAGGATGGAAGTTGTTGAGGAATTCATGTTCCTGCCAGAGCTGGGAGCCTGTAGTCCAGGAACAGTGGCATGGCAGCAGGTCCTTCACTGGAGTTTGACTGTGTTAACCTTTGACTTGTTGGCAAGTTGCGGGCGAGTTAAACTTCAGGAGGCTTATGGTCAAATTTTTGTGTTGGTATTTTTCACCATATTTTTGACATCTTAATTAAGATCTTTTTCTTGATGAAAAATTAGACTGTTTAGATTAAATGAACTTCCATGAATCAATTACCTCTTTATATTCTTGAATAGCAATTAATCTCTAGTGAGTAGAGTTTTTGCCTTATTATCAACCATTAAAATCTTTAAGGCATTCTGGAATAGGTTTGGATTAAAAGAGTTATTGTAGGTCACCCAGAAACATCCCCAGTAATTTGTAGTCATTGATTTTGTAAACATATAAGTTTTTGTTACATTAGCCCATAACATGAAACACACTTTTTTATTTTGTGTTGCTTTATTAATGACCTGTTAAAATGTTCTAGTGACTTAATTTGTATTTTGGGGTACTAACTCTTTTGTATAAAAACACAGTGTTCTTCATGTTTGGTGCAGGTACAAGGGACAAGCTCCAGATCTAATTGGCAAGCAAGACAGTGTGTATGAAGGTAGTTGTTTTGAGAGTTTCTTTATTTTACATGTATTTTTATATACACCTTCTGCTTAACAACTGTTACTAAAATTTACCTTCGTGTGTGTGTGTTTGTATTTATGCACATGTTAACTTAAACTTTCCCTGAAAAGCTCAAAATAGTTTGATAGCAACAGCCCTAGTTTTAAAAGTCAAAGGAAAAGGTCCTGGGTTCAAGTACTAGCTTTACCACAGAATGTTAATTTCTGCATGGCATATATTTTTTTTCAAAGTAAGGAAAATATGTAGTATATTTTGAATTTCCGTTCTATTTGAGGAAAGTGAAAAATAAAAAATTGAAGTCAGCATCATTGTATCTGGAGCATTCATTAACTTTAAATAACTCATTCCCTAATGATTATGGGCAGGGTGAAGAACTCTTTGTTGGCCCCATAACAGTATTTTTTATTAGTTGAAACCTCCATTAGCAGCTGTAATATTTGCTGTTGCTTCAAATGCGTTTAACTGCTCTGACCCCCTTGCGCTTAGTCTCACTGTGCCTTAGGAGTACAGTTTGGTTGGGTTACCAGGAGATGGTGCTATAGTTCATTTTGTGGGCTCTGGGCTTTCACTCCTCCTGCATGTTAGATAAATTTCACAATAACCATTGCCAGCAGAGTTATGTCATGTTTATAGTCATATATCATACATTTAATTATTTAAATTCTAGAAGACTGGGACATGTTGGATGTTGATGAAGATGAAAAGCTAACGGGTGAAGAAGAATTTGAATTACTTGCTGGACCACTTGGTTTAAATGACCGACGCATTGTACCAGAACCAGTTCAGTTCCCTGACAGTGATCCATTAGGAGCATCAGTAGCAATGGTAACAGCCACCAACAGTATGGAAGAGACTCTGATGCAAATAGGTAAACTGAAATGCTGATTGGCATAGATTTTATAGAGTCTGTATTAATTTGTTTCTTATATAAGTAAATAATAATAAGGTAAAGGTAAATAATAATAACATTCAACATTATCCCACCACATCAAGTATCTTTAGCCAGTTGTTTTAACATGTTTAAGGTATAATGTAGTATTAAGTTTTGATTTTTCTGTTTTTAAGAAGTATTGAAGTGATAAAAAGAAAATTTATAAAATATGAGTAGAATTTTTTTAACTTTGTGAGTAGGGAATCCTGGAACTGACTAAAAACTATTTTGCAGTCTTTTTATTTGGGAGAGGATATAAGGAATATAAAATAAATAATTGGGGCAGTATTGGTGACTCAGCCTTTTATGTGTACTCAAAGCATATTTTTAAAACTATATCTTTCCTATATTTGTTAATAACAGTAGAAGTGATACGTGACCAAAGTAAATAAAACCAAAAAAGTTTGAGGCATCTTTCTCCTATAATTGTTGACTAAGCAATATCTATTTCTCCTAAGGAATTTTTTGTATAACAGAGTTCCAGATGAGCAAAACACATTGGTTTGCTGTATTTCCTTGCAATCTGGAACCTAGGTAAAATGGGAAAATTTTTCAGTAGTCCTGATATTTTTTTCTTATCTTATTGAGAACTTAACAAAATCTTATTTTTTCAGGTTGCCATGGCTCTGTAGAAAAAAGTTCCTCTGGGAGAATAACTTTAGGTGAGCAGGCAGCTGCCTTAGCAAACCCTCATGACCGGGTGGTGGCTTTAAGGAGAGTGACTGCTGCTGCTCAGGTTCTTTTGGCCAGAACCATGGTCATGAGAGCTCTATCTCTTCTCTCAGTCAGGTAAGTCGTATTTCATGTCGAATGATGCTCAGTTAGCTTCTACTATATATTAGAGTCTGGTATTGTTTGGGAGGATGAGATAGAACTTTTAGAAACTTGAATATCTACTGTTGAATGAAAGAAGTTAGACATAGTCATCATTGTTATGCATTCATTCAGTCATACCTTCCATTAATACTTGGCTCTTTTTAGTAGAAAATAATGTGATTATAGTAACTGAGTAAACAGCGAACATTTTATCATCTGAAATGGGAAACCAAAGCTGTTGATCCATTTGGTGCAGGGTTTAAATAAAAGGTCAAGAGGCTGGCCCCATGGTGTAACAGTTAAGTTTGGTGCACTCTCTTCAGCAGCCTGGGTTCATGGGTTCAGATCCCAGGCACGGACCTACACCACTCATCAGCCATGCTGTGGTAGCAACCCACATGAAAAATAGAGGAAGTTTGGTACAGATGTTAGCTCAGGGCTAATCTTCCCCAGCAAATAAATAGATAAGTAAGTAAATAAATAAGTAAAAGGTCAAATGAGGTTTTCTGCAGAATTGACTAACTGTATAGCTAAGTCAACTACAAATTCTATCATGGAGACTTTTGCCATGTTCATACTGTGGAGTGTAATGTTAAAAGAGGGAAGAGAGCCAAGAATACCTAAAAGACATACATTTAAGAAATGGTTAGGGGCTGGCCCTGTGGCGCAGCAGTTTTCGCACATTCCGCTTCTTGGGGTTTGCTGGTTCAGATCCTGGCTGCGGACATGGCACCACTTGGCAAAAGCCATGCTGTGGTAGGCATCTCACGTATAAAGTAGAGGAAGATGGGCATGGCTGTTAGCTCAGGGCCAGTCTTCCTCAACAAAAAGAGGAGGATTGGCAGTAGTTAGCTCAGGGCTAATCTTCCTCAAAAAAAGAAAAAAGAAATGGTTAAGTGGGGCTGTTTAACAGTAAATCAGTGAAGACAGAAGGACCCTGAGAGAAAAACTCAAAATAAATTTAGATGAGACTGTAGTATTGGCTCAGGAATAGACAATTTGGACAGTGGAGAACAGAGTTCAGAAACTGACTAACACATATAGATAAACATTTGATTTATGACACTTTACACTACACAGCAGTGAGGAAAGGATGATCTTTTCAATAATTTGGGCTAGGTCAGATGGTTTATTCACGTAGGAAAAAAAAGGAGTCTTGCCCCTTTCCTCCCACTGTATGAAAACAAATATTTCCAAGTCACTCTTAGATCTAAATGTGAAAGGTATATCAATGTAAGTTTCTATATGGTAACACAGGAAGAATTTATTCTTGATCTTGGGACAGGCAGAGATTTCTTAAGCAAGTCACAAAAGGCATTCACCATAGGGAAAAAGATTGATAAATTGGACTATGTTCACAAAGAACTTTTGTCAGCAAAAGTCACTAAGAAAATAAAAAGTCAGGAAGTAAAAAAACAAGCCACTGAATGGGAGAAGATCTTAGCAATGCATATAACCAACAGAATATGTAAAGAATTCCTATAAATCAATGAGGAAAAAGACAACCCAAAAGAAAAATGGGCAAAATACAAAATAATACAAAATACAAAAAAGGATCTCCAAAGGGCCAATAAACATGAAAAATGAAGCCTTTAACCTCATTGATCTTCAGAGAAATGAAAATGAAAACCCAATGAGATACTACTATACACCCACTAGAATGGCTAAAATTTAAAAGACTGGGGGAGAAAGTAAGTGTGAGGATATGGAACACCTAGAAGCCTCCTACACTGCTGGTGAGGAAATAACTTTTAAAACTGTGCAATAATACCAAGTAAAGGTGAATATTAACATATTCTATGACCCAAAACTCCACCTCTGGGTGTATATCCAACCGGAATGCTTACATATGTGTACCCAAAGAATAAGCAAGAACATTCATAGAAGTACTATTCATAATAGCCCCATGACCTGATTGTCTTCTGTCTGGATAAATGAATTGTGATAGATTTCATTTATATGTCAATGAAAATTAATAGCTACTGCTATAATGCAACAACATGGATGAGTCTTACAAGCATAATGTTGAGCCAAAGAAGCTAGACACAAACATTTACGTACTTAATTTTTTTGTTTATGTAAAGTTCAGAAATAGGCAAAACTGATTTATGGCTTTAGAAGTCAGAATAGTGGTTCCTTTTGAGGGCCTAGTGACTGAGAAGGGCACAGGCAGGCTTCTGAGGTGTTGGTAATGTTCTGTTTCTTGATCTGGGAGGTGGTTACAGGCGTTTGTTCAGTTTGTAAAAAGTCATGATTTGTGAACATTCCTCTATGTTATACCTTGGTAATTCAGATATACTTCAAGTATATGTCAGTATTTACTAAGATTTTTTAAAGTTTCAATAACAATTTCCAGTTAATGTAATATTTTTGGATGTCTCTTAGGACATGGATAATTAGTGATAGTGCAGCTTGCCTTTTGTTTTGGCTCTTGGTGCTATGGATGATATGTGGGGCTCCAAATGGTTCCTTAAGAAATCTATTTTCTTTCTCCATCTGAACTGTTTTCCTTTCCTGGCAGTGGTTCCAGTTGTAGCTTGGCTGCTGGTCTTGAATCTCTGGGCCTTACAGATATCCGAACGCTGGTTCGATTAATGTGCTTGGCTGCAGCAGGGAGAGCTGGCCTCTCCACCAGCCCTTCTGCCATGGCAAGCACCTCAGAACGCCCACGAGGTGGGCACAGCAAGGCGAACAAGCCCATCTCTTGCCTGGCTTATCTGAGCACGGCAGTAGGATGTCTGGCGTCAAATACTCCTAGTGCTGCAAAACTCCTAGTGCAGCTGTGTACACAGGTAAGCTAGTTTTCAGTGCTTTTCTTGTTGCATTGCTTATTTCTGACCGATTCTTAAAGAGCCTTTTGAGGTGAAATCTTTGTGTTCAAAATTATGTGTAAAAATTAAACCTGTTTGTTCCAATTGCCTCTTCAGAACTTGATTTCTGCTGCAACAGGTGTAAATCTAACCACGGTCGATGATCCAATTCAGCGAAAGTTTCTACCCAGCTTTCTCCGAGGAATTGCTGAAGAGAATAAGCTTGTAACCTCCCCAAACTTTGTTGTAACTCAGGCCCTTGTGGCGTTACTAGCAGACAAAGGGGCCAAGCTGAGACCTAACTATGATAAGTCAGAAGTTGAAAAGAAAGGTAAGTTTCATACCATTTAAATATAGTCTTCTAATCAGTTTGATTTATGTTTTAAAAAATGTTTTTGCATTGTTGTATGTGATGAATTACACAACTTCAAGTATACTTCTTAAGTTTAAATTATAAAAGAAGTGCATGGATACTTTTTCATTGTGCATGGAAACAAATATTAGAAAATGTCCCAAATTAGTCTTGATTTGATTATATTATTTTATTAGATTATGCTTTGAGTCACCATAGATAATAATCCTATTAGAGTTCCTTAATAAAATTTAGATAGAGGTAATGCTATTTTTCTCTTCATCTAAAGATGATGGTACTTTGAAGGGACTACTTAATTACTACTGTCTACCCTTCTCTTCATCAGGGCCATTTGGCCAAGAGAGATGGGCATTTGGATCTATCAGCCCAGACCCTTGACTGGCTGTTAAGATCACTTTTGAGCAGCAAAAGCCAAACTCTTATTCTTTAGGGCATGCTGCTTCTGCCCTGGCCTTAAAATTATTCCTGCTGCATTCTCAGTCTGTGTCCTTAGAGGAAAGACTATTGATTGATAAATATAAATGTACATTTGCAATGAATCAAGTTTATTATAGTATTTGATGTGAGATAAATGCTTTATACCTTGTATGCATATCTTAGTGAATTGATTGCTTGTAAAAGTGCTAATTCTTAAGACATATGGGTTAACCCATTTTTGTTTGTTCATCACTACCGGCTCTTACCTGGGCATCATTTCATTGTTTTGTTTAAGCAGGTTTAACTGCCCAATTGTATGCCCATCCTTCCTATGATCCTTCTGCTGTAGGCCCTCTGGAGCTGGCTAATGCCCTGGCAGCCTGCTGCCTCTCCTCCAGGCTGTCCTCACAGCATAGGCAATGGGCTGCTCAACAGCTTGTGCGCACTCTTGCTGCACATGACCGCGACAACCAAACTACTCCACAAACACTCGCTGATATGGGAGGAGATCTCAGAAAATGCTCCTTTATCAAGTTGGAGGCTCATCAGAACAGAGTATGTATTTTGAGCCCCAAGTGTGTTAATCACTGTATGTAAGACAAAATAGTTTCTGCCTTTCTCAAAGAGCTCAAAATTTAGGTCTCTCTCTCTCGCACTCTCTCGCTCTCTCTCGCTCTCTCTCACACACACACACACACACAAAATGATCAATATCCAACTGGTAGTTATTAACTCTTCTTTCTCTGTATGTTGTGTTGACATTTATTGTTAGTGCCATGGAGTTGATTCTGACTCCTAGGGACCCTGTGTACAGCAGAGCAGAACCCTGCCTGATCTTTTTGCGCCATCCTCTCATCTTCCGGCACTGTATCAGACAATGCTCTGCTGCTGTTCACAAGGTTTTCATGGCCAGTTTTTTTCAGAAGTGGGTGGCCAGGTCCTTCTTCCTAGTCTCTCTTAGTCTGAAAGCTCCCTTGAAACCTGTCCACCATGGGTGACCCTATTGATTATTTGAAATACCGGTGGCATAGCTTTCAGCATCACAGTAGCACACACCCACTACAGTATGACACTCAACAGACGAGTGGTGTGGTTCCCCGACCAGAAAACGAACCTGGGTAAAGGGGATGAGGGCACTGAATCTTAACTACTAGACCACCAGGGCTGGCTTGGTTTGACATAGTAGTATAGAGATGGGAAAATCAGATTGGGGATGAGAAGAAAACCAAAGGAATAGCCTTACAAAAGGTGAAGGCTTATACATGCAAGAGGAGAAGAAACTGGTCTCGCTATTTTAATATAACCCACTGGGCCTCTGAGCAGTGACAAGGGCAGTTTAGGAAATGAAGACTTTCCTCTATTATTTAACCAATTTTAAAATCACTTCTCAATCTATGTTACTTATTTTATAGAAGATATAAACATGTTGAAGTATTTTACTTTATTGAATTAAATAAACATGTTTAGTAAAGATACTATGAAGTCTCAGATAAACTAGTTTGGGCATAGTACTTTAAAACTACACTTCAAATAGGTGTGTATTTACAAGCCAATTAGAAAAGAATGAGACCCTGCATATTGTGGTAAAACATTTATGCTTTTGTGTTTTACAATTTCATGGTAGATTTTTTTTGTTAATTTGATAGAACTTTTTCAAGTGATAGAATCATTTAAATCAAAACTTGCTGGATTTTGTCAACTTTTTTAGGTAATGACTTGTGTTTGGTGTAATAAAAAAGGACTCTTGGCTACAAGTGGCAATGATGGCACCATCCGAGTATGGAATGTTACCAAGAAGCAATACTCACTGCAACAAACCTGCGTGTTCAACAGATTGTGAGTATTAACGTTATCTCTCTTGTCTAACATTTAATGTGAGAATCCTAAACACGCCTCGTCGTGGTTGTGTTAGTGTAATCAAATTGTCACTGAAATTTTTTACAATTTTTCTTTTAGAATAGTCTTACTATATCTCCAATGTGTATTTTTTAATTTCTATGATACTGATTCAGAACATAAAAACTTTTAACTACTAATATTGGACTTACTCAGAATTAAATCAAGGTGTACTATACTAGAAAATAAATGTTCAATTCTGTAAAACAGTCGGCTAATTTTCCATCATTCTTCATGGATTATTTAGGAATTAGAGTTCTGATATTTCTTCTGTAGCAGAATAGTAGCATCTTTTATAGCTTTATGACTAGCTGTAGGTAATTCTTTTCTGAGAACTTCTGTAGAGATTAGGCAAACAAGAACCAATGTGTTCTGAATAATGACCATGTGTACAACCCGTACAGAATCAGAATGTCTTGGTTGACTAATTATGTACTACATTAAATGATGAATAGTCTAAGCATCACTCTTTTATAATTCCACATTTTTCACATTATGACAAATACTAGCAAATATATGGTTGTCCAATATTCCTAGCCAGCCTTTTGAAACGTAAGAATCTGCTATTACGTGCTCTAGTCTACATGAAACCCTTGTTTTAAGGTTTGGGGTTTAGTTTACTTTTGGATGATGAGGATTAGAATTCCATACATATCTGTTATATTCCAGGGAAGGGGATGCTGAGGAAAGCCTGGGGTCACCCAGTGATCCAAGTTTCTCACCTGTTTCCTGGAGTATCAGTGGCAAATATCTAGCTGGGGCTTTGGAAAAGATGGTGAATATCTGGCAAGTTAATGGTAAGAGTCATGTAAATACTAGTAAACTACTGAAGGTCCTTTTTAAGCCTTTCTCTTAGCCTTCTGAGTCCAAACATTGGCTTCCCTTCACCTTGAAACTCACAATCTATTCATCAGCTCTGAAAATCTATGCATAGTATGGTTTAAATTAAAGAGGAAGTGCTTATTTCCTGACTTTCCTTTTGAGGCATTTTAACTAACCTGATAGTTGTAAAATGAAAATTCTTGTTATGTATCACTCACTAAGTGTTAAGAGTAGAATTTGAGGAGAAGTAATGGCCTCTGAATTTTCAGCCATGAGTTCTTTTGAATCACTTGAAATATTTTTACAGTCAGGCATCACTTAATGACAGGGGTGCATTCTGAGAAATGCGTCATTAGGCGGTTTCATCATTCTGCGAACATCATAGAGTATACTTACACAAACTTACATGATATAGCCTACTACATACCTAGGCTATACAGTACTAATCTTATGGGACCAGCTTTATATATGTGGTCTGTCGTTGACCAAAACATTATGTGGTACATGACTGTATTAATTTTGTCTGTTTCACAGGTATAAACTCTTATCAATTATTTTTAGTTTGACATTAAATTTTTTCTATTAAGGTCATAATAGTTTATAACATTGTGAAATTTCAGTTGTACGTTATTATTTGTCAGTCACCATGTATATGTGTCCCTTTACCCCATATCCCCACTCGCCAACCCCCTTCCCTTCTGGTAACCACTCATCTGTTCTCTTTGTCCATGCATTTGTTTGTCTTCCACATATGAGTGAAGTCATGTAATGTTTGTCTTTCTCTCTCTGGCTTGTTTTGCTTAACGTAATACCCTCAAGTCCATCCATTTTGTTGCAATTGGGACAATTTTGTCTTTTTTATGGCTGAGTAGTATTCCCTTCTATATATATGCCACATCTTCTTTATCCAGTCATCAGTCGATGGGCACTCGGGTTGCTTCCACATCTTGACTATTGTGAATAATGCTGCAGTGAGCATAGGGTTGCATAAATCTCTGAATCGTTGATTTCAAGATCTTTGGATAAATCTCCAGTAGTGGGATAGCTGGGTCATATCGTATTTCTATTTTTAATTTTTTGAGAAATCTCCATACTGTTTTCCATAGTGGCTGTACCAGTTTACATTCCCACCAGCATTGTATGAGGGTTACCTTTCCTCCACATCCTCTCCAACATTTGTTATTTGTTGTCTTGGTAATTATAGCCATTGTGACAGGTGTAAAGTGATATCTTAGTGTAGTTTTGATTTGCATTTCCCTAATGATTAGTGATGTTGAACATCTTTTCATGTGCCTATTGGCCATCTGTATATCTTCTTTGGAAAAAATGTCTGTTCATATCCTCTGCCCATTTTTTGATCGGCTTGTTTGTTTTTTTGTTGTTGAGTTGTGTGAGTTCTTTATATATTTTGGAGATTAACCCCTTGTGAGATATAATATTTGCAAATATTTTCTCCCAGTTGGTGGGTTGTCTTTTTGTTTTGTTCATGGTTTCCCTTGCCTTGAAGAAGCTTTTTAGTCTGATGAAGTTCCATTTGTTTATTTTTTCTTTTGTTTTCCTTGCCTGAGTAGGCATGGTATTTGAAAAGATGCTTCTAAGACTGATGTCAAAGAGTGTACTGGCTATATTTTCTTCTAGGAGTTTTATGGTTTCACGTCTTACCTTCAAGTCTTTAATCCATATTGAGTTAATTTTTTTGTGTGATGAAAGATAGTCTACTTTCATTCTTTTGCATGTGGCTGTCCAGTTTTCCCAACACCATTTATTGAAGAGATTTTCCTTTCTCCATTATATGTGCTTAGTTCCTTTATTGAAGATTAGCTGTCTGTAGATGTATGGTTTTATTTCTGGACTTTCAATTCTGTTAATTGATCTTTGTGTCTGTTTTTGTGCCAGTATATGCTGTTTTGATTACTATAGCTTTGTAGTATATTTTGAAGTCAGGGATTGTGATGCCTCCAGCTTTGTTCTTTTTTTCTCAGGATTGCTTTTGCTATTCGGGGTCTTTTGTTGCCCCATATGAATTTTAGTATTCTTTGTTCTATTTCCATGAAGAATGTCATTGGGATTCTGATTGGGATTGCATTGAATCTGTAGATTGCTTTAGGTAATCTGGACATTTTAACTATGTTTATTCTTTCTATCCATGTGCATTCCATTCCTTTACGTCATCATCGATTTCTTTAAATAATGCCATGTAGTTTTCATTGTATAGGTCTTTCACCACCTTGGTTAAATTTGTTCCTAGATATTTTAGTCTTTTTGTTGTGATTGTAAATGGGATTGTATTCTTGAGTTCTCTCTTAGTTTGTTATTAGAGCATAGAAATGCAACTGATTTTTGTAAGTTGATTTTGTATCTTGCAACTTTGCTGTAGTTGTTGACTATTTCTAATAATTTCTTATGGATTCTTTTGAGTTTTCTATATATACAATCAGGTCGTCTGCAAACAGTGAAAGTTTCACTTCTTCCCTGTCAATTTGGATTCCTTTTATTTCTTTTTCTTGCTTAATTGCTCTGCCCAGAACCTCCAGTACTGTGTAGAATAGGAGTGGTGAGAGTGGGCACCCTTGTCTTGCTCCTTTTCTCAGAGGGATGGCTTTCAGTTTTTCCTGTTGAGTATGATGTTGGCTGTGGGTTTGTCATATATGGTGTTTATTATGTTGAGGTACTGTCCTTCTATACCCATTTTATTGAGAGTTTTTATCATAAATGGATGTTGGATCTTGTCAAATGCTTTCTCTGCATCTATTGAGATGATCATGTGGTTTTTATTCCTCATTTTTTTAATGTGGTGTATCATATTGATTGATTTGTAAATGTTGAACTGTCCCTGGTATAAATCCCACTTGATCGTGGTGTATGATCCTTTTAATGTATTGCTGTATTTGGGTTGCCAATATTTAGTTGAGGATTGTTGCATGTATGTTCATCAGCGATATTGGCCTATAATTTTCCTTCTTTGTGTTGTCCTTGTCTTTGGCTTTGGGATCAAGGTGATGTTGGCCTCATAGAATGAGGTAGGAAATGTTCTATATTCTTCAATTTTTTGGAATAGTTTGAGAAGGATAGGTATTAAATCTTCTTTGAATGTTTGGTAGAATTCTCCTCAGAAGGCATGTGGTCCTTGGCTTTTATTTTTTGAGAGGTTTTTGATTACTGTTTCAATTGCTTTACTTGTGGTTGGTCTATTCAGATTGTCTCTTTCTTCTTGATTCAGTTTTGGGAGGTTGTATGAGTCTAAGAATTTATCCATTTCTTCTAGATTGTCCAATTTGTTGGAATATAGTGTTTCCTAACATTCTGCTATAATCCTTTGCATGTCTCTGGTATCCATTGTAATTTCTCCTCTTTCGCTTCTAATTTTATTTATTGGAGTCTTCTCTCTTTTTTCTTAGTGAGTCTGGCTAAGAGTTTGTCAATTTTGTTTATCTTCTCAAAGAACCAGCTCTTAGTTTCATTGATCCTTTCTACTGTTTTTTTGTTGTTGTTGTTTCAATTTCCTTTATTTCTGCTGTAATTTTTATTATTTTCCTCCTGCTGGCCTAGTTTTTCATTTAATTCCACTATATCCTTGTTGACTTTCTGTCCGGATGATCTATCCATTGATGTAAGTGGGATGTTGAGGTCCCCTGCTCCTATTGTGTTGCTGTTAATTTCTCCTTTTAGGTCTGTTAACTGTTGCTTTATGTACTTTGGTGCTCCTGTGTTAGGTCCATATATCTTATGAGTGTTATGTCCTCTTGGTGGAGTGTCCGTTTTATCATTTTTATATCGCCCCTCTTTGTCTCTCATTGCCTTTATCTTGGAGTCTACTTTGTCTGATATAAGTATGGCAACACTTGCTTTCTTTTGTTTGCCATTAGCCTATGGTATCATCTTCCATCCCTTCACTCTGAGCCTGTGTTTGTCTTTAGAGCTGAGATATACTTCCTGGAGGCAGCGTATTCTTGAGTCTTGTTTTTTAATCCATCCTGCCACTCTGTGTCTTTTGATTGGAGAATTCAATCCATTTACATTTAGAATGATTATTGATATATGAGGGCTTAGTACTGCCATTTTATCATTTGTTTTCCAGTTGTTCTGTATTTCTTTTTTTTTCTCATCCTGTATGTTTCTGACTGCCAGTTCAATTTGGTGTTTCTCTATGATGGTTTCTGTTTTCTCTTTATCATTTGCGTCTCTGTTCTGATTTTTTCTTTAGTGGTTACTGTGAAGTTTGTATAAAAGATCTCATAGGTAAGATAGTCCATTTTCTGATAGCGTGTTTCCTTAATCTATGCAGGTTCCATCCCTTTATTGTTGTCACTACTTGTTCCATTTTGTGTTGTGAGTTTGTGATTAAAATGGAGTGATTATAGTTATTTTTGATGCTTTCCTTCCCTTTATCTTTAATAATTGTTTGCTAACCTGTTCTGATAGAGAGCTACAATTTTCTGATTTTGTCTGTCTCCTTGCTCATGGCTTTGTAAACCCTTTCTTTTTTTTGTTTTTGTCAGGTTTAAGGGCCTTCTTGATCATTTCTTGTAGGGAGATCTTGTGGCAATGAACTCCCTCAGCTTTTGTTTATCTGGGAAGGTTTTTATTTCTCCATTGTATCTGAAGGATAGTTTCACTGGATAGAGTATTCTTGGCTGAAAGTTTTTGTCTTTCAGAATTTTGAACATGTCATTCTACCTTCTCCTAGCATGTAAGGTTTCTGCTGAAAGCATGACAGGGCTTCCTTTGTAGGTTATTTTCTTCTGCCTTGATGCTCTTAGTATTTTTTGTTTTAAAAATATTAACTTTTTCCAGTTTTACTAATATATGCCTCGGAGAAGGTCTTTTTACATTGATATAATTAGAAGTTCTATTAGCTTCATTTACATGTAATTCCAGCTTCTTCCTCAGGTTTGGGAAGTTCTCAGCTATTATTTCTTTGAACAAGCTCTCTGCTATTATTTCTTTGAACAAGCTCTCTGCTCCTTTCTCCCCCTCTTCTCCCTCTGGAATACCTGTAATCCTTATATTGCATTGGCTAATTGAGTCAGCTGTTTCTCAGAGAATGTCTTCATTTCTTTTTAGTCCAAGTTGTCTCTCCTTCATCTGCAGCATTTCTATATTTCTGTCCCCTAAGTTACTAATTCTGTCCTCCATAATATCAGCTCTGTTTTTTTAAGGACTCCAGATTTTTCTTTATCTCATTCATTGTGTTTTTCATCTCCAACATTTCCAATTGGGGTTTTTTTTAATAGTTTCAATCTGTTTTGTGAAGAATTCCCTCTGTTCATTAATTTTATTCCTGAGATCATTGAACTGTCTTTCTGAGTTTTCTTGTAACTCATTGAGTTTCTTTATGATAACTTTTGAATGCTCTGTCATTTAGATTGTGAATTTCTTTGACTTTAGGATTGGTTTCTGGGTACTTGTGATTTTCCTTCTGGTCTGGAATGTTAATATGCTTCTTCAATGCTATTTGATGGGCTGGACTTTTGCTGTCACATAGTGGTAGTATCTGGTTGCAGATTCCACCTGCCACCACTGGGGGGTGGTGGAGCTGTGTTTTCTGAGCCCTCTGCAACCCCTGGCAGATGTGCCCGTCCATTGGAAGCTGTGCCAACAGGGCTTGTCTGTGTTTTCCCACTGGCCGCTATTGTTTTAAACATGTATGTGCAGGTTTTCTGGCAGGGATCCCCTGCTCTGGCCACCTGGCTGAGCTGGTGCGCCGGGTGGAAGGGGTTCTTTGTTTCCATGCGCTGTCTTGCACGCTCCTGCCCTTCACTCACTGCCTGCCTGAGCTGGTCAGCTTGGTATGGATACCTCCGCTGTTGCTTATCTGCCTCATTGTGGAGCGTTCCCACAGGCTAGGAGGCAACTCTGAGAGCACAAGCATTCCCGTGGAGGGCTGCCTTCTTCCCCTTCTCTCAGAGTTGCATGCTGGCTGCTGCGCAAGAGGTCCTTTGCCCTAGATTGCTGCTGCTTAAGAGGAACGGGAGATCCACTTACCTCCTTCCGCTGCCTACTGGGGGGGGGGGGTCCATCACCCCTGTCTTCAGACTTATGGCTGTGTGGATGTCAGAGGTCTGTTGTGTTGTGTGAATGTCCTCTGTTGGTTTGTGAATGTCCTTTCTGTTGTATCTTAGTGGGGAGAGACTAAGGGAAGTACTCACTCCGCCATGATGCTGACGTTACTCCATCTTGTCAATTTTTAATAATACCTCTCTGGGAAGTAAAAATCATTATTATAATCTCAGATTTATCAGTATTTTTGTTTGTTTTTGCATATTTGAGGAATGGCTGTTCTGTTTCACATATTTGAAGGAATTACTAGGCTTAACTCTAGGTAAATTTCTTATGTTCATTTGCTTTTCAGTAATTACTATGAAAGAACTTAAGTATTTGACATTTGTACACTGAGTATCTTCCTTTACTTTTTCTTCCATGAAGCTGTCATTTTTGTCCCTTTAATAAACAAAAAAGCTTATTACAGAAAAGCATATTAATTTGGTAATCCTATGTAGTATGTAAATGAAGGATCCTGCCTTGCAGTCATTCATTAGTACGCTATTATGAAATTGAGGACTGCTTTAAGTGTATATTAGAATTAAGTAGTATTTCTTTTTGTTCTTGTTTTTATTTTTAAGAATTAAGTAACAACTAGTTAATATTTTCTTCCTCTTTAGGAGGAAAAGGACTGGTAGATATTCAGCCCCATTGGGTATCTGCCCTGGCTTGGCCAGAGGAGGGTCCAGCTACAGCCTGGTCAGGAGAGTCTCCAGAATTATTGTTGGTGGGACGGATGGATGGATCTCTAGGACTTATTGAAGTTGCTGATGTGTCCACTATGCACCGTCGAGAATTGGAACATTGCTATCGAAAGGATGGTAAATGTCTGGTTATGTGTCTACCTGAGAAAATGTTCCCCACACTCAAATAGACTTAGTTTTTTGGGACTTGCTTTTAAAAATGCTGAGTAAATATTACTTTTGGCTTTGTTTTCCAAATTGTCTAGTTGGTATTGCATTTTAATTAGTTACTAAATTGAAAGATATTTCTCTCCCAATCCCTACCACATCTCTCTGCCAAAATGAGATCTAATAGTATTATAATGTATTAGCCATTCATCCTTCATGGAAGTATCTGAACACTTATAACAGGCTCCAAGTCTCCCTTGAAAGTTAAGAATGTCCAAAAGAAAAAATAATAATCATTGGTAGAGATGAAATTGTTAACAGATTAGTGAAATTGTGGAAATGGAGGAAGGAGGAAGAGGGAAGTTCCTGGTCTTATGAGATAGCAGGAAGTCTGCTTTCATTTATTGTCTCATTGTATTCCCTTTGGATGCGTAGGCATCTTACTTGATAGTTTTTGTTAGTTGTTTTAGGGGAGTGGGGTATTTCAAACGTCGCAGTTCCCACTTACATGGTACTCTATTGACAGAATAGAACAAGTTTGTTTTTTTAGGTTTTTTTAAAATAGGTAATACCTTTATAGGATGCAAAAATTTTAAAGTTTAAAAAGGTATACAGTGAAAAATCTTTCTCCTGTCAACTCAGTTCCCATGTCCCCATTCTACTCCCACAGATAAACACTGTTTTTTACTTTTTTTATAGCCTTCCAGTGTTATATATACTTAAAGAAGCAAATATGAATATAAGTTATTAGAATAGAACATGTTTGATAGAATATGGAAATAACCTGAGTAGGGAATATTCAACAAGCAAAAGAAGGGACAGGTAATTTTCTTTCTATGACTTAAGGTTTTTTCACTTCTCGGTTTCATGGTAGATTCGACCCAAAAGGAAAGGACTTGGCACAATCACTTAAAATCAGCAAGGAAATTCCCATTTTTTGTCCTTCTTTTTTAATAACCACCTGAAAAGAATGAAAGATTAAAAATGAGGTAGTCCTTGTCACTTATAAATGAAACTTTTAAAGTGGGTTAAATGGAATCCCTTCGGTAAGCCTACATTTTATCTAAATGCATTAAAGAGATGTTTGGAAACTTACTTGCTGTGGTTGCAGTAGCAAATATTTGTTGCAAAGTCTCTTTTTTAAGTTAGACAATGACAAATAAGTCTCTCTTTTTTTTAATTTTAATTTTGTTTTTATCATGTTAGTGTCTGTAACTTGCATTGCTTGGTTCAGTGAAGACAAACCGTTTGCAGTGGGATATTTTGATGGCAAATTGTTACTGGGGACAAAGGAACCACTTGAGAAAGGAGGCATTGTTCTCATTGATGCACATAAGGTAAAGCATCTTTACCAGATGTTTTTTTCTTGTTTTTTACTGTAGTATTGCATGGTACTAGTTTCTTTAAAAATTTCATCAATCACTTATGACTTAATATTCTGTTCTTACATAAAGTCTTTGGACCATGAGTATACATGGAAAAGTCTTTGTAAGAAAGCCATCAAACAGGGAAAGAGGTAAAACCAAAACAGGGAAATAGGAACACCCTTGGAGTAACCCCTGTCAAAGTACCTCCCGCTAATGCCAGAAATTCCATCTGTGAGGACTGATTCCGTTGCCTTAAACAGGGGTTGCCAGTTCATATGCTTACAGGGCCACCTAGGCAAGTAACAAATGCCTGAAGCCAGGAGTTAGAAGGTGTGAAGGAGGGTAAAAAAGAAAGTCAGAAGAGCACAGTGATGACAACCATATAAACACAAAACATGTCCCAGATTCTCATAAGTATTTGGAATTTTGGTGTAAGGGTGCTTTTTTTTTTAAGTTTCTTCTTATTTTACTTTTTAATGATTACCAATCAGTAAAAATAACTCTTAAAAATGCCAATGAAAGGTAACATCCCTTTTGAATCAGAATTTCATAATTAATTCATTCAACTAATACTTATTGTGCTTTGACTACAGTAAATATGTATAATGCACACTAATTAAAGGATGAGTTGGTCTGGTGATTGGGAATGCTGTGACAGTATTTGTGATTTGCATAAAATTTTGATGTCAAAATAATTGAGTAGTAGAAGTATAGGTCATAAATTATTGAGTTTAAAGTATTTGTGAAGGAAGCATTACTATGATTTTTTTTCTCCCCCTACCATTTTTAGGATACTCTTGTTAGTATGAAGTGGGACCCAACAGGTCATATTCTGATGACATGTGCCAAAGAAGAAAATGTGAAACTCTGGGGGCCTATTTCAGGATGCTGGCGCTGTCTGCACTCACTCTGCCATCCGTCTATTGTAAATGGCATTGCTTGGTGCAGCCTCCCCGGGAAAGGATCCAAGTTGCATTTACTGCTGGCTACGTATGTTGTAAATTTATGTGTGTGTCTTAATTTTTATATTAGAATAGACTGTTATTTGCATTAAATGTGACTTCTCGGTAGTCTTAAATAGTTTATTGCCAGTTACTATTCTTATAATGTGTAATACCATAAGATCACTTTGGAGAAATAAAGAGCAATTTTCCAATGTGAAATTTGGTATGTAAACTCCTTATTTGGGTGTGATGTTGTTAGAATATTGATCCTAGTTGTATTTTTTGTAAAAGATCATAGTGTACCTACTACAAATAAATTTTTCAAATAAATTATAGTAGTTCTGTTAGGTCTTAATTGATTGCTGTGTGAAAATATTTTTACTTCTGCATATTGACATGTTTTTGTTTTATGTGATCAATTTTTTTAAAGTGGCTGTCAGAGTGGCTTAGTATGTGTTTGGCGTATTCCACAAGACACCACACAGACCAGTGTGACTAGTTCAGAAGGATGGTGGGACCAGGAATCAAAGTGCCAGGTAAATATTCTGGTGTTTTTGAAGCCCTTGTTTGAAACCATAGATAGTATATGTTACCAAAGTAATCCTTCCTTGATTGCTAACATACTTACTACTGTGTGCCAAAAGACAAAATCCATTAGGGAAGTGTACTCTCTGAATGAGCTTAATCTTTAATAAGTTAGAGATACTGTAATTGCTTGTTAAGGTGAGATGTTCAATAAATATTGAGTGGTGATCATTTGTGGTAATGGATATAATTGGCACTACAGGTGGACAAGTCCTAAGTTAAGTTTTTGGTACCGTGAAATAGAAACACCATGGGAGTACACCTATTTAAAGTTAATTCCTAACTAATACCACAATTCCACCTATGAAGAACAATTCCTTTACCTTAAACAGAAGTTACAAATTCAGATAGATGCGTGCAGGGCCCTGTAGGCAAGTAACATAATTGGAGTTGGAAGGTGTGGAGAGGGTAAAAAAACCCCAGAAGTGCACATGCTTCATATAAAGGGCACAGTTGCCACAGAGCTAACTGTTACCCTCCACAAATGAGAACCTATTGTTACCAGATTGTCTAATTTTTTAGTAGAAGCCCAAAATCCAGTGTTTTATGCAAAATCTCTCAGTATTAAACATTGGCATCTGACTTAAAATTCTATAAAACACTGAGTGGCCAATCGCATCCCTGAGCTACCAGTTTACAACTTGTGTTGCTCTGTCTTTTGTTCATGATGCAAATATCTCTGGAAGACGTAGTGCTTTGTGTCATCTTTGGGTAAATGAGTACCTCTGGTATTACACTCTGTCATAACTGGAAGGGTGAGGGAGCTTAAGAGCAGGGAGAAAGGGGTGAGGAAGTGGGGTAGATAGCTCTCTAATGTTGGGAGGAAAATATCACAGAGGTGGAGGTGGAAGCCCTAAGGTAAGTCTTTTTTTTTTGCTTTTTGTGCTAGAGAGTAGCCCTTTGGACAGGCCATTCTTATCTCACTTCTCAAACTTGCAGAGCAAACATGAAATTAGACATTATGTGACGGAACCATCAGCAACAAAAAGACGAACCTGTTCTATAGAGCTAGCACGTGCAATTCACAGATGTTAGGGGCTAAAAATAAAAATTGCATAAAGCTAAATTTAAAAATTAAAACACTCATTAAAGAGTAGAAGTTAGAATTTTCCTATCTCTGAGGGATAGTTGGAACTTAGAAATGTAGTCATTTCTGCCAGTTTGAAAAGTAGGAAATTAGCTTAGAAGTATATCAAAAAATATGAAACTCAGCTTCTGCAAAGGAGAGCCAGGTTGATATTTTATTATTTTCTCAGGTAACTCTTATTCGAGAGTTGTCCTTCCCTCTTCCCTAATTTTATGCTGAAATATAAAATTTCTAAGAATAATTGTAAATTGTGAATCTATAAATTGTTTTCATTTTAATATATACTAAAATTAAAAATGAATTGCAGGATGGATATAGGAAATCAGCCGGTGTCAAATGTGTTTATCAGCTGCGGGGACACATCACCCCTGTCCGCACTGTTGCCTTCAGTTCTGATGGGTTGGCCTTGGTGTCTGGTGGACTAGGTGGGCTCATGAACATTTGGTCTTTAAGGGTAAGAGTATAAATGTTATTTTTATCTTAAATGTTTTTACATTAACTTATGTGGTAAAAATTAACCCAACCAATCCTAAAAATATTTTGTGTAGTAATATTTTGAATACTGAAGAAACTCCTTTCAGAATCCTCCACCCCTTAGTTTTTCTTATTGAAGATAAATATTTTTAAAGTCATCTAGGCCTTAGAAAATTGAGTAGGAGGTATGCAATTGGACATTGCCAAATTTAGCTATAGTGTAGATTTTATAATATGTTTTTGTGAATGTGAAGTGTAAGTTTAAAATGTGAGTAGTGACTAAGGTCAACTAATGTGTATTGATAAATACATCTCATTTTAGGATGGCTCTGTCTTGCAAACTGTTGTAATAGGCTCTGGAGCTATCCAGACCACAGTATGGATTCCAGATGTTGGGGTAGCTGCTTGCTCAAATAGATCAAAGGTAATATTGCTATTATGTCTAATCATAGAGTATAAGCCTGTAAGGTACCTTAGAAATCATAGTGCAAGCATCCCACTTTAAAGAGGAAAAAACTGATAGACAGAGGGATTATTACTTGCCCAAGATAATTTATAATGCAACTATTTAGTGGCAGAAGGAAAACTAAAACCCAGGTCTCCTGATTTGTAATCTAGTACTCTTTCTGCTACACCTTAGACTTTGGTGAAAGTGCTTAATTACCCAATGACTTCATTTCCATTGGAAGTCACAAAGTGAGTTTTTACTTTTTGCCATGATTTTTGAGATAGCACTAAACTGTCTTAAAAGAACTTTCCCTGAAAAGAAAGACTATCCCAAAGATGTTTAATTCAAGTATGGACAATATATTTTGGCTTTCAAATTTAATATTTTAGTAAAAAATACTTGCCCCTTGCTGTGAAGTAATTCTATGATACAACGTTGTATCCTGCAGAATTGCCTTTCATACCCTTAAGGAATAGAGCCAATGTGCTGCTTTGGTTTACTTTTTATGTGGTTAAATGACACTAAAATAGAGCTGTAAACTTGCTTGACTAGTCCTCCTGGAAGTATCATGTAGAATCAGACCTTAGGCAGCGGATGGTCTGTGTAGAATAAAATGTGGAGCCACAGGTAGAGCAGTGCTGCAGCTTTTGCAGATGTGTCCCTCAGCAGACAGAGTACCACCTCCTCTAGCATCCCTGAGGTCTTGTCGGACCTTTAAAATATACTAGATACCTTGTCCTGCAAGTCCTATGTAATAACAAATAATTGATGTTGTCTCTTTAAGGAGAATCAGCTAATCCAAGGTAGTTCACAAATTTTGTGGTTATTTCTTATTCACTTGTTTTCACGTAGACAAAATGTAGGATGTTTTGAAGTTCATGGGCATTAAAAGTACAGCATATAATGTCCAGAAAGTAAGTGTTTAATGCAATTCATGGAAGGAATTTCTCAGATATGAATGGGGATATAATTATCTCTCTTTTGTCTTTTATTTAAACAAATATATGGTGTGGCATGATTTTTTTTTTCCATCAGGATGTTTTGGTTGTGAATTGTACAGCAGAATGGGCTTCTGCCAATCATGTTTTAGCAACCTGTAGGACAGCACTGAAACAACAGGGTGTTCTGGGATTAAACATGGCTCCCTGCATGAGAGCATTTCTGGAGCGGCTACCCATGATGCTTCAGGAGCAGTATGCCTATGAAAAGGTAACTGATTGTACTCACTCCTACAGATCTACAGATGCCTGGTGCTTTGGAATTTGAATTACAGCTTTGAATTGATCCCTTAATCTCATGAGGTCTGCGGAAAATATGTGGGGCTATTTGGGCAGAATAAAATGAAGATAAATCATGTCTAAAACTGTTGTTCAGTAATCCTAAACCTACTATTACTTTAGTGAGATTAAAATTTTAAAATAACTCTTAAATTTGTGTAATGTTTATATCATTCTTTTTCAGATTATTTATTCACTCCAAAACTTCTTAAAATACCTGTGCCTCAGAGTATCATCTTACCTTTTCTGACCCATATATATTTTTGTGTGGTTTTGCCATCCCAAAGGTGGGAGGTAGGAGTAGATATGGGTATCAGAGTGAATATCCTGTTCACTTATCAGGTGAATCCTTGTGGAAAGTTTACTGGAAGAGCTAAGGTTGAATTGAGTAGGGTCCTTAAATACTAGAATGAGGAATTAGGAAATTTGGAGCCGTTGCCCAGGATCTGATCCTGTGTAACCTGCCTTCCAGACCTCAGTAGTCACAGTATGCTGCCTCTAGGCAGAGCTCTGAGGTTTTTTCTCCTTCTTTTTTTTTTGCCAAGCTACATGAATCTAATCAGCTGTTCCCACATCCAGTTAATTTCACTGATGCATTTGCCCAGGTTTTCTTTTCTGAATCAGCCTCTCCCAGAGTTGCTCTACTATGACGAGGGAGCACCACGAAAGAAGGATTTTCGTTTTGTGGTTACCAGAGTTCTCTTGGTAAAGGAGGAACTGTGAGAGGGAGCAGATCTCCATGGATTAGCTGTTATCTGTCTCTCTCTTTTTTTTACTTCAAGAAAAAATGTAATGTGATATCCTGGATTGGATCCTGGAGCAGAAAAGGAACATTAGTGGGAAAACCAAATAAAGTTGTGTTGTTTAGTTAGTATTGTAACAATGTTAATATCTTAGTTTTAATAAATGCACCATGGTTATGTAAGATGTTAACATTAGAGGAAGTTGGGTGAAGAGTTTACAGGGATTCTCTGTATTATCTCTGCAACTCTCTGTATATCTAAAATTATTTCAAAGTAAAAGGCTTAAAAACAGTAAACTTAAAAAATACAGTTACAGGCTTTCAAAATGTAGTAGGTTAATTTAGAATATTTGGCATAGGCTCTTCAACATATCGTCCTTGGATTTTCTCTTAGCCTCATGTGGTTTGTGGCGACCAGCTTGTTCACAGCCCCTATATGCAATGTCTGGCTTCCCTTGCTGTGGGACTTCATCTGGATCAGCTGTTGTGTAACCCTCCAGTGCCACCACACCACCAGAACTGCCTCCCTGACCCTGCATCCTGGAATCCCAATGAGTGGGCCTGGTTAGAATGTTTCTCAACCACCATAAAAGCTGCTGAAGCCCTGACCAATGGAGCACAGTTTCCAGAATCTTTTACTGTTCCCGATCTAGAGCCTGTTCCAGAGGATGAACTTATATTCCTAATGGTAAGTGTAATATGAGCTGCTGTTATTTGCAGCTGAGATTGTACTATGAGTATTTAGCATGCAGCAGACCCTCAGTAAGTATTTGCTAGCTTGAATAGCTAGAGGCATACCCTTAGATAAACTTAAAATATTTTGCTTTCAGATAGCCATTTTCAATCTGTTGGCAGGCTTTGGTGGTGACAGGGATTGATTATATGGGAACTGTGGAGCTCTTGTAAACTTGCTGGCTCTCAATGACATAGTCCCATATTTTCCAGGGTTTTTTGGTCCGTAGGTACCCTGTTAGTACCTTATTTGTATATGTTTAGCGTCTTTTCCTGGGCATCTTGTGAGATTTATCCCACACCTAGATTCTAAATTATTTGGCACTTCAGTCATGTTTTACTCATCATAAAATGAGAATATGGAAGAGGATTCCAGTTGTCATTTCTTCTGATTGTATTTGAGTGTGTCTAGCTATAGACTCTGTGATGTAGATAAAATGCCTCTGTAGATGTGCAAGCCAGCACTTGATCTAACAACCCCTTTACTTAGTTAAGATTTATTTATACAAACATTTGAATATATAACTATAGATACAATGTGAAATGGACATATGAATTGAGGAAAATTATCTAAACATAGGATATTTCAGTTACGAAGCTTCCTTCTGATCACATTTTCCCCAAATCTGTCATTTTGTAGATGAGCAAACTGAAACCCAGAAAGATAGAGTGGCCTGCCCAAAGCTCTACAGAAAGTTCATGGGAGTAGGGGTTCTTGTGCATGACCTTGTGCCTGTGGGTGCTTAGAAAACATAAATGGTTAACTTTGGATCACCAGTGCTATAATGATAGTTGATAGTGAAAGTGTTTATAATAAAGAGAAATAATAACAATGTGTAAAATCAAGTTTGGCATGATTATAAAACTCTTAATTTCTCAGAATATTACCAAGTTCTTTTTTGGAAAGAAAACTTAGTTGTCAGAGGAAGACTTAGTTTAGTTAAGAACAGATAAATCTTCAGTAAGCACGATTGACCCTGATGTTTGTCCTGTCTTTCAGGATAACAGTAAATGGATTAATGGCATGGATGAACAGATTATGTCTTGGGCAACTTCCAGACCTGAGGTCAGTAAAGATGAAGATGACTATATGGTGGTTCTCAGTAAATCTTCTGATTCTAAATGCTTGTGTGTTTGTGCCCTGGTGTCTCTCATAGAGGCTGGCACACACCTGGTACCCAGTACATGCTTGTTTGAATGAATAGGTGAATCTAATCTTGAGATGATTGTGGTTTTCTAGGACTGGCACCTGGGAGGTAAATGTGACGTCTACTTATGGGGTGCTGGCAGGCATGGACAGCTGGCAGAAGCTGGAAGAAATGTAATGGTACCTGCAGCAGCTCCCTCATTCTCGCAGGCCCAGCAGGTAACTAACAGGGTAAAGAAATGGAGAAGAAACTTGGGAACTGACGATTCTGATTTCCTTGCTGGCAGTAACTTACTGTGGGAAAAACTTTGTCCATTTCATAGTCTGTTATAAGGAATCACTAAAGAAAGTCATGATGCATAGCTTCCAAATAAAAGCTTTTTAAGGTTTTTATCAGACTTTGTTAATAAGTTTTTAAGTTTTTCTTGCTTTCAAGCATAATGAATTAATGTCATGATGCATTAGGCCTGTCCGGTGCATATTTATAGAAGTTAAGATGTTCCTAATTATTGATTCTCTCTTTTGGGCCATAAACTTACTGGGATCTTTAGTCAGATTTCATTGACACCTCTCCCCTCTTCTAATAATTGTACTGTATTTCCAAACCCTTCTTGAGGCCACTGCTTTCTCTGTTGTTCTATACCTCAGTGAATACAGGATGAACTATTCTTTCTTGTGTATACCCTTCCAGTTTCTGCTTCTTGCTGACCTCCAGCCCAAGTCTGTAATATTTCCCCATCACCCTTTCCTCTTTCTTCTTTTGTCTATTTTGTTGTTGTTATTTTTGTAATCTCTGTACAATTGGCTGAAATCCCTATAGATAACATGGTTCTAAACTATCTTAGGTGAACCCCTCACATCTCTTGGTTAAGTAAGTAGTTTTATAATAATCAAAGGCTTGTAGGAACCCAGTTACATCAACCCTTCCCGTATAGTGAAAGGATAAAAGAATTAATAAAGGTGTCATAGGTATATGTGGAATCATTTTAAAGGTTTGTATGATAAAGCTATGTAATAATATTAGATAATACATTTGTGTGTTTTTATACTAGGTCATATGTGGTCAGAATTGCACATTTGTCATCCAGGCCAATGGCACAGTGTTGGCTTGTGGGGAAGGAAGTTATGGCAGATTAGGACAAGGAAATTCAGATGACCTTCATGTGCTGACAGTTATTTCAGCCTTACAAGGTAAAATTATCCTCAGTTAAAAGCTGGTCAGAAACTATGGCCTAACTGTAGGAATGTTTGCTTATGTTGGAACTCATCTCTGACTTTGTAGATAAAGTCATATAGGGTTTTTACTTATACTTAGATTCTTGTTTAGATATGTAAAGCCTTAATTTCCATATTTTAAGCTAATATTATTTTGCAAGTTATTTGTCATAGGAGTGCTAGAATTCAGTGATATAAATATTTTAAGACCCACTGGGGATTGTAAACAAAAACTTTAAAATTGCAAAACTGTAATTAGGCAACTATTAATAGCAATAGTGGTCATGCATGTGTTTCATTAAAATTAAAAATCAGTTCATATGGAAATGTACTAGGACTTCAAAGGGCATCTGTGTCAGAGTTCTCTATGACTTGAAGAAAGAATACCTCTGAAGAAAGCCACTGCCAGGAGCCCGTGGTTTGTTCCTTAAGTTAACTTTTACTGACTCTGAAGCCTACAAAAAGAGGAAAGAGGGTGTTTTTGAGTAAAAGCATACAAGTAGCAATGAGTTCAGAATCAATTCCTGAGCAGCTCCGAGTTCTCTTCCTTGAGATCTAAGTGTGAAGAGCACAGCAATGGGGATGGGAGAGCTAGGTTCCTATCCTGTTCACTACATCCTGCCTCTGGGACCTTGCACAAGCTACTAGACCTCTTTGTGACTCAGTTTTACCAGTTGCAAAAGTGGTGATTATAATATCTGTCTCATAGATTCTATATAAAATTGAAAATGAGGTAATCCATGTAAAGCACTTATAGGAGTGGCTAGAACATAGTCCTTAATGACTGTAACTGCTCCTATCACCCTCCTCTTGTTCATCATCATTTCACGTGACTGCTCCCAATTTACTAGGTTATGGCTGAAAATTTGATTTGAAATTAAGAAGTTTTTATTGCCGAAATACCATTCTGGTATTTTTTGATTCTGGGAGTATTCTGTAGCGGCTGCAAGTATAGAGGGGAGTCTTAACATCCAGTTACTCTTACTGGGTTTCTGCTCTGTTTCAGGCTTTGTGGTGACCCAGCTGGTGACTTCCTGTGGTTCTGATGGGCACTCAATGGCCCTGACTGAAAGTGGTGAGGTCTTTAGCTGGGGAGATGGTGATTATGGCAAACTTGGCCATGGGAACAGCGACAGGCAGCGGCGGCCCAGGCAGATTGAGGCCTTACAAGGCGAAGAGGTGGTACAGGTCAGACAGGACATGAATAATTTTGCCTTTGAATTCAAACATGCTAGTTGTTGAGTCAAATTTAGGTAATGGGAAATAATGGTAAAAATATATTACACAGTCATTATAAGAGAGCTAATGTTTTTGGTTGTTCATATTTATTCTTGAGCTTGTCAGAAGTTTCAATAGGCTTTGTGTTAGAATGGACTCTTTTTTCCTGAGCCAGCTGCTTGGCCCAGGCTAGCATGCTGCGGATCCTTGGAAAAAACAATATGGGATTTAGTTCCTGATACACGAATAAGTGGAAAGCTTTGCTTTCAACCTATCATTATTGTTGCAAAGGCTGAGTTCATATACATTTTCTGGAAAATCAATTAGTCATCTAAAATAATATTATAAAATTGCATAGCACCTTAGAGTTTACAAAGAATTTCCCCATTCACTATCTCATGTGGTCTAGGTTATTGCTACACAGCTGAAGAGTAGCAACAGTTCTTCCCAGGTGTGCTGTTGAGCTTGGTCTTCCTGAGGATGATGAGGTAGATCAGGCTGGGGGCAACAGGAGGGCCACTTGGGCAGATAGGACACACCGGTCTTGAAGATCCTGAGTTGTCAGTGAAGTTTATTTAAAGTTTTTTACTATATAATAGCCAAAAAGGACTGATTTATTTCTTTCTTAGTATGCCCTCTTAGAGAATTTTTTCTCCTTGGTTCTGTCTGTAGATGTCTTGTGGCTTCAAGCACTCAGCAGTGGTGACTTCAGATGGCAAACTGTTTACCTTTGGGAATGGAGACTACGGTCGTCTGGGTCTTGGAAACACCTCGAACAAAAAACTTCCAGAGAGAGTGACTGCACTGGAGGGATATCAGATTGGACAGGCATGGAACAAGTCAATAATGCGTTCTATCTGATCAGTTTCTTGTTTCCTCTGTGTGCACTTAGACGCTATCCTGTCAGGAAGAAAGGAATCACCAGTTGTACTTAACCTTATGTACATTTTGTTTGGCCTACTTGATCATTTTTCATGATTTTTTCCCTATGTGAAAATTCACATTTTAAGTCAATTTGTTTGTTTGTCAGACTTGACAAACAAATGAAAGCCTTAATTCAGGATCTGAATATTTTAAAACCCCCCCATAAGTACTGATACAACTTGATATAGACCCTTTAAACAGTACAGACTTTTGTGACTCCTGTCTGGTAGCGTGTAAGTAGACGGCTGAACTGCATCATTGATAGCTGCTGCTCTTAAGCAGTAACTGTCCTTGTCCTATAGACCTTGCGACTGTCTCTTAACAAGGAGATGAAATAAACTATTTTTATGTTTTTCTGTATCATTCCTTAGACTCCTTGAGATGAATGAGTAGTTTTGAGTCATATGTACTTTTTCTCTGTCTTTTATGCTCTCTGATTCTGAGTTAGCCACAGATATTTGAAGGATTTCACTTGGGGAAAAAAGTCATTTTTGTGTGTGTGGACATTAGGAGTTATTTCTTGTTGACACATTTTAGTTAACATATGTAGAAGGCCCTGAAATTAATAAAAATCTTTGAAAACATAGGCAAGTTTTTCACTGAAGTAGAGAAAAAGGATTCAGAAACAGGAATATGTGTTTTAGGTATTATGATTTGCCTTATTGAACACCCTGTTATTTCTCCAGGTTGCTTGTGGCTTAAACCACACTTTGGCAGTGTCAACAGATGGCTCCATGGTGTGGGCTTTTGGAGATGGGGACTATGGAAAACTAGGCTTAGGAAATTCCACTGCAAAATCTTCACCTCAGGTCAGTATTGTCTTTAATCTAGGATTTCAGACAACGTAGTTTTTATCTATGTTAGTACCTTTCTTTAGTTGGAAATAATTTACCTTTAACATTTTTGGTAATTCCTAATGAAGTTGAGAAGCTTCTGTTGCTTATTCTTAAATGTTCAGCATACTAGATCTTGATTTTTAAATAAGCCATTAATAGCTAAATTGGATGTAAAAGCTCTGCAAGGATAAGCCTCTGTCTCTGTACACAGGCTGGCCACTGTAGGACTACCTCCTGTGTAGAGGAGAAAAATTTATAAACATCTCCAGGATGTCTTATGGAGGGAACCATGGACAATCTTTTGTAACCTTTTGCTTGCAGCTGCCATTTCAGCTAATAAGCTGATAATAATACCACTGAATTATACAATATGCACCTCCTTTTGAAAAGTAATAGGAAATTAGAGTGCATAAACAAATCAATTAGAAGCTATTATTCAAATTATAGAAGGTTTCTTGGCTCTGCAGAAGACCACTTATGCAATTCTTTTATGTGAGTTTTCCTAACACATTTAACAAGCAGCATGATTGACAAATATTCAGTTTATTTTCAACTCTAGATTCATCATCATATATAGTCTGTGACCTCTTGACAGCTAGACTGGTGAATATTCAGCTAGGGGTACACAAAGCCAGGAAATCCTCTCTGAGGAACATATAAATCAATTATTTTTACCTCTGAAAGCAGAAAAAGTAACTGGGAGCAGCCCATGGCTTTACAGGGTCTTGCAGTGTTCTTTAAAAGGCCACAGGCTTCTTCTGGTTTCTGTTGCCCAGGGGAAATGTTTCCACTTCACATGGGGTCCTGGGGATTTTATTCAAATACCCCTGCTTACTTCCTCCCCCGAATTCAGCTAGTTTGCAGAGCAGTATGAGAAAACGTTTAGAAGTGTGGATTTGGGTGGAAACAGGTAGGTGACTATTAGTATTTTTATTAGAAGATGATCTTTAAGTTTATACATGCCAGTAGGCAAATTCAAGAGTTCTTTTTTTCCATTTTAAACTATGTGCCTGATGTTTTTATTTTGCAGAAAGTAGATGTCCTTTGTGGAATTGGAATTAAAAAAGTTGCTTGTGGAACTCAGTTTTCTGTTGCGTTGACCAAAGATGGTCATGTGTATACCTTTGGTCAAGGTAAGGCATTTTCCTGGCATTATATTGTTTGTTTTGGTTACACATGTGTTATAGAAACGTTTGCCTTCCAGTTTTTTAAAAAGTGCTCCAAATTGAGTCATTTTTTGTTCTGGGTGATGAATGTCCAGTATAACCTTCATTCATTAGCTCCTTTTCTGCTCCTCTTTATGCTCTTTGTCATAAGGACAACACTTCACCCCATTGATGGCTCCTCATGCCAAAGCCTTCACTCTTGCTAAAAGAGTCCCTGACAAAGCCCTTCCCCTCCTCCTTTCCGCTGCCTCCACCATGCCGTCACGAACACTCCCTTGACCACCAGAGCGCCTCCGGATTCTACCTCGCTTTCCAGCCCTTCCAGGGACTAGAGGTTCAGGTCTTAGGAATTCATAGGCGTTCAGGGTTCAAATCTTGAGTAGGTTCATGATCCAAGCATCCACAGTGGGATTCCCTGGCAATTATTCACCTCCTTAAGTGGAATCTCTTGGCAAGTCATAGTGACAGGGGTCTGTGAGGCAGGTGAGAGGAAGAAGCAGTAAATCATGAGTGAAGTTTCTAGTCTTGGAAGAACATTGATGCCACTGACTGAGGATAGGCAACTGATTTGGGGGAAAGAGGTAAGGAGCTTAGTTTTAGTCATAATGAGTTGGGGCCGTATACTCTAGTATGGAGATTTCCATCAAGTTATTGGGGATTTGGATATGAAACTCCAGAGAGATTGGTTATGGGGATGTAGGTTTGCATAACTCATAATGATAGTAGTTAAAGCCATGTTAATCCCTCTACGACACCCAGGGAAAGAGTATAGACATAAAAAACATGAGGACAGAACTCTAGGGAATGTGAGTAAAGGGCACATGAGCACAGGAAGAGGACTTGGGAAAGGTCGCTTTGAAAGGAGTGGAGAGAGAGGTAGCCAGTGAACCAGGATAGTGCAGAGTCTCTGAGGAGCAGGAGGAGCTGAGGCCATATTATCAGAAAGTTTTGTGCAGTTCTGTAGGATGGGGCCTAAGAGGCTGTTGCAGTAAACAGGAGCTTCTCAAAGCTTTCGAGAATACAGTTTCAGTGCAGTGGTGAGAGTGGATGTTAGGCAATAGAAGGTGGCCAAGTCAAACAAGCCTAGAAGACATGGAGAAACAGAGTGGCCCGTACTTTCTAGAAGTTTGGCAGCAAAGGGAAGGGGAGGTTGGCTGGAAGTTTGAGCACAAGACAGATTGAATGATGTCTTTTCTTAGAATACAAGAACTTTAGGGCCTTTGTTAACTACATGCCAGTCTTCAAATATGAGGATACTGGAGGTGCCTCTTGGTTTGAAATAAGCTACTAATTTTATATTTATTTTTATGAATAAGGAGACTGACATTTTGCAAAGAAACAGCTTCAAACATATTATTCACTCAGAATCCAGTATACCTTACCAGAATAGAAGCCTTTGTCCTAATGAGTTATATATGTCATTGCCATTCCACCATAAAATTTAAATGACTCATTAGAAAATTTAAAAGGACTGTGGCATGCCATCCATAAATTTCCTCTTGCTATTCTTTCAGATCGCTTGATAGGCTTGCCAGAGGGGCGTGCTCGCAATCACAATCGACCACAGCAAATTCCTGTCCTGGCTGGAGTGGTCATTGAGGACGTGGCAGTTGGAGCTGAGCACACACTTGCTTTGGCGTCAAATGGAGATGTATATGCCTGGGGGAGCAATTCAGAAGGACAGGTAAATATATATATCTCTGTCTTGCTGCTCTCATATTCTAGAAATCTGACAACGTTCCTCATTTGGGACAGGGATAAGCTAGGAAACTCATGATATTTACCACAATGCCTCAAGCACCTCACTTTGCCATAGAACTGATTATGTTATGAGTCCAGTTGTGCATCTCTTTCTCTTGATTATGGCCAAGTAAATATTATATCATGGTTTAAAAAAAAAATCTAACAGTACAGTAAAGTGATTAAGGGGATTAACTGAGTATATGTGTGTGTCTGGCACATAGTAAGCAGTACTTTATTAAGTATTTGCTACTATCATTTTTACTACAGTAATACATGAGATTAGATCCTCAGGGTATCAGGTGATCTGGAAAATGGAAAGAATGAAACAATGCTTTTATTTTCTGTAATATGACAGTGTACAAAGTATATTTGTGTTCATGTAGGAAGTCTTGTCACCCCCATTATACAGAGGAGTAAACTGTATAATAATAATATGATATATAAGCCTTTAAGAATTGAGAAAAGACTCAAGTGGTGATGTGTTCAGCCTACTCTGTATATGGAGGAGGGAGAGACTTTGGTGGGAGATGTCGGAGATGCCTGCTACTACAGTGGCTTTCAGCCCCACATGCAGAGCCACATTCCCTTCCTCCGTAAGTCCTCTATGGGTCTGGCTGCCCCTAGAGCGAGAGGCCCTCAAGTTAAGGTCCAATATTATTCGTTGTAGCCTCATTTTGCCTCTTTGGTCTCCTGATCACTGTATTAATAGGTGAAGAAGCTGCTCTTCATCGTGGTTGAATATTGTCTTAATGAGAGGGAAGTTAATATTGAAGATACCTTTCGGAGGTCCGTGACAGGACCTTGACATGATCTTCCCTAGTGATGTTGAGGTGCTTAGCTGCTAAAACACTGAGTGTCCCTGTCAGACCCTAAGAACAGAGATCTGGAGATGAGAATCTGCTTCTGTGTATGTTTTTATAACTATGTATTGTTATACAGGCAATCCATGTTAAAAATCAACAAATCAATGTGTTTTAAGTAAAAGCTCTATAGAACATTGTTATTTTTTTAACTTTCCAAGAATTTATTTCATCTCCAGAAGTGGAAGGATGTGTTCATCAAGGATGTGTTCATTAAGACTCATCTGCATTAACAAAATGAAGAATAAAAATCACATGATTGTCTCAATAGATGCAGAGAAAGCATTTGACAAGATGCAGCATCCATTTATAATAAAAACTCTGAATCAAATGGGTATAGAAGGAAAGTACCTTAACATATAAAGGCCATATAAAAAGCTAATATCATTGTCAATGGAGAAAAACTGAAAGCTATCCCTCTAAGAAAAGGAACCAGACAAGGATGCCCACTGTCACTACTTTTATTCAACATAGTATTGGAAGTCCTAGACAGAGCCATCAGGCAAGAAAAAGAAATAAAAGGGATACAAATTGGAAAGGAAGAAGTGAAACTGTCACTATTTGTAGATGACATGATTATATATATATAAAACCCTAAAGAATCCACCAAAAATCTTTTAGAAATAATAAATGAATATGGTTAAAGTTGCAGGATACAAAATCAACATACAAAAATCAGTTGTGTTTCTATATACTAACAATGAAGTAGCAGAAAGAGAAATTAAGAATACAATCCCATTTATAGTTGCAATAAAAAGAATAAAATACCTAGGAATAAACTTAACCAAAGAGGTGAAAGACCTGTACACTGAAAACTATAAAACATTGTTGAAAGAAGTAGAAGACACAAAGAATGGAAAGATATTCCATGCTCGTGGATTTGAAGAATTAACATAGTTAAAATGTCCATACTTCCTAAAGCAATCTGCAGATTCAATGTAATTCCTATCAAAGTTCCAACAACATTTTTCACTGAAATAGAACAAAGAATCCTAAAATTTATATGGAACCACAGAAGACCCAAACAGCCAAAGGAATCCTGAGAAAAAGGATCAAAGCCGGAGGTACCACACTCCCTGATTTCAAAATATACTACAAAGCTACAGTAATCAAAACAGCATGGTACTGGCACAAAAACAGACACACACATCAATGGAACAGAATTAAGAACCCAGAAATAAAACCACACATCTATGGACAGTTAATCTTTGACAGAGGAGCTAAGAGCATACAATGGAGAAAGGAAAGTCTCTTCAATAAATGATGTTGGGAAAACTGGACAGCCACAGACAAAAGAATGAAAGTAGACCCTTATCTTACAGCATACACAAAAATTAACTCAAAGTAAAGACTTGAATGTAAGACTTGAAACCGTGAAACTTCTAGAAGACATTGGTCTTAGCGGCATATTTTCAGGTACCATGTCTGACCAGGCAAAGGAAACAATAAAATAAATAAACAAATGGAACTACATCAAAGTAAAAAGCTTCTGCGCAGCAAAGGAAACCATGAACAAAATGAAAAAACACCCTAACAATTGGGAGAAGATATTTGCAAACCATATATCTGATAAGGGGTAAATATCCAAAGTATACAAAGAACTGATACATCTCAACAGCAAAAACACTAGCAACCCAACTAAAAAAATGGGCAAAAGATCTGAACAGACAATTTCTCCAAAGAAGATATACAGATGACCAACAGGCACATGAAAAGATATTCAACATCACTAATTTTCAGGGAAATGCAAATCAAAACTACCACGAGATATCACCTTACACCTGTCAGAATGGCTATAATTAACAAGACAGAAAATAACAGTGTTGGAGAGGATGTGGAGAAAAGGCAACTCTCATACACTGCTGGTGGGAGTGCAAACTCATGCAGCCACTATGGAAAACAGTATGGAGATTCCTCAAAAATTTAAGACTAGAACTGCCATACAACCCGGCTATCTCACTGTTGGGTATTTATCCAAAGAACATGAAAACACAATGCATAAAGATATATGCACCCTTATGTTCATTGCAGCATTATTCACAATAGCCAAGACTTGGAAGCAACCTAGGTGCCCATCAAGGGACAAGTGGATAAAGAGGATGTGGTATATATACACAATGGAATACTACTCAGCCATAAAAAAGGATTAAATCTGGCCATTCCTGACAACATGGATGGACCTTGAGGGTATTATACTAAGCGAAATAAGAGGGAGAAAGTCAAATACTGTGTGATCTCACTCATACATAGAAGATAAAAATAACAACAAACACACACATAGAGACAGAGATTGGATTGGTGGTTACCAGAGGGGAATGGGGGAGGGAATAGGGTGAAAGGGGTGATTAGGCACATGTGTATGGTGATGAATTGTAATTAGTCTTTGGGTGGTGAACATGATGTAATCTATACAGAAATCAAAATATTGATGTATACCTGAAATTTATATAACCTTATAAATCAATGTTACTGCAATAAAAAAAATGAATAAATAAAAATAAATAAATAAAAGTGAATGGAAAAGAATGCCCCCCCCCCCACACACACACACAAAAAACCTCATCTGCTAGGTTTGGAATGGGCTTGTTATACCTTAGTGTTTAGGCGACAGTCGGGGTGTGAGGACCATGCTGATAGAGAAAATCAATTAATTTCATTATTTTGGTGCTCTTGCTTGGTACGGATATTAATTTATTTATATTTGCTACCATCTAAGAAAGATTTCATCATCTAGGCTTCCTCTCTTCCTCTTTCTAATTGAATCTCTGTGTATTTGTAATTTATCCCCAGCTTGGCCTAGGCCACACCAACCATGTTCGAGAACCGACCCTGGTAACAGTTCTGCAAGGGAAAAACATTCGGCAGATCTCAGCTGGCCGTTGCCACAGTGCTGCGTGGACAGCACCACCCGTCCCTCCAAGAGCACCAGGTGAGGGAGGAAATATCCCTGCTCCCGCAGCTTCTCTTTCAGCAGGACCCAGCTGCACTGTCTGCTTGCCAGTTTCAAACTGTATCCAGGCGTCATTCTGAGACCATCACACCTTCCCCTACACAACCAAAGCACTCTTTGTGCTGCCGGCACAGTAAATACTTTCACCACAGGCGACTCTCCTGAAGATTTCATTACGAAGCAGTCCTTCTCTGTACCCCCAAAAAAGAAAACGTACCACTTAGGCAAGCAAAAATTTATAATTTTATGGCAGCCATTAAATATGTTTTTACATATGAAAGAAGTGATGAATTGTAGCTTTCTAAGGCCTGCTGTTAGGAATAAAGATTAAAGCCCTGAGACCATTTGTCAAATTCTTTACCCAGTTAACCATTTGAAACATGATGTTATCTATGCAGTGGCACAGCAAAAAAAAATTGTTGCTGTTTTACTCCAGTGCACACAGCAGAACTGCTGGGCTCTTTCTACTTTGTTGTTGTTTGTTTTGCTTTTAATTTATTATGAGATCCTTACAGATCTAAAAAAAGATATAAGGGAAAATAAAATCATATTTGTGTACATAACACCCAACTGCGTACTCCCCTGGTTAGATCCATCTTCCATTCTCCACAAATGTAACCCTTGCCTTAAGTTGGCATTCTTCATTCTTAGGCATTTCTTCATATTTGGGCTGTTTCTTTCCCAGGCCTTCGAGCCCTTTCTTTCTCCCATCGTCTGTTGGCAAAAGCACTAGAATTTCCCTGAAGAGACCTTGTGCCTGAGAGCTCAGCATTCTCTTTTCTGGCCTTTCTATTTCTTAGCCACAGGTCCTTGGGAAAGACTCCCCACAGAGATTTTTCTCTTAGATATGCTAAGAGAGAAGGGCAAGACTGCCAAGTAGATTCTAAATAAGCAGAACGTGGTTTCTAGTTAAGAAAAAGCAGTGCTGCTAATGCACTGACCATTCCAGGTGCTGAGGGGCCTCTTCAGCTTCCAGAGGGATTTCACTTCCACTTCAGCACAGAAGGTATACAGTGTGGTGGTTCAAGGTTCAGACTCTGGAACCACATTGCCTGAGTTGAATCCTGGCTTCTCCATTTAGGAACTGAGTGACCTTGGGACTCAGTTTCCTTGTCTATAAAATGAAGATAATAACAGCACTTATTGTACAGAGCTATGGGAGTAAATGAACCAATTCGTGCGAAGCTCTTAGAATAGTGCCACACACCTGAAAGTACTCAATAAATGTTAGCTTTTATTATTAGTAGTAAAATACCTCTGGGAATTGAGCTGTACAAATCTTTATTTAAAGGAAACTCAGAAAGTTGAATATCTTGTTTTTACTCCTTTGTGCATTTTTACAAGAGGATAACCATGGATATAGTCCTTGTAGTCTTTGCTTCTACAGGGCTCTTCTTGTAGTAAAAAACCTTCATAAGTCCTGCACTTATATCTTTTATTCCATTGTGGTCACTTTCTGTCAGATCCCTAGTGAGTGTGAGAGGGGGCTTTGCTAAGTGGCCCATTTCCACTTTTCCAGAACTGCTTGCCTGGTCCTGACTCACACCTTGTTTTATTATGAAGATGACAATTATTTACTACGAAAGGAAGAATTTGGAGTTTTTTGTTTTTGTTTTTGTTTTGTGAAGGAACTCTTTAAGTCCCATAATTAAATAGGAAACTAAATTAAAGGAGAAAAAACTAAGTTTCCATATGATAAATAAAAAATATGGTTTAAAAACCAACATAAGTGCATCAAAAATTAAGGTGGATTGATGGACAGAGGAATTGATAAATATGTGATAAAGCAATATAGCAAAATATTAATTACAGAATTTAGGTGTTGGGAATGGGTGTTCATTGTACACTTAGCTTCTCTGTTTGACATTTATCAAAATACTGAAAATGAAAGCAATGCGTTTTCCTTTACTAGTGTCCATTTGCTTTCTGGGCAGGTGTATCAGTGCCTCTACAGTTGGGCCTGCCTGATGCAGTGCCCCCCCAGTATGGGGCACTGAGGGAGGTGAGCATTCACACTGCGAGGGCCAGGCTGCGGCTGCTTTACCACTTCTCGGACCTCATGTACTCCTCCTGGAGGCTGCTGAACCTCAGCCCCAACAACCAGGTAACGTGCTGGCTTGGGAGGCAGTGCCTGTGACATGCTCACCAGGGCCCAGGGCCCTTCTCTTCACCTTCGGAAAATTCTCCTATGGCTAATACTTTTTACTCTCCACACCCAAGAGATGTAGAAAAGGCAAGAATTCTATTCGCATTTTTATTGCTGGTTTAGGGAAAGTTGATATTGGTAATCGTGCTGCTAGACTCAGTCTTCCTGTATTTTGGTTTGTCCGAATCTGAGGAAGTATGAATGGCTAAGCATATATTTTCTACAAAGTCCAATATATGATTTTAAAACTTAAGCACACACAGCTGTTAGTACCACAGTCAGGGTTGTTATATAAATGAGTCCGAGACATTTAGGAAACTTGCTCTTCTTACAAAAGAGCGTTCCAGGTTGTATAGAGGGGTAGGTGTGGGAGAAAAGTAAATGTGGCTAATATGACTGTCTTTATGGAACAGTCCAGTAATTTAGGAAGAAAGCAAGCTGGCAATGTATACTTGTAATATGTAGGCATGCCTGCCAGAATGTGTATTGGTTTGTAAAACTTTAGTCAAAAATCCTTTGGGTCACCTGTCAAGGGGCATGTGAGAGATTTGACAAATCATTCTTAGAAATAGTTAACCAGCCAGGCAACAGAGTGCTATGTGGCACTAAACAGAGTTAGCAAAATTTGTAATTAGTGGGAGAAATGTTTATGATACAAAGTTAAGTGAGAAAAGCAGCAGAAAATTATATAAACAGTATGATCTCAACAATGTGAAAAATGTATGTCTACACACATGGAAGGAAACTGGAAGGAAATAGATCAAAGTGTTGATGGGACCATCTCCATATGGTAGGATTGAGTGATTTCATTTGTGTGCATGTGTGTGCCCTTTTCTATATTTTCCAAGTTTTTAAAAAATAATAATTATGTGTTTTGTCAGAAAAAATATTTTTAAAAAGCTATTAATAGTTACTGATACCCAGGTTTATGCTTTTAAAGTGCATTTCAAAAAGAATCATATTCTAAAAGTGGGAAGTGTCATTTCTTTTAAGCCTTGAATTGTGCCATTTCTGATAAGCTTACTTTCTGTTACAGAACAGTACATCTCATTATAATGCTGGAACATGGGGCATTGTACAGGGACAGCTTCGGCCTTTGTTGGCCCCAAGAGTCTACACCCTCCCGATGGTGCGCTCCATAGGAAAAACCATGGTTCAAGGCAAAAACTATGGACCTCAAATTACAGTAAAGAGGATATCAACCAGGTTGGCATATGTGTGTATGTTTTACTAACTAGCTAGCATTGTTTTAGGTGAACGTTATTACTAACGAATCTCCGTGAGCCTTAGCTTCTTCGGTTGTAAAGTAGGGTAGTAATAGTACTTCCGTTACTACCCAGTGTGGTTACAGTGGGCCTAGCACAGTGTTTAGTTGTTGTTAAACTGGTCTGTTCATTCATTGATGGGAAGATACCTTCAAGTGACCTTTGTGGCGATTTGGGGAAGTTGGTGAGAGTTGTATTTCATTCTGTTTTTCCTTTCTTTTAAAGAGGACGAAAGTGTAAGCCCATCTTTGTCCAAATAGCGAGACAAGTAGTTAAACTGAATGCTTCAGACCTCCGTCTGCCCTCCCGAGCATGGAAGGTTAAGCTGGTCGGAGAAGGGGCTGATGACGCTGGAGGAGTGTTTGATGACACCATCACAGAGATGTGCCAGGTATATACATGCAGTGTCCCCTGCTGAGTCATCCTCTCAGGTGGTGGCGATTTTACTGTTGCCAGTGATTACTCTGTCAGGCATGTTTTCATAAATGTAGCAAGGGTGCATTGGTGAGCCTTATATAAAATCATGCTGTTAATGATGTATGGGTGAATTATAGCAAGGGTTTGTGAAATGCTTTGTGAAGATACCTTTACTGAATAAAATGTCAATGCTTAGCTGTCTACCAGTGACTCACCATCTGTTGTGCTATAATACTAGCAGAGGAAACAACAATGATACATATTTACATTTATGTAACAGACAAATCCAGGACCACTCATGTGCTCTGATTATTCTGGTGCTTTTAGAAAACACGGAACTGCCAGACTCCAGGGGAATTAGGAAAACAAGTCTTAAGAGTTTGGACCAGTTCTTATTTTAAGATCTACAGTGGCAGCTTTGCTTCCAGGTCAGCTCTGACCCTTCAGCTTTGCCTAGGATCAGGATTTTCTGATAAATCCTGTGACTAAAATAACACTTGGCTATTTAATTGAGTCTATTTGAATATCACCATACCCTTCTCACAGGTACCCCAGCTCCTGCCCTGGATTGACTTTTTCATCTTAGTTCTGCGTACTGCAGAATATTTTCTACATGGGGGAGTTCCTAATTTCGTTTTAAATTAAAACCACAAAAGTAATTTTAGAGATGGCTGGTGGTTGTCACGTAGTATTATAAATTTCACAAAATATTTTTTTTCAGTGTGATCTTTAATGTAATTGGTTCGTTCTCTTGATGCATTTGATTGTCATTTCTCAAAAATTGTTGTTCTTTCTTCTACAGGAACTTGAAACTGGTATTGTTGACCTTCTTATACCCTCTCCTAATGCTACTGCAGAAGTGGGCTACAATAGGGACAGGTAAGGCAGTCAGCAAGTATTTAGTGATTGTCTGCAATCATCATCATCATCATAATGGGAGCTTACATTTATTGAATATGTGCCAGGCACTGTTCTAAGTGCTTTACCTGTATCATCCATTGAATTCTCACAGTGACCCACGGGCTAGGAACTACTGTTATTCCCTCTTCACAGATAAGGAAACGGAGGCATTTCCATCATGACTTGGTATTCATTATGGGGCTTACTATTATTATTATTATCATCAAAGATAATATAGAGAGGTAGAGGTAACTCAAACTTGATAAGGAAACCTGACTTCTTTTGTGTTTCTGAAGGCCCACATGGCCTCCCTTCAAGGAATTTTCTGCATCAAAATTCATTAAAAAGCTTTCATATGCTATCAAGTTACAGCACTTAGTATTTGCAATTATATAACATCCCTACATTTGCCAAACTGAATTTTGGATCTTACTTCATGGACTTGTAAATAATAAATGATTTTAGGAAATAGGGCATCCTGGAGCAGGTAACTTAAGGATTAATAGACCATTCACTTGCCCTTTTATGGTTCTTCTAAAAATAATTCAAAATATGGTCCCTGTACTGTTCAGAACAGTAGCCACAGGCCTCATGTGGCTGTTGAGCACTCAAAATGTGGCTAGAGTAGCTGAAGAACTGAATTTTACATTTTATTTAATTAATTTAAATAACCACATGTGGCTAATTACTACTATATTGGACAGCACAGGTCTAGACTAATGCTGTAGCTATTGGATAACTTATTTCTAATAGAAATGAGGACAATTTTGTTTGAAATATTTCCTTTAATTCTGCAGGTTCCTTTTTAACCCCTCTGCCTGCCTCGATGAACATTTAATGCAGTTTAAGTTCTTGGGAATTTTAATGGGGGTTGCCATTCGCACAAAGAAGCCTTTGGACCTCCACTTGGCCCCTCTGGTGTGGAAGCAGCTGTGCTGTGTCCCGCTCACCCTGGAAGACCTGGAGGAGGTGGATCTGCTCTACGTGCAGACCCTCAACAGCATTCTTCACATTGAAGACAGTGGGATTACCGAGGAGAGTTTCCATGAGGTAAATCCTGGCCAGTCCACGTTTCTGCTGGTGTCAACTAGAATTTTTCTCTGTAAAACTCAGATGGGGTCTTCCACTTGCTGTCTGGCTGACTCACGCCGTGTCCCATTGCTGCCCTTAGCAGCTCAACCCCAGCAGTTTAAATAGCTGCTAAAGGAGAGAGCTGGCTCCCGCATCCAGCTTCGTTTCTTCCCCTGTAATCCATTCTCTGCTTGTTAGAATGGAGGACTGAAGGACTCAAAGATGGAGAGTGAGGCCGGGGGTGGGGACCAGAGTTCATCACATCTGGTTTTGGGGTAGAGAGATTCAGCCTTATTTTTAACTATAGTCAAATGAGTCAGCACATTCCCTGCTGATCAAGTAGCCTGATCAGCTCTCTTAATTCCCTTGTTTTTATTTTTAAAAATCTTTATGTTGTTACTGTTTTGCCATATTTGTGTGTAACATACTTTTTTTGTTGTCGTTGCTACCATATATTGAAAATTCTTTTTTCTTCTATTCTTAGATGATTCCTCTTGATTCTTTTGTTGGCCAGAGTGCTGATGGCAAAATGGTTCCCATAATCCCTGGTGGAAATAGTATCCCACTCACATTTTCCAATAGGAAGGAGTATGTGGAGAGGGCCATTGAGTATCGACTTCATGAAATGGACCGACAGGTGAGGTGAAACATTTTGAGAGGTTCATGGGATTGTTTGCATTTGTCTCCAAACAAGAGGGGACTAGTTACTACCGAATTTTGGTGTATGAATTTACTGTGTTGATTAATTTGTATCTGTATTTCAGAGACTTTTCAGGTCCTGTTTCTGGGTTTCCTATCTGCTTACTCAAGGCATTAGGTCAGCTCTGAATTGGTCACTGGCTGGATTGAGGCCAAGCTCTCACCCAGGCTGTCAGACCTGCCTTCTCCCTCCTCCTCAGTCCCGTTTGTCTTTATCTCTTACTGCTCCCCAACCTAGTGTCCCCACTCCAGATGGGTCAGTCAGAGCCCATGTGAATGAACCCCTAAACACTGGTCTTACAGTCCCACATGAGTGCTTGATTCCCCCTCCTCCTGCAGTCCTGCAAGCTCCAGCTGAGAGCACATCTCTTCCACAGACCAGCTTTCCTCCAAGTCCATAAACTGCAGAGACCTTTTTTGTTACTTAGAAATTCCTCAGGATATCACATACTTCTATGCTGCCATCTAAGAATCAGGCCACAGAGTTTGGGTCTTCTTTCTTCTTTTAGCTTGTAAGACATCAAATGAAGAATGCATTTCATGTGTGTGTGTGTATGTGTATGTTGCTCTTTGCTGACATGTAGTAAGCATTTAAAAATGAAGGGAGTATGATGAGTGACCATAGAAATGCATATTGTGTCCAAAAATGATTTTTTGGGGGTATGCAATCTTACACAGCCACTTCAATAATGCTTTATTTGCAGAATATGTTGGGGTCTTCTCAAGAGCGGGACACAGACTCTGAGGCTGGGTAGTAATTTGGAATGCATATATTCTACACCCTTCACTCCTGGTTCTTTCTTTGACTCTGGCTTTGGGCCAAGTCACTAGATCACAGTCACAGAAAACTAGATCCCTTAACTTAGTGAGAGCGGGTACTGTCAGCGATGCTGTTTACACAGCCAGCGCTTAGGATTTGTCTCCAGTTCTTGAATATTTTTAATTCTCAGAGAGTGAATAACTGACTAAAAATTTATTGATCACCTCCTACATGCCAGGCGTGCTGCCAGGCACTCTCTTGTCCAGTTTTCCTATAGTTACTCTGTGAGGTAAGGATTACTATCACCATTTCACAGATGAAAGCACTGAGTCCAGAGAAATGAAGCGATATACCTGAGGCAGAGCCAGGATCCCAAGCCAGGTTTAACTGTGGGATCTAGGCTCTTTTGCTGGCCTTTCCTCGGACAGTCAGATTGACCCTCCACTCTCCATCAGCTGTGCTCTGCTCTGCCCTGGCTTTGTTTCTTTCTCAGTAATGAGACTTTCCTCTTTCACTTCCTCCTCACCTCTTAGAATCCAGTGATGTTCCCATAGCTGTCCCCTGTTGTCCCCCACCCAAGCAGCCAGCCCCATACCATAGCCTCTTTTTTTTTCCGGACAGCTTTTGGTTTGCATTCTACCAGGCATGACGTCTTGTTTCGTGGCATCCTTTGGCAGGGGTGTTCCCTTTAATAGTGGTGGAGACTGCCCTCACTGCAGTCCTGTTCCTTAGCCTTGAGTGTGACAGCCTTGTACCAATCATAACCCCCCAGAGCCTTGCTGAAGGTGTGGCTCCTGTTCAGGGTCTCAGGTTTTGTTTGTTTTTTATCATAGATGGTTTGAGTTGGCCAAGAGTGAAGAGATATCTAGGAAACACCCCTTGAACAGTGATGAGTCTGTATGTAGGGTGTGCACCACTGTGCACCGTGGAGGAGTCTTTGTAAAAAGCCTGTGGGCAGCCCCTGGCAGTTATCCCTTGGCATTCCCCACAGTGCTGGGTGAAGAGAACAGAAGCAGGATAACTACCCCATCACAGACTGTCATGTTCTTACTCACTTAACCTCATCACAGTCACCTGAGCAGGAATTATTTACCGCATTTTTCAGATGAGAAAATTAAAGTAAAAGAAGTGGTGGAGCTGGGATTCAGAACCCAAGTCCTATGATTAAATTCTCTGTCCTTTCTACTACCTTCCTACAAAAGGACTTCCCAGTTTTACTTCTGTACATTTCTAACTTTTCTTTACAATGAGCACAAGTAATTTTTACAAAAAGGACATAACTATTTGCAAAAGAAAAATATAAATTACAAAACAATAGAAGCTAGACATGTCCTCCAGGAGCTCCTTACCTTGATGAGGAGATGGAGCATCCCCGGTAGCCCCGTTCCCCAGCGTGGCCACGTGCAATTAGGAATTTCAGGGAGTGGGGTTGGTGTTGGGCAGCGCCCCTGCCAGCAGGCTGGGATTTTGTAGGGGAGGGAAGATGAGCTCCTAAATCAACTTGAACTGGGACCAGGAGTGTACAAGTCCCACAAGCAGGGAGAAGCTCTAACAAAGGGTCAGAGGCAAGGAAGGAGGGCTGTGTGCACGGGCACTTATGGCTGAGTTCTGAGGGACAAGTAGAGGGTCTGGGGAACAGACAAGCAGGCAGGAGGTGCCCAGCCCAAGTGGGTCCACAGTGGGTGCCCAGTCTATGCACACACGTTGAATGAACAACCTCTCCTGAGAGCAGGTGGCTGCAGTCCGAGAAGGGATGTCCTGGATTGTCCCTGTGCCGCTGCTGTCCCTTCTCACAGCCAAGCAACTGGAGCAGATGGTGTGTGGGATGCCTGAGATCTCTGTAGAAGTCTTGAAGAAAGTGGTGCGGTACCGCGAGGTGGATGAGCAGCATCAGCTCGTGCAGTGGTTCTGGCGCACGCTGGAGGAGTTCTCCAATGAGGAGCGCGTGCTTTTCATGAGGTTTGTGTCGGGAAGATCTCGACTACCAGCCAACACTGCTGACATTTCTCAGAGATTTCAAATCATGAAGGTTGATAGGGTAAGTAAGCTATTTGTTCTTCCTTAGTAATGTCTGCCCTTATTGCTTCCGTGTTGCTTGCATGTTGGGAAAACCAAACTGCGACCCTCAAGTAGGCCTGCCAGTTCGGGCTTAATGCTTGAAATTTCCAGATTTAAAAAAAAATCAAGCAGAAAAACTTGTTCAGAAACATCACATAACTTCAGTGAAAAAACTCCTACATGGATGTAAAAGCATGCTACGACCCCTAACCTTCGCTAACTCTCCCCGCATCTTCCTGAGTGAAAGCTAAGCTCGGCAGAGGAGTCGTCATGTGGCCTCTGCCTCCAGTTTCCTGCGCCTTGTCACTGTGTGACTCCTGCACTGGGATGTGGTCTTGTTTGTTTGTTTTCACGAAGATACCACCCATTAACTGGTGCACGTGCTCCAGAAGGAACTTCGAGACGTGGGGAACAGCAGTGACAGGCTCTGCAGCTAGTTGTGTGGTGTGTTTGTTTCAAGGAGCAGGCGATGGAGCTTCTCTGCAGCCTGATGAAAGGCCCCAGCTGCAGAGCCCCAGCCCAGCTGCCATTTTGACAGATGGCTTAGGAATAAAAGGGCTTAGAGGCTTAAACGCACTCTGCTGCCAGTCATCATTCTCAAGCACCCACCTGACCATGTCAGTCTCCTTTCAGACTGTTCATGGGCCCCATGTTGACTCCAGAATAAATGCCAACCCCCTTTGTGGCCGTAAACACCTCCACAGTCTGGCCTCTGCCCCGCTTTCTGATATCACCTCTTGACACTTATTATGTACTGGTCATAATGGGCTGCTTGCCTTTCTCCCCAACAGACCATGCTGTTTTTAAACTTCCCTGCCTTTGTGTAAGCTCTTCCCTCTGCTTTAGTAAGCTCTCCTTCACACTCCTTTCCATCTATGCCTGGCAAGCACCTTTTCATCCTTTAAGCCCAATACCAATATCTTCTCCACTAGGAAGCCCTGTGGATGTTTTCGTGTGTTTTAACCATTCCTGAAGGCAGACTTAGACTTCCTTCTGTCCACCTCCTGGTCACTAGATACACCCCTTGAACCCAGCATTAAGTTAGAAGTGTCTGTGTTCCCCCGATATACCCTCTCCCCCCGACATACAATGAGCTCGGCAGTCCTCCGAGAAGGGCCCATGGTGTTTATTCCAGAAACAGTAAGTAAAGTAGGGTTTCTCCACATAAAGGCCCTTCCTGCCAGTTTCAGCAGGTTTCAGTGTCTGCTTTTCTGGTGTTTTTCCAGTAACTCCTGGAGGTTGCTGTAGCCAAAGCCATCCCTCCCCCGCTGCCTCCTGAGGCTGCTCGCCTGGGCTCTGCTCCTGGGGTCGGCTTGCTGGAGAGGCCACGCACAGGAAGGGCTATGAAAAGAGCCTTTCCATAAATTTTCTACATGACTTGCCAGAAACTATAAGTTGTAAATCTGTTTTGTTCCTTCAGAGAGAGGTGGGGAGGACGAAATGGTTTACTTCTATTCAGTTCTGGAAAAAACCCTTGCCTTATATCTGTCCTGGGCTACCCCTGCCATTCCAGGAATTAATCTACCACTAATCCACTGCCTGGGGGGTTTAGCCTCAGAAAACTGACCACTGTGTGTCTCTTCTTTGTGACTTTTAGACCATTTCTCCAGTTTCCAAATTAGAACCACCTGTTGACATTCCCCTTAGGATCTTTGCTGGTTTGGTTTTTTGCATTTGAGCTGTCTGCGTCATCACTCGCTCTGGCACAGTTAGGCTTCTAGGCCCTCCACCTCCCAGCGCTTTGAAACGCATTCACCTGGTGTGGGGCTCCGAGGAGGAGGAGGGCCAGCTTCAAGAGGGAACTGAGCAAGAAAGAGAGCACGTTCTTTTTTAAAAGCTAATTTTAAAAACATTTATAGAAACATTGTAATATTATTATCATTACAGATAGTTTGGAAAATAGTTGTGTTTGCAGGGAGTGACAAAGAACGTATGTAATCTATCTCTGTGGTAGTAGCCATTTTCACCTTCACCTTTGTGTAATTCCTCCCAGTCTTTGCCTTAAGCATACACATTTTTGCGTGATGTATTTAGAATTGTATAGTCTGCTTTTTCCACTTAACAGTCTCTCCCGAGCACTTTTCTCTTTTGCGGCTAGTCCTCATAATCGTCATTTCAAGTGACTGCATCACCATCAGTTTAATGGATGGGCTGGGATTTAATTGACTGCTCCTTCCTCATCTGAGCTGTGCGCTGGCGGCCATGGCGGGTGAAGGATGCAGAATGCACTGTAAGAGGACAGTGACGGGAGGAGGAGTGCGATGGCTTCCTCACAGGTCTTCCTTCCATTTCCCCAGCTCTGTTGCGGGATCCCTGCAGCAGCTTCAAGTTTGCACTCTTGGTGAAAGGGAACGAACTCTCTTGCACGCTTACTCTGGTGCAGGCACCGTGCAAAGCGTGTTCTCTCAAGTAATCCTGCCAGTCAGGGCTTGTACCCACTTTGCACTTGAGAGCTTTTGGAGGAGTGAGGAGAAGAAGGAAGCATCTTCACAAAAAGCCTTGATGGCCGTGGGACACCAGAGCCTGTGCTCTTTCTTCCATGGCCCAGTCTCTGCTTCCTCTCGAATCGGTCATGCTGTCATGTCCGTGGAGTCCATCTTGAATGCAGGGAGAAGTGCTTTCCTGACTTAGGGGTGGTGGGAATGGCTGGCCCCAGTCCCCACATGACACCCTGCTGCTGCAGTCACAGCTCTGTGCCCTTCTCTCCACAGCCTTATGACAGTCTGCCTACCTCACAGACCTGCTTCTTCCAGCTGAGGCTGCCCCCCTACTCAAGCCAGATGGTCATGGCCGAGCGCCTGCGCTACGCCATCAACAACTGCCGTTCGATCGACATGGACAATTACATGCTCTCACGAAACGTGGACAACGCTGAGGGCTCCGACACCGACTACTGACCGCTGTGGGTGCCACACCCCCTCTTTTTTCTCAATAATGCTCACTTCCAATTTAATGTTGATAATACTTTTATGGTAACTACATAGATGTTTTAGGAACATAAACCAACATTATAAACAGTGGCCACATTTAGTTACTCCAAATGTAACAAAGAAATTAGATGTTTTTATTTTTCTGTGATTGTACAAAAAAAAGACAAAGTGCTCTCAGTCAGGTTTTCCCTCCATATTTTTGGTCACTTTTGATAAGTTTGCATGGAACTATTTTGGTGCATTTTTAGTTGGGAATGGTACATTTTTGTAAACTCACCCAGTGAACATGAAATTGTACATTGTGTATAATTGTTCATTAGAAAGGACAGTTTTACATGAATATTCATATATTTATTTTGTTTTAATTTGAATTGCCTGTTCAGGGTTCCTTATGCAGAGAAATAAAGCCGATTCAGGAACCAGAGCATGGGCTGCTTTTGTGACCTCCAGTGGAGCTTCTGCCAGAAAAAACAAGCTTTCAGGCTAGTCTCACTCTGACAACCTTTTGACCCATCAGAAATATTCCTTGACGCTGAGAGTAGGCTTTGCTTGGAAATGACACAGCAGAGGGCTGTGTGGGTATAGCAGCCCCTGGGGGCACGAAGCCCCTATTTTCATTTGTTCTGTCATCCTGGGTCTCTCGCTTTATTTTCTCTCTCCAGGGCCCTTGCATGAGCCACTCTCAGAAGTCAGCCATCTTCTCAGAACCACCCTTCCTCCTTTTCCATAGCTGGCTTACAGTGTAACATGTTAATAAGAGCCTTTCTTCAAAAGCCCCAGGATACTAGTATGGGGTGCAGCTCTACTAGGCACGGAGGAAGCTAACCAAAGTCATACGGTTCTGACCCAGCCTTGAAGAACAAGTGATGGAATTAAAGAGCAGGGCAGTTTACAGTAACATGTTGTCTCTGCAGGGAGAGCAGCCGAGTGGCAGGTGTTCAGAAGGGACAGCAATTGCTCGCAGGCACTTAGCATATGTGAATGAGTGACCCTATGAATAAGTGAGTGGATTTGCGAATTAACGTGAGAACTAATGGGTTACTTTATATCCTTGAATGATGGATGGTGGGGACTTGTGCAGGGCGCTGAGGAAGGGGTTACACTCTTGGTGCTTAAACCCAGCCGTTGAGGGCCCTGGGCGACACGCTGGTTTGTTCAGGCATGTCAGAATGAGCATGTGGTTCTGAGAGAAAAGGCCATCTTGAGAGCAACCGTGAAGGCTCTAGCTGCCGGGAGTGGGAACAGGAAGAGGGCAAGGCCCTTGGGAGGCTTGTCTCCTTCATCTTCAGCAAGTTCCTGCCACAGGCTGCTTCCAGTGTACTTCAGGCGAGATCACGACTGACAGCCTGCTCAATGAAGTGTCAGACAGAGTGCCTTGCAGGCAAGTTGTTTTCTACAAGGATGGTGGCAGGTGTGTTTTCAAAGAGAAATTGGAAGAAAAATAGAGTTTTGTTGGCTAAGTTAATGCCATGGATCTTTCCCAGTGATGAATGCCTAATAATATTTAGAATGACATCTTAGTTTTATTGGAAAGAGGTTTCAGTTGGCATTGAGTCTCAGAGGGAGACCGCAGCTTCTGAGGAACTCCAGGGGATACCAGGCAAAGAGGAGCCTTTAATACTTGATCTGAGAGCTCAGTCAGTAGCAGTGGTAGGGGGCTCTGGGCTTGAAGCAGTCGCTGTGGCGGTGGGAAGGCACTGCCTGGGCCTCTGGGCCAGGAGGGAACTTCTCTTAGGCTGCTGTGTGCTGCTGAGATCCTGAACCATGCCAAGAGAGGGGTCTCATGGGGCCTTTTGGGTTGGTTCCTCTTGACACGTGGCTCTTCCCTCTTGCTGGGCTCGGCTGAGGGTGTGCTGAGCTGAAGGATATCTGCGGTCTCAGACATTATTTGAAATCAAAATAATGGCTCGACCTTTGTGAGGCTCTGGCCTCTGCTGCACAGTTGGCTCTGGACTGAGGGGCAGAGGCACCCCCCGCAGGCTGACGCTCATGGTTTCAGGTCCCACCCTCAGGCCTAAAGGATAGCTTCTCAGGAGGTTCGACTTTGCAAGGAAAATCTGCAGAGATGCCTCTGTTTTATAACAAATGCTGTTTCTTTGCTGGAAATCTCTCACTTTCCTTCATGCTCTTGACTTGTGGAAGCTCTGGGAGAGAGGGGGAGGCGTGAGTACCTGATCTGAGGAGCTGAAATGGGCCCAGGACAGGTGTATTTTCCTTTACTTCCCTTTCAAGCCCCTATAGAGGTTGGGCAGTATTTTTGTTTGCTGGACCCATTCAGCTAACAAATACCACAGTTTTTATGACCCTTAAACAGTCTCGAGAGAACTTTGACCCCCAACCTTTAAAATTTAAGATTTCCCCAGAGGCCCTTCAGGGTGCATCTTTGTTCTGGGCCTCCCAGCTTTGTGGTCTTTGCCCAGCACTGCCAGCTAGATGAAACCTACATCTGGTGAACTCAACTTTTAGCAAAAAGCAAGTTTTTGGGATTAAATCCTAGAACTGGAGGAGTCCTCGAGCTAAGGGCTCAGATGATCTCTCCCTTTACACAGCAAGAATCTGAGATCAGGAGAGGGAAAGCTCGGATAGCAGTTGCATATAGGCTAGAGCTGGAAGCCCTGGCTTCCTGTCAGCATGCTGATGGTGGAGCCCAGGGAGCTGTCAGTCCCCTCCAGACATTCAGCCTGTGCAGAAACGGGCCATGTATCCCTGTAAGACAAGCCTCAGAGCACCGCCTCCCCCCAGCAGGCTCCGCCTCCCAGGGAGCAGCCTGGAGCCCCTGACCTAAGAGCCATGTGGCCTCAGTCTCTGCTGGCACTGAGGTTCCTGTGCAGAGTGGCCAGCAGGATGTGGTGACGGGTCAGCCTCACACCAGGGCGCACTGTCCTGCCCCAGTACTGAGGTTCTGCACCCTCCCCCTAGCTGTCCCTCTATGTGGCCATTGGCTGCTTTAGCCAAAACTGAGAGCAGAATGAGTTAGCATTCAGAAGCTGGGGGAAGTCTGTGGTCTCTTCTAATACAGGCTGTGAGGGCACAGATAACCCCCAAGCCGTTTCCAGGTGGCTCTGGAACAAGGTCTGGCTCCCATCGTCTTTGGCTTGTCCTTCTCTGGACATGCCTTGGGCTTCCTGACCCTGCCTTTGCTGAGCTGTGCCTGCTGTTGGAACACCCTCCCACAGCTGGAACCTGGGGGAGCTGGAGGCAGTCTTCTAGGCTCGTTCTAGGCTCCTTCTAGGCTCGGCCCTCAATCAGGTGTTCCTGGATCACCCCGCTATAGACCCAGCTTGCTTCCTCCCAGGACCCGGGCCTCGTGGGTTCTGCCAGGCACTGCACATCTAGACAGTCTCATTGCAGTGTCACAGAAAGGGTACTGGTCCTATTTTACAGATGAACAAACTGAGGCTCAGAGAGATCTTAACTTGTCAGAAGTTATGGACAGCAGAGCTGGGAGAGCACCCAGGAACTCCTCTCAACCCCAGCTGCGTGTCTTCTGACTCGAGTGAGTCTCTGGAAGTAGGGCCTGGCCCAGCCCCTGGCCAATACCCTGTAAACATTTGCAAGATGAATGGGCCAGTGGATTAATTAAGCATGCGGTACCCCTTGTTCTATGCAAATCTGAGAGAAGACCTTGAAAGCTGTTTTTAGATTAAGCAGGCTGCTGTGTTCTGCCACACGCTTTGCTTAGTGCCTGGTGATGGTGAACAATGACTGTCAGAAGGCAGAGTGGAGAGCCATGGGTCTCTGTCAGTGCCTATCTTTTGGGAGCACCTCAGATGGCCCTTGGCTCAGGGACCCAGAGCTCCTCTGGAGGGGGCAGGACTGCGTTAGAGCCCTAGAAACAATGTCGGAGAGCTGTCAGCACAGCGTTAGTTCTCTGATCACTCCAGTTGTGACACTAGGCGTGGAAGGGCTAGTCAGGGAACTTAAAGCTCATTTATAAAAGAGCTTGCCTGGGAAAAGGGGCCTCGGGATGCAGGTTACTCCATTCGAGCTGAGCCTGCAGTGACCTCTGCTTTACAAACACAATCTCATAATCCTTACAAGAACCCTGTGCGCGAGATTCTCTAGCTATCCCAAGACACGGGTAAGAAAGCTGAGGTTTGGAGAGGGCTGACCTGCCCTCGGTCAGAGGAGGCCAGAAACCACCATCCTGTTGTTCCCCAGAGTAAACCACCAGCTCACGGCAAACAGGACCTGCTGGCAGTTGGGGCTTGTGGGAGATGACGAAAGCAGAGCCCTGGGGTTGAAGTGGCTCTGTGTTAAACAAACATTTAACCCCCTGGAAGCCTGAGCTTGCTTTCAACATTGTTTGCAGTAGTAAGAAAATAAAACCCCTGCAAGGCCTCTGTCCAGAGTCCAGGGCAGTGGTGGGTAAACTGGAAAATCGCTCAGAGGAGGCGTGGGTCTCACAGGCTAGTGGTGGCCCCCGTTCCACTGCGGCTGGTGGCCTGAGGGGGCTGGCTCTCCCCACACAGGGAGGAGGAGAAATCATGCCGGCCGGAGCTCACTGCCGTTACCCCTTTTCTGCACTAAGCGCTGGCCCAGTCGGGCCCAGGGGCAGCCGCTAAGGCCTTCAGCTGACCGGGAGGCGTTGGGTGGTGCGCTGCTGCTTGCCCGCCCACGGGTTCTGCGTGGAGAAATTGCAGCGCCTCTGGGCCTTCCCCTGCAGATCGGCTCTGCTTGGGGCCCTGGCTCCTGCTGCGGGTAGGCTGGGTGAGGGGATCTCCAGCTCTCATTTCATGTCACACTTACCTGGGAGGCCTCAACGCCCGCCCCCATCCCTTATTTCTCTCCTCTCCTCACCTTTCCTCCCCGCTCACTCTGCTCCAGCCATACTGACCTCCTTGCTATTCCCGGAACACACCAGCCATGCACCTAGTCTGGGGCCTTTGCATTGGCTGTTCCCTCCGCCCGGAACATTTTCCTCCCAGGTGCTGCTCGGCTCCCTCCCTCACTTCATGTCTCAAATGCCACCTTCTCCATGAGGCTACATTGGTCAACCCCTTTTAAGTTGCTCCCCTCCCCCAACCCTGGCCAGCAATTCCCAGATAGCCCCTTGCCCTGTGCTTTTCCCTCTAGTACTTACGTTCTTAGAAACCACTACTTACTGTCTCTTCCCCTACAAGAAGGAAAGCTCCAGGAGCATAGAAGGTCCCTTTTTCCTTGCTGTTGCCCCAATATTTGGGCAACGAATTAAGGAACCCGAGGGGAGTAGGGATCAAGATCCGCCTTCACAAAGGAGAAACACCTGGCCCCAGGTGGGAAAAGGGCCTTGGTCACAGCTGGTGGTGGGCGGAGCCGGAGCGGGAGCATCGCCCACCACTCCACGGGCTCCCTGCCTCCCCTCTTACCGGAGTTTGCCCCACGTTCCCGGAACCAGGAGGCCGCTGGGTGGCCGAGAGCCTTTACTTTGGCGGCTAAAGGGGGACATCAGTGACTAAAGCCCTGAAATTGACGTCCAGGCGTGTGCCCACGTTCAGCAGCAGGTAAAATCGAACTTTGCATCAGCTTAGCTGGTTTCCTCGTCAAAGGGTTTAGTCAGGGCTGCTGCTTTCACGTTGAAATCTTTACTTTGGGTTTTTCAAATGATTTCTTTTTCCTACGAGAACGGTAGAAATTAAGGATAACCATGCAGTTTATGTAAGAACCACATCAACGAGCGGGGTTTCTAGAGTTGCGCGTGCGGCCCCTCCTAGGAACGCACCCGTCCGGGAAGGGCGCGCCCCCGGCGGGGCCCCGAGAAGGCCGGCGGGGGCCTCTCGGCCAGAGGCCGCTCTCTGGGGAAGCTCGTGCCCGCGCCTCCCGGCAGGTCCTGACAGCTCTGGGCGGCCGCGGAGGGCCCGGAGGACGGCGAGGCGGCCGGGGAGAGGCGCGGGGGGTTAGCGACGCCCCCCGCCCGAGTGCTCGCCGAGCCTCTGGTCGTTTAATCTCGCGCTCAGCATGTGTATAAAATCGTCATGTGAGGTAGACATCGTATCCCCGCTTTGCAGACGGGGAAACTGAGGCTCAGATGTGGCGACAGTGCGGGAGGTGGAGGAGCTAGTTCGAAGCCAGGTCGCTCCTTCCGCCTGTGGGCCCCCGGCCGGCCTAGCGCGGCAGCAGCTTGCGGAGGGCCGAGCCCGGCGCAGGGACGCCGCGCGGGGGCTGGTCGGGGATCATGGCCGCGCTGTGCTCGGCGCGCAGGGCCAGGCGCGGGCACGCGGCGCGCAGGCGGCGCAGGCCGGCCGCGCTCACGTTGCGGCAGAAGTCCACGTGCAGCGTCTGCAGCGCGCGCCCGTGCGCCGCCGCGGCCACCAGCGTGCGGTTGGTGACGCGCGCGCAGTTCTCCAGGCGCAGCTCGCGCAGGCGCGGACAGCAGCGCAGCAGGCGCGCTAGGCAGTCGTCGGTGACGTGGCCGCAGCCGGACAGCGTGACGGACGCCAGGTTGGGGCACCTGCGGAGAGAAGGCGGTGACCGCCCGCCCGCCCCTGGCCCGCCGGTCCGGCCCACAGCCCTGGGAGGGGGGCAGAGGGGGAAAGGGCCCGGAGAGTGTGCGGAGCCTGCCTGCGGTGACGCGCCGGGATCGGACCCTGGGCTCCTGTCCCGTCTCCCTGCTCCTGCTGCCCCCGCCACCGTGCCCTGCGTGGGCCCTTCCCGGTGGAGAAGCCAAGCCCTGTCGGCCAGAGACCCAGGGCCTGCTGTGAAGGGAGGGGATGCTGGTTCCCGGAGGGACAACTGTCGTTGCTTTGGTTCTTTCCAGACTTGTTGCTTTGGGGGGGGGGGGGGGGGGTCAGAGTTGGCCACCTCAAAATGTGTCTCTTTGGCTTATCTTTAAGAACGAAAGACTTTGAAAGAAACTTGACCTTCCCCCTCACTGCCTAAAAGAATTTAGGATAGAAGGGCCTGTTCCAGGAAGGAGCTAATACCTCAAGATAACCTTGTCTGTAGCCGGCCCAGCAAACACTTGTTTAACAAATATTTGCATTTTCATCTCCATGTAAATT